TATATAAAATGCAGATATATATTATATACAATAAAATGATCACGGTGGCCATATTTCCTGAGTCATAATTTGAGGTAGGATATCCATTCAAAGGAGTGAAATAAGTAAATTAAAGCACTTAATTTTTTAAAAAGGAAAAAAAGTACTTGTTTTTAATATTATATATTGTTGATTTCCAGATCGGCTTAGTGAGCCATACTTGTATAAAAATAATTACGAGTTCACGTCCTGGTGCTGGGGGGGTCTTTTAACTCTGCCAAAAATCCCCGCCCTCACTCCCTAGCCCAGGAAAACCCTGTAAAGCTTAAAGGCGAGGAAGGGGAGAGTAAAAAATACAATAAACAAAACTCAATTTAAATATATATATATATATATATATATATATATATATATATATATATATGATCGAATACAAAAAATAAAATACATTCTAAAAAAAATGATATTCATAATAAACATTACAATAGAATGTCTTGCATAAGTCTAGGTTTTGTGGATGAGAGGATGTGGAGTTACTATGTTGAAAGATACTGTACCTTTGATTACTGTTAACTGGGATTGCAATTCTGTAATGCCTTTTTTAATAAATTGATCTATAGTTTCCTCTTGCAGTTCTTAGGATCTTATTTTGAAAAGTTTGTAATTTTTTCCTTTTGCACATGATGCTGCTGCTTACATTTCATAATCTTACATCAGTAATGGCCTTCATATTGTAAATTAGGGTGGTTATATTTGATTTTAGCCTGGATTTTCTGTTGATAACAGGATATAACATTACCAGCCTTGCCTAGATCTGCGCTAATTTAATGTTGATCAGGTGATTCCAGGTAAAGTGACAATCCAGATAAACTCCGAGGTCCCATTTCAAACAGAAAATTAAATTTTAAAATCAAGTCAGGTGGAAGGACTCTCTCCTCAGAACATCCTGACACACTCCCTCTTCTGGTATGGCTGGCTACCTAAGGAAGGTGATCCTAGTGTGTGTACTGTAGATGACCTTAGTCTGTAGTGTATGTGTTTCCCCTACCAGGAGGACCAGTGACTGATTGCAGCCTGACTTCTCTACATAAAAAAAAATTAAAACCAGTAAAATCAATGTTACGTTTAAACCTCATATTTATATTTTTATTTAATTATATGCTTTTGGGAATATTATTCCTTGGCAAAATCTGGAAATTAATTGATTCAGTAGAAGTTTTGGACAAAAATTAGTTTAGGGAATTCGGGACATAGAGCTGAAATTCAGGATATATGGTCGCCTTGAGTATAATGAATATATTACATGATTTCATCATTTATGTCATTAATAAGATTTGTTGATTTATCTGTTTCAAAGCCCATTATCATTATATCTTTAATCAGTTAATTACTTTTCCATAGATAGCACAATGTTTTTCATATTTTCTTCATCCATGTTTGTATGGTTAATACAATTATGTATTTTTCCCTAAGTTAACTCATAAAAGCATTATACTTTTTCAAACTTGATAAGATAGTTTTTTAGAACATTAAATTATAACAATATGGAGAACTTAAAACCATAAAAAATTTAAAGTTATATTGCTTAAGTATTGAAATTATTCTATTTTTATTAAGATATTCCAAGCAAAGCCTCATCTCTTATCATACTGATAAGTAAATCAGCCATTAAATTAAAACAAGGTAGAATGTACTGTGGAAAAAAATAGTTTCCTGTATACAGCTAATGTGGTCAATAATTTTGAAGTGTACATATTTTTCTTTCTTCAAACAGAAATTTTGTTTTCAAAAATGCTGTGAAATTCATCTATTTTTTGTGGGTGTTACAATATTTTTTTATGTAAAACCATTGGTCAATTAAACCATTATTTTAAAGAAATTAAAGAGGTTTTCCTGTGATTAAACTTTGGGTTAATGAGTATAATCTATCTTTAAATCTTACAAAAAAAAATCAGGAGTTGAGTTCTTCATGTTCAGGTTCATCTATTACCTGGAATTGTTGGTATATAATAACGGAAACAAATGGTTGCCATTAACCAACTATAATGTATTAGCAACTGTAAGGTAAGAAAGCTCTGTGGGAGGGAATGTATAGTCTCTATATGTGTTGAGACAAGGAGGTTGACAACAATAAGAGGAGAAATGATGCCCAACTTATATCCTTCCTTCAGCCCATTCTCTTGGTATCATGAACCTTATTGGGAGCTAATGTGCTGGCTTTTTGGTTTCCAAATCGATGATGGAAATGTTATGATGCAATTATTCAAATTATTTATGAATTAATAACATTTATTGATGTTTTTAGTTTTATTTATTTACACTGAAAACATTTTATAACAAAATTTTTTTAATACATTTTTTTTTGGTCCTAATTAAGTTTCAGTTGGCATCTCACTGACTGATTTTGTCTACATTAATGAAACTTGTTAGTTATTGATTGTAAACTGTATTTAGTTTTCTTTATTGTTTGTAAGTAGTATTAATGTGTACTATTGCAACAATTGCTTATATATTCATGCTTTATACATTTGATTCTTTTCCAGTATTGTACTTTTCATTAGTTTCTCATTTTGATTTTTCAGTGAAATAAAATTGTTTAAATGTTAAATATATATTATTGATGAGTCAAATGTTTAAAGCTTTCTCACCAGCCTAGCCAATAGTAGTTGTTACACATTATTTCTTTTTTTCCTGGGTTTACCGCAATGTTGATAGTAAGTATTGCCAGACTATCTTCCTGGAAACATATATTTTCTCCAGGATAACAGATGAGAAGCCAGGATGAAAGTGTAACATAAATTTTCATTAAGACATGTTTTAGGTTGCATTTATAAATAAACTTAAGTGTGTTTTTTTATGTATGAAACTGTTGGAACATGACCAGCAGGTTTGTAACAATTATGTTTATATTCAGTTGTGCACTTTTCATATCTTAATCTAGTTATTATTTTTATTCTAATGAATAAAATACCATAAGATGAAATCTATTGTGAAAGCCAATGAACAATTGGACCAAATATAATGTAGATGAGTAATGAAATTTTATTTGCAATAAAAGAGGGTTTATGGATGGTAGTTAAGTCAGCACTTGCATACCAAACATAAGGTAATCAACGTTAGCTGAGAGGCTGATCATTTGAGGGGAAATTAAAAAGCAAATTATTCAAATGTGATGGGCATCAATCATTTTTATTTTTGTCAATCTAATGAGTGGCTCGTTCTGTTTTTTTCAGAGGCACCCATCCTTCTGAGATGTGTTTTAAGTGAAACTCTGAGGTGCCTCAAAAGAAAAACGGTGAGACACGGTCTCTTGATTTCATTTTAGTTTTTTTTTTTTTTTTTGTTATTTTACTTTTTTATCATTATTAATTAATTCTAATGTTAATAACCATGTGGATAAAATCAAATCCCCCCTCTGATATTATATTCATATCTATATCTATCTTAATTAGATATTTCCTATGTTATATTGTATGCAATGTTATTTTTATAAATTTTATTGAATATAATGGCTAACAAACTCAAAAGAAGTTGAGGATTATTAACAAGGTAACATATGGAAGGTTAAAAAAATAGTCTTATCTTCACTTGTTTGATATTGTTCTGATTATAATTTATAGTTTTAAAACCCATAGAATATTACCTCTGAAGTGTTTTTCAATACTGCTATAATCTGAATATCTCCTTTACTAATTGCTATTGAAATTTTGGGAACCACATGGGCTTTATCCTAATTATGGTTTTACCCCAGTTAACATTGTTATTCAGGATTTCCAGCAGTTTTCAGTTCCTTTGAGATCAAGAATTCTGCTTGAATTCATTTGCATTCTAATAATCAATCTTTTCACATGAGTCTTTGCATCAAAATATTTCTCATTGTTATATGGATCATATACAATAAATTTACTGCATTTAATAAAAGGAACCCATCCAAATTATACTTGTTTTGAGTAAACTGAATTCAATATTAATGAACTTAACAAATCTAGAAGACTTCAAATAATTAAATTTATTTTAAATTGGTACATTTCATCAGGTTGGCACATGTATTAAATGGTTCTTATTTTGTTTTTAATTTAATCTGATTAATTGATGAGAAGTGGCTTGATTTTTTTCATGCTATATTGATTGGTCACCATAACAGCTGTGAACCATGATTTCTGTAGTGCAGGAACTTGGTAGCCCTTAACAAAAATATCTTTGCCCATTTGATCACTTATATTGTGAGTAATATTCTTTAACCTTGTGAACTCTGGGACTGATCGAATGGTTTTGATATTTGACCATTCCTTTCATAAAAGATCCTAACGTTGTTCTGAATTTATTTTTTATCTCTCTCCTCAAAATTTCTCTCCTGTAATTGTGGTGTGGTGCCTTTTTTACGTATATCTTGTAACCGATTAAGCAGAAGGTTATTAGAATAAGCAGTACCAAAACATTGTGTACATAGTTGATCATAAATTGCGAGTGAAGTTAAGACTATTTATATCAGAGACAAAATCATTTTGTTTATTGTTTTTTATTTTCTGATTTTATTAATTTTTAGAACATTTTTTTTCTTTTTATAGACACTAAAGTTTTCCTGATTACTTTGTACATATATTTCAATAATAATTTGTTCTAATTATCAAACTTTGTAAGAGATCAGTCCTTTCAATTAACTTTGATATTTTGTTTTACTGAATATTTATATGATTAGCTCTCGTGTAGTCACTGGCTTTAACTCTCTCCCGAAGAAATTCTAACTCTTCAATCTTTAAAGGAGCATAATTTCAAGAAAAACTCTTGAAATATTCTTTCCTTTGTATAATGACCCTTGTCTAAACCGTATTGTAGTTATTGAAATATATGTATGCATATTTTAGATACCTATATTCCATATATATTTTTATTTCTGAGTAAATTTAGTGTTTTTTATTATTGTTTTTGGAAAACTTTCCTTAAAAGTGGCCCCATTGCTTTCTATTTAATTGTTATTTTTTATTTAAATATTACTAAGCTGATATTTCTTTTACATACAGATGTTGAAGATGTAAAATTTGTTGTCAATTATGACTATCCTTCTTCATCGGAGGATTATGTCCATCGAATAGGACGTACTGGAAGATCGCAAAGAACAGGAACGTCATATACATTTTTCACAACTGGAAATGCTCGCCAAGCAAAAGATCTCATTTCAGTTTTGCAAGAGGCAAAGCAAACTTTAAATCCTCGCCTTCTGGAACTATGCGAAATGGCAAAGTGTGGAGTTTTTGGAAAACGTAACTAAGTTTTTTTTTTTTATAAATAGATTAAAACTTCTTTTAATTTCATTGTGAAATGAGTTTTATTATTATTAACAAGTTAGTGTGTATGATGCCTAAGAATACTGACGTTAAATGCCACAGAATTTAGTGTTTTAGCAGTAAAGAGCATTCATTCTGTTAGTTTAAGTTGGCTAGTGATAATTAAAAGGGAATTTTTTGGTCAGGCTTAAACAACTGTACAGTCAAGAACCATTTATGTCAGCTGCATTAATGATTATATTTTTATTAATTTTCATTGATACTAATTGCATAAAATATTTTCTTAATTTCTTTTATGGATTAGGTTTTATTCATTTTTTAAAACTTCAAAATATTTTCAGTTTTATTGGTACCATTTACTTATGTATAAGTTACTAAGTGTCAGATTATCCAAGAATTATTACAAATAAATTTTCTGTTTCAAAATTAATCTTCTAATATCTACTTTAAATAGGGTTGATATGAAAGACCTCCCTATGAAAATTAATTTTTCATAGACTATTTGTTGTTAATTTATAGAATTTATCCTTAAGAAATGTCAATTCATTTAGTTAAAATTGTTAAGTAGCTTAAGTTAGCATTTTTTTAATATATAATATTTTGAAGTTTTTCAATTTACAATCTAAATAATTAGTCATATTTAAAATTTTCAGCCAGAAGCACAAGATTTGCTGGTAAAGAAAGGGGCAGCAAAGGTGGAAGAGGAGGCAGAGGTGGTAGAGGAGGCAGTGAAAGGAGAGGACGGCCTGAAAGAAGAGGACCAAGTGGATCAGAAAGAAGAGGGAGTGATCGAAGTGGTGGTGGTAGGGGAGATCGCAGTTCAGAGAGGAGAGGAAGTAGTGACCGATGGGGAAGAGATTCAGCTCCACCATCAGGCCGGGGTGGTGGTTTTGGAAATAGAATGGGTTCTGGTGGAGGATTTGATAGTGGTGGACGCAGTGCACTAGGTGGCAGTGGAGGTGGTTTTGGAGAAAGAGAGCCTCAAAGGAACAGCGGTTTTGGCAATGATGTGGGCGGTAGAGGAGGTGGTTTCAGGATGAAACCGCCTACTCTACTTCCACCTGAAAATTTTAGTGAGAGGAATGGTCCAAGAGGAGGAAACTACTCAGAAGGTGATGGGTTTGGCAGTGATAATGGTAGGGGTTTCGGAAATGCTGGTGGCGGTAGAGCCTTTGGTGGTGATAACAATCGTGGTGGATTTGGTTCAGATAATGGTAGGAGAGGATTTGGTGGAGAGGGTAGGGGAGGATTCGGAGGTGATGGTGGAAGAGGAGGATTTGGGGGAGATGATGATGATGGATTTGGTAGAGGAAGGGATTCAAGTAACTCGAGGATAGGAGGAAGGGGTGGAGGTAGTGGAGCAGGAGGTAGAGGTGGTATGTCTAGAGGGATGAGTGGTGGTGGCAGTGGTAGTGGAGCTCCACCGAGAGGAGGAGGAAGAGGAGGCGGTGCGTTAGACAGGGGTGGTAGGGGCGGTTCTGCCGGGAGGGGTGCGCCAGCATCTACCACCAACAGGAACAGTTACAACTCAGGTCCTGCTCCATCTTCTAGAGGAACTTATGGCCAGGACAGGCTTCCTAGTAAGTTCATATTTTATTTTAGTTTAATTAAACAATATTTTAGTCTTTAATGTCCTATATATTATCTCTAAAAGGTGTTTTTTTGTGGATACACAATAACTTCGTCAATTCTTCATCAAATCCAATGATTGACCACTCTTTTTCAAAATATTCTTCTCCTTCACATGCGAAAAATAGTCCCATCCCCCCGAAATTTCTGTAAAAAAAGTTATGGAGGAAAAGAAACTTTATTTGCAAGTAACTCAAAATGTATGCATTTTTTTCTCAATTGTACCCATGATAATTGAAAAGATTACTAAATTACCTACAAAACAAAATCCAAAAAATTGTAAAAATCGGACTATTATTAACAAAGATACAGTCCATTAGTTTTGGTATGCTTAATAATGTCTTTCTGTTTAAAGATATTGTATTTAGGAGTAGAATAGTCTACTTCATTTTTTTCCTGGCTGATATATTAACTTTATTATTTCTTAAAGACATTTAGGTGTTCTTACATTTTATTTTTTTTAATAATTTAGAATATCCTATGATCGGGTCATTATTTTGTCTTTATTACTTTTATTATCTTTCCAGTAGCGTTTTAAAAATAGATCCTAGCAAAGCAATTTGTACAAATATTTTGGTCGATTATGTTTAATAGAATATTGTAATCGACCAAGGAAAAAATATTAATTCCTTCCTTACATAATACATAGGAACTACTTAATTCCATATTGTTTTGCTATTTCTTCACTTAATAAAATTTTCTGTGAATTTTTCTCATGGGCCTAGTTATTACATTAATAAGCATTGATAATAAATTAGAATAATTCTCATATTTTTACGATACATGTTAAGATTTTTTTTTTTGTAACTAGCAGTTGTTCCCATTATTGTTCGCGCCTTAGGCAGATTAAAGATGGATAGCCAAGCATGTTAGGGCATGCTTCTCAAAGTGCCCGGTTCCGAACGTTGTGGGTTCGATTCCCACCTAGGTCGCTTAATTTTAATTCCTTGGCAGCCCGAGGAAATGGATCTTGACATTTTCACTCTGGTAATAACACGGCGGCAACCAAGATAGCCATCAGGGTTTGGCAAAAAGAACCACAATAGAGCCCACTTGCTGGGCTAGTTTCTCCCACGAAGTATCAGTAGGCCTATTAAAGATGTTGAAGTTTTAATTAAAAATGTTACATTTTGAAATAATAAAAATTTGAAACAAATAAAATTAAAACAAATTTCATGATAATCTTTTAAAAAACCTGATAGTGAGTAAAAAGTGTAGTTCAACTAATATTAAGGAAGTCATTTATTAAGGGGGCAGATTCTAAATAAATACTAATGTTCATAATAATGACAACAAGATGAGTTTTGATATGCAAAATGTTTTTAATGATAATTGTTAATATTCTAAAGAAATTAATTACCAGTAAAAATGTCTGAAGAGGATGGATAATATAAATGATTTATAAATTTATAATACATCGGATTAAAAAGGAAATCAAGTTAGCTTAATTATTGTGCTCAGGTAGTGGAAAAGGAGAATGGGAATCATTTTCCAAATTTATGTTAATATAAACTAGTAAAAAAATCAAAAAGAGCAAAATCCAAATGCCAGATAGAAATTGAGAAATTCAACTACTTAGCCTTGTATCTCAAAAATGCAAGTACAACACAAACTAACCCATGTTTTACCAATCCAGTCATCATCAAGCCATAAAACCCAAGAACAATTTACTCCAATACATCCCAACACATACTGAACCTAAAGTATGTATACTGAGAGTATATATCAGTATGTCATACTTCAATATTTGTTTGGATGCCTGGATTAGTAAAACGTTGACAGGTTAGTTTGTTTTTTACCTGCATTTTAGAGATACAAGGCTTTGTGACTGGATTTTTCCAGTTATAACCTATTCATGTCAATATTGTCTTTCCTCTTGTTTCCATCAGTGCTTGTTGAACATTAGAGTAGTGTATTGGTCCTAAACAAAGTATTATATCAGATTCCCTTGCCAGAAATGCTTTGTGAAGCACAAGCGTTTCTGCTTGTTTAATTAAATTTATAAAAACCCACAGTATTCAACATTTTATGACATGGATGAGGAATCATCATTTGTAACTTATATATAATATATTTATGCTAAATTATGTACATTCAAAACATTGTTAATTATTTATTTTAGGCGGAGGAACTGCTGGAGGTTATGAAACTAGGCAGACAGATAGTAACAATCTTGGATATGAACGACGAAATGATCGAAGATCTGATTGGGCTTCAGAAAACCCAGTTCCAGAAAAAAGGTTTGTTTTTATACAGTAACATAACTAAAAAATGTCATGTGCTTTACTTTGCTAATTCTATTTTTTACAGATCTAGATTTTCTGACAATACTTCGAGTGCCGCAGCTCCACCCCCACCACCTCTTATGAGCAGCACTCCAAGTGTTCCTTCAACAAAATCAGCTCAAATGCCTACTAACTTCAGTCAGCCTCCACCAAATTATAGCAAACCACCTCCTAATTATCACACAGCTGTTCCTCAGGCTACCCAGGCTTATCAGGCAACTCCGCAGGTAATTTACTTTTCTATCATTATTTTATAAGAGCCTCTAATGTGCTTTGAATTTATCAAAACTTCAATTTTTTACCTACACCACTTTTGCATCCAACAGCTCATATGTGTCATTGAGGAATGGAGATTGATTGCTACTAAAAAATTAAAATTACAGTGTGTCTGGGAAAGTGTGATTGCTCATACGTAGGTGACAGTAGTTGATTGAATCTTCAGGCCAAATCAGACTAACCATTTTTTAAATATAGATTAAGTGTGTCTATGAAAATATGTTTTCAAATATGTTAACAAAAGTAGGTGATTGAATTTGAGAAAATTGATAATGGGATTATCTTGATATCAATCTACGCACTATCTGAAAATTTCATCAAATTAGAATTAAGTAATCACTAAGTGCTGTCTGATTATGAACTGACCTCTAATTTTATATAGCTGCCGGTTTAGCTTCAATCTTTACAAATCTTTCAATTCATCCAAGTTCTAAATTTGTTTTAATTCAGTAGTGTATAGATTATCGTGTATTCACTATTTTTATAAATTTTGAATTATAAAACCGTTTTGATATTAAATTTAATGTTATAAAAATTATAATTCTTTCGTCATAAAAATTTTCATAAATTGTTTTGTAGTATTCAAAATAAAATTACAATTTTTACCATAATTTTCAATAAAAATTAGTAGAATATACATCAACATAATCACAAGTAGTTTCAATTAATCTTAAAACACATAATTCGTGTGCCAGAACATAAATAATTCATAATCTTAATGTAATTTTAAAATTTAGCTTGATATTTAATAACGGTGCCATAGAGTAATCAATGAAGAGAGCTATTGAAACCAATAAGCCAAGCATGACATCTTTCCTTTCTCTTCCATTCGGTATTATGTCTTGTAATGTAGCAGGTTATGTTATACCAAGTAGAAACAGTTGTTGGTTTTATGTTAATGAAATGTTACTGTTTTTTATATGGATATTTTATTTACTTAATGGTTTTTCATTTTTCTATTATCGCTACAGAGAAAGGATCAGAAATATGTAAGTAACTTAAAAAAAAGTTATTGGGATGTGCATCCTTCTCCTTGTTAATTAATATTAGTAAAGATTGTTTTATAGACAGGCTTTAATTCATCATCTTGTGTATTGTCTGTAAAGTGTAATTTTTTTTTTCTAATTTACTTGAATTTGTGATTCATATAGATTAATTTATAAGTGTGTATATGAATAACAAATTCATGTGAAAAATATTTAAATTGGTTATAATAGCCCTAAAGAGCTACAAAAAAAGTTCATATAAACCTTGGCCCTATTTAAAACAGATAATTTAAGTTCTGGTATTTTTTAGTTATTATACTTTTTGTTGAGTAGAAATTGATGAATACAAAATAATGTTATTACCAATTGTTTCATAGTAAACTAGATAAAAATCCTTCAATTGCAAGTAGAATTTGTCTTTATTACAATAATTTTTAATAGCGCTTTTAAGCTGCTAAACTATATTAAGTTCGGTTTTTTTTGTCTGCCTCTGAATGGTTTATAGATACCCCACTTAAGGAAAATTTTCTTGGTTTAATAACCTTTAACGTTATATTAATTAAGGTGAGGTTTTCCCAGAAAAAGCTTATATTTGCCACCAGATTTGAAGGAAATAATGTGATGTGAAATGCTGTCTCTGTTCTTTGACTGTTTCCAATTGGCAGCCATTTTTCTGTTGGCCAATTTTTAATAAATATAAGCTTTTGCAGTTTCATTGCTATTTAAGATCAAAAAGACATAATTTTATTTTAATGGTAATGTTATAAGCTAAAAAACTTATTCCTTTTAATGTATTCCTCATAGTAATATATTAAAAATTGACTCTAAGTTGAGCATGAAAACTTATAAAAAAAATCCATGTTCAATTATTTTATATGTGAGAAGGATACTGTTAACCTCTCTTACCATGTTTTGTGATGATTAGAAGCTCAATAGTAGGTCAACCAGAATAAATATTCCTATTAATTGTATTCTTGTTTTTTTATAACTCCTTTAAGTTTGACATTGTTCAAAATTGAAGGTCTAATCTGAAATTCACAATTGTAACATTTTTCAGGAGGCTTGTATTAAATATAAGCCTTTTCTCTTTATTTGTTTAGTTAAAGTTCAGTGACTGTTCGAATATAAGGAAAAGCGTGGTAAGCTATTGTTTGAGCAGTGTAAGTTTCAATTTGACCTAGGAATAATTCTTTCATTTCACAATCAGAAAATATCCTTATAAAATAAGATGTTTTATTATTTAACAAATAATATAATTAATTACTTACAATTATACTATTGTTATCTGAATTATTAGATTTTCTGTTAGTATTTAATATGATTTTATAAATCACAGAACTTAAATATATTGTTTTTCTGTATGGAATTGGACCATGGTCTGTTTGAATTTTGTTGCTCTCGAGACCTACTATTACTTATTTAAATATTTATTTTACTTATTGCAAAATTTTCTTGTTTTATAAACTAAAGTTGACTTTTATTTGTCTGTTTGATGTTTTCTTTTTTTATTGATGCTAACAAATTTTAATATGGTTTTCTCTGTAATATGCTTACTTTTTATTATTATAATTAAAACTTTCTATTTGTTTTTTTGTCAAAATATTGCTTTGTATCCACTCCAAGAGGTGTTATTTGATTTTTATAATCTTAAAAAAGTAATTTTTTTTATAAAATAGTTTTATGTTAATTCAAATAAAAAATAATTGTAAATTAAGTATGTTTTACGAGATTTTAACTTTGTATGCTTCATATTATATTTCTAGGGTTTTTACATACAATGAAATCTGCCCTATCAACTTAGAATATTTTTATCAGGCACAAGATTCAATTCTCTTCTAACCATTTATATGTAGTAAATAATTTCAACTTTTGTTTTCCCTTCTTTTTTATAGCAAGCTACTAACATGATGCAGTACCCTCAGCACATGTATCAACAACAAAACTACATGATGTATCAGCAAATGTACCAGCATCAAATGAACGGATACCAGCAGCAACAGCAGGCTCAACAGCAAACCTATCAACAACAACCACCACTTCCAAAATGATGAAATAATTTCATTCCATAAAAGCTTAACTGTCATTCTAATATATATATATAATTTTTTATATAATTATACATATTTATGTATGTGTATAAATATTTGTGATTCTATTGGATGTATTGCACTGAATAATTTAACAAGTTTATTGTGATTTTATAATTTTAGCAAATGAGATACTATTTGTTTTCTTTAATATTTTTTGTTCATTTTGTTTTTTAATTTATTTTACTCGGAGAACATTAAAATATTGTGACAAACCTTTTATTTTAATAAGTTATTTTCCCCCTAATTTTTAATTTAATTTAATTTTTCTATTATGATAGGTGAGTATTTAAATGAGCGTAATACTATTTGAAGTGCTTATTATAAGCAGTAAGTAACTGTTCTACTCATTGTAGTTTCATTTTTCCTTTGCTGCTATTGAATTTTTAATTTTAATCCACTTTTTTCTTTTTAATTTTGCTTCTGATATATTAACATTTTGTTGCAAAAAAGAATATTGTAAATAAGAAAGAAAAATAATAATAACTTCACAATAGCCATTCATGTGAGTTAACTGTTGAATATCTGTTCCCTTATTTCACCCCTATGTGTAAATTATATAATTATCATAAAAAATATATAAGTTCTTTCTTTTTTTTGTCATGCATCCTAAATTGTTTTATACATTGGTGATGATTATTACATATAAGAAGAGGGGTTTTAAGAGAATTATTTCAATATTTGAAATTTGTTGGTAAATTATTTGAAAAAATATTTAAAATCTAGTCTCATGTAAAACTAATTTAAATTATCTATATAAATTAGATACCATTTAAAAAAATCAAGATAATTAAGAAATAAATATGTAATTTAAGAGGAAAAAAAGTTAAAATAAAATTTCAAATTTTAGAGATGGTTTATTTGAACTTATTTTCATATAGTGCAAGTTAAAAACGGCTGCTTTTATGGAACCTCTAGAAAATAGCAATTACAGATTGTATTATTTTTTATTTACTCTTCACAATCTTACATATGTATCAAATTTAAGAAAAAGAAAAACAAAATTAATGAACACTGTAATTATTAACAACTAAAAGTAGTTATTTTGGCTTATATTTTACATATCTTCTGAGGAGAGAATCTGTTTTTAGTGGTTATAGATTTAAATTATTTGTGGACCTTCACTGTGACCAGTGTCCTGAAGAAAGAAAGCTTACCATGTAAGCCTTGCTGCCGTGTTTGCAAGTAAGCATGAATGATTTGAGTGCAAAAACTATGAATGTACTCATAATAAATAATATGTGAGGCTCATTTTAAACAAAAAATATATATACAGCTTCGTTGATTCTTTGTTAACCTTCGAGTACCGTTAAATATATAGAGGGTTATTTTATTATCAATCCATTTAAAACAATCTTGGACAAGCAAGAAATTGAACAAAGTAATATTTTCTTTGAATTTAAAATCAAAATTAGCACACAAATGGCTGATTTTGAATTATGGTTGCGTTATAGCAAAATATGATTAACAATTGAACAGTTAGGATCAGTTTCAACCAAGATAGATGGAAAACCAAAACGAAGTTCTTTCTGTAAATAAACATGAATTACAAGTTTGATTGAAATGGAATAATTCTCATGAAAGGTAAACAGAAATATCACATTCCTGTCAACCCCGAATGAAGATATTACAATCACAATAGGAAACAGTTTTAAAAAATATAGACTTTAATGGTGAATATATTTTAAGTGCACAGAATACCATCTTGTCTTATTGAAAAACAAAACAATGTTATTATTCCTACACTTATTCTCAAACTAATTTCCTGGAGAGGTCTTGATTTTCTACCATTGAAAACATCAGTCCTTATCTCGATTCCCTATCAGTTTCCTTAGAATCCATCTATTCTCATTCCTCCATCAATGACATGGAGGACCAGTGATGCCTTTCTTCTACTTGATTTCCTCAACCATCAGGCTCCTCTTAAAATTCATATATTTAGATTTCCTGCTCTCTGGATCGATTCAGAAATTAGTCAGTTGATGAGAAGAAAAGAGGCAGTCAGAGGACAATACAGATGTACCCAACAATATTCTGTCTTGAAATCCCTAGGAAATCACACAAATATCCTTATGGCATGCAGAAGCACAATACTTCAACATTTTTTTCCTCATCGCCTAATCCTAAATCCAAATGGACAATCCTTAGGAACCTCTCTGTCATTAGCTCAAAAACTTGCACACATTATCTATTTGATTCAAACAAACTGCCTTCCTTTTTCGTTGATCATCTTCCTTATGTATTCTCATCTGACATCACTTTTTTCCATGACTGAAGCCTCCTTTGATCCATACAATTTTTTTTTCCTTGATATTTCTCCTATTCTCAACCATTCTTAAATCCAAAATTCTCGATTATGGTCATGACCAAATACCTGTGAAACTCTGTCTCGTCAAACTTAAAAACTCATCAAACTCTGTCTTCCAGCCTTACTTTCTACACTTAAACACATTTACGATTTCTATCCAAAATTCAATTTTTTTTAAGTGAAAAAAAAATCATCTGAACAAAGTTCCTGCTCCTTCATCAGCTTCTGACTTCAGACCCATTTCCATTTTATCCAAACCTCTAGAAAACTTAGTTCACTCTCAGTTTTAAAACTTTCTGAAGCAAAACCGTCTCCTCAATCCTTTACAACCCAGTTTTATGGCCAATATTCTAAACCCAATCTTGTCAAAGATTGCCCAAGACCTCCAATCCGAATGCAGATAACACTGAGGCTATCCTCATTGGTTCCAGGCACCTTATAAGTTCCTTTCCTTACTCTCTACTTCACCTCAATAACAGCCCTATCCATTTCCTCTCAACAACCAAAAACCTAAGAGTAACCTTTGATCAGAACCTCTCTTGGAATAACCATATTTCCCAGAAATTCATAATTTAAAAAAAAACAGATAGCTCTTTGTAACTTCTCTTGTTTTTCTCCAACTTGACTATGGTTGCTTGGTGGATGAAAGTCTGCAGATGAGACTAAACGGAATCATGAATTTCTTCAAAAGATTCGTCTATGGGATTCCCAGTCTTTCCCATGTTTCCTGCTGGTACACAGAGTTGAAATAGCTCTATTCTACTTTACATTGGGAATTACTTCTAGATTTTTTTAAAAATGCTTATTCTTATTATCATACACTTGGAGTAAAAAAAAATAAAACAATTATGGGTAGAAATGAATCGTTTTTCAGATTCATAATTAAAATTTTTAAGTTTGTGGAAGTATCAAGACAGTTTAGGTAAACTAATAATTTATGATTATGATTTTATTAATTATCGAAAAGTAATAACTAAATTTTTGCATGTCTCATTTTAACATCACTCAGCTCTATTGACTTCGTAGACATATTATGTTAAAATGTATAATTTGGGGAGCTCAACAAAAATATTAGAGTTTAATATAAGTATTTTTGTAATAGGATATACATACATACTTTCATTGCGTGATTATGGTAGAGCGTTGGTATTGAAATTATGTAGAAAATCTCTTAATACTTCTGTTATTCTAAATTGTCTTTTCTAATTTTATTTTATCACTTATACCCACCTTTAAAATACTGAAAAATGTTTTATTTAGATTTAAAAGGAATATTTACATTTAATAAAAATATAACTATTTATATTTTATTTTAACATTAAGTAATTAATAATCTACAAATAAAATATCTACACAAACTTCATTTATATCATTATCACATAAATTATATTACAATAAATTAATACCAATAACAGTAAATTACATTGAAACTTAATAGTGAAAATGAAAAGACAATTGAGTGGCCTCATACCAAAGGACAATGTTCTTTTCAGAAAGTGGAGAAAAAGTTAATTTTTCCTTTATAGGATCAGCCTAAACTGTTTCTAATGATTTTATTTAAGAATGTTCCAGTTTAGTCATGAAAAAATATAATTGGTTTAAATTGAAGCAATGTTACAAAAATTGGCTTTTTCTCAACTTTTAAAAAAGACAGATAGTCTTTGAGATGAAGCCATTCAATTAAATAAACATTCCACAATATGAAATCTGCACATATAAAATATGTTTTCTATAAACCGAATAGGAATTGCCCCTAGGTAATCCTTGAACGTTTCCCGAATGTTTTCAACAGAGATATCTTGCCTGTAAAGTTTGGAAAGGTGTTATGGTGGGTTGAGAAGCAAAAGAGTTGTCCCAATATTTAAAAGAGACAAATTTTTATATCAGAATTAACAAATCTGTAAGGTAATACGCCATTGTACTTTTGGGGTAGAGACAAAATAAATAAATACAGAACAGAAGCTTTATTGTAAATTTAATGCATGTTCACTTACAATACACTTCACTTATGTTGAGCTGACTACAAGTTCAAGATTCCTGAAGGGCATAAATTACTATAAACAACTAATGGGATGATTGTTTTGAAGCATCATCTGGCTTATAACCAATTTGTTCTTCAGGATTGTGAGGCCAGAAGGTTGGTTTATTCAGTGGATCAAGAGCTAAGTCAGGATGGGCGTGCGCGAAGTCTTCCATTGTCATCTGATCATAAGGAATTAAAGAATTAATGTGGTTTATTTCAGCTTGATATCCTTTTATCCGTTGAGCAGAAGCTTCTTTAAACTCTGCTATCTGTTTTTTCTGAAATAAAATAAAATTATTACGATTTTTTATAGCATCTAATGACATACCATGAAAAAAATCAAGTGCAATTAAGGATAACAAAGCTGTAAACTGAAAACTTCAAGGCATTCTCATTAATTTATTGGATTATATTTAAAACAACATTGAAATAAAAAATGGTATATTCGGTATGCTTCTAATAAAATGTAATATTTGGACTTAAGAATCAATTTGAATGATTAAAAAAGTTGTATACCTGTTGAATAATGAAAAATTTTAACTTAACTTCTTATAACTTTGCATATATTCTTATAACCTCGGGTAAATATATAGTATCCATCACAATTGTGTTAACTTATTTTATACAACAAAACAAAATTAATATTTTCTTTTCTTAAAATTGTATGTATATAAATCTAAATAACCATGAAAACATATTTTGAAATAAAGCTGCAGCTGGATGGAATGATTAATAAGAATCTTATCACGAGGAAAAATTATAGAGTGAGCCCAAATGAACTAGAACCAGTTCTAGTGAAAAACTAGACCAGTATTTTGATCTACTTATGACCCAATAGGTTACAAGCAGAAAAAATAACATTTTAGATATAGAAGTAAGTTTGTACAAATAACAAAAAGAAAAAGTACAGTAGAAATTTGATTCAACAAAAAAAAAGAAGAAAATAAAAATACTCTAGAATCTCAACTAACAAACCCAGCTTCGCATAAAATTTGGTACTATTTTCATGAATGCTCTGTAAGGATGGTGGGTGTAAGATGAAACTCTATATGGAATGCCAAGTCTGTCTGGAAGCATATGGAGGCGATCAACCTCTTGTTCTTCAATAGAAATACATTACTTACCCTTTAATAAGAAAATTTATGTCTTGACTACTTTAATAATCAATAAGAAGATATGTAAATGTAGAATATATTAAAATAGTTGATATAGAAACGAACACAATTTTAATGTTTCCAACCAACTTTAATCAATGCCCCTTGTACTTTTTTTTTATTTTATTTTAAACACTATAATTATGAAGCTAGGAATTATAATGGAAAAAGTGAATATGAATTCAGTTTTCTCAGAACTCAAAAAATGTTACTTAACACCTTTATCTTAATGAACCAATTTCGCCAGCTGTGAATCTAAGAAAAACTCTTTAGACAATTTTATTTTATTTGTTGTTTATTTTCTTTATTTAAGGGAGTGGTGTAGGTCAGTGACTAAGGCACTATGTTCCAATGCTCAGGATCCTAAATTCGAGTCCGGCTGTGGCAAGTAATTATTTAATCTGTTACATTAGCCCTGGATAAACCTCCTGGGGAACACCCAGCCTCTATAAAGTGGGTATACTTAATTAAATAATTAATCAAGGAGGAAAACCAGGCAGTTGGGCCAAGAAGATGAAATATACATTCATAGAGCATAAATCAAGATGCATGAAATGTAATAGTAAGCTAAGCAACAGCATCAGCTTTTAGAACTCTTTCAGCCTTCTAAAGTCCTAGGCTCCATTCATGCAGGGAACTTATAAATTCCATGTGGAGGCAGAAGAGCATCTTAGGGCAAACCTTCCTACAATAAATTTGATGCCTGACCTTTCAATGGCTTGGGAGAAAACCCAGAGGTTTGGTATGGATCAAATATTGAAACAAAGACTCAACATGGGCTTCAATAGTTCAAGAATAGGGTACTACTTTTCAATTTTTGCTTCAAATGATTTTTGTGCATAAGATTTCATGATTAAACTACAAATAGATCTCTGGAAATGGTCAAATAATCAGGTGTTCACAGGTATAACCTCTCCTTAATTAGATCAGGGTTCACAAACCCCCAAGTCCTTTTTGGTTAAAATCGAGACCTTAATTAGTTTTAAGCAAATCATTACTTTCAACTTTGGCTCATTAAAAACAGGGATAAACAAACCCCAATAGTTCCTTATCAGTTGATGTTGGTGGTTTATAAGATACTTTGTTCAACTCTTGAAATTCCATTAATAATGTGATCATGAAATCTTGTGCTAATACTTGTAAAGCAGTACGAGGAATAGAATAAGGGCTATCGATATCTGCAGTTCAAGTGATTAAAAGGTTGGCGAAACTTTCTTGCAGCAAGGGTCAACTTTAAAATTTAGTTTTAACATTGGCTGATGCAGAAATCTTGTGATTCCCCCCCCCAACATTTTATTGAATTATCAATTCACTCAATATAAAGAAATGATTGTGTTTATCAAGCATAAAGTATGAAAAATTATAATATAATTGCAGCACATACCACTTCCTTTTCCTGGGCATCAATCAGAGGGGTCACATTATCTTGAGGATAAGGTATTTGCAAAGTCTCATACTTTTTCTGGAAGGTATCAACCATTCCTGGTACAGGAACTTTGGCCTTGTAATATGTCCAATCTATCTTAGGGGGATTTTCTGGATTCACCATCACCCTAGATGTAAAATTATTGGAATTAGCAATTAATTTGGATTTTACCAAAACTTTTAAATTGTAAGACGACTAACCTTCTCAAATAATTTTCGGATCTGGTTTTAAATTGTAAAAAGCTTGGTTTTTGGGCTTCGGGTACTCTTTCAGCAATCTTAGCCCAATCAATTGCAGAACCAGCGATTCGTTTAGCGGACATATTTATAGATAAAATTAACACAAGTGGAAAAATATAAAAGATAAAACCTGTGATATGGGAATAGTCAGCTGACCTGAAGAAAATTCAGCTGATACTCCTGCCAGTGTTGCAGTAATAGATATTAATTATTTAACAATATTAATTTATATTACAAATATGTAAATTTAACTATCATTGTGAACAACATTAAAGTGATTCAAGCAAAAATCAGAATAAATAACAACGTTTAAATGATAAGTTTTATTGACAAAGTTAAATTTCGATGTTAAACAATACAAAATTCGCTATTGAAGGGGGTAGTATATTTCTGGTAGGTGGTGATACAAAAAATACCACATTTCTTACGAATCTATTCGAAAAAAATATGTTACATAGTATAAACAATAGGATAAAATGCAGTAACAACTTGAGCTATCGGTAGAGGTAAATCCAACTCTCCTTTTAATCTAGTAATCGATAACGCGTTACCAAACTGTTTTTGCTATGGGCTTAATTTTTCAAAATGCCAAAGAAAAAAAAAGAACAAAAAATAAGAAAAACATTAAAAAAAAGTACCAAGGGAAACTTTAGATATTTAATAAATATTGGTATGAAGAATGCCAAAAACTGGAATATTTTAAAAAACAAGTTAAACTTTAAGCATGATAGAGATTTTGTGGAATGTTTACTTTCTGTAACTCTAAAATGTCTCAGGTATTTTATAGTCTTTGTTTGGTTTGTGGTCTTATACTATATTGTTTTTGGGTAGTAAGATGACAAAATTGTTTCATAATTTTAGTTCCAAAAGCATCTGTGAAAATTTGAAAATAACTTTACCAATAGCAAAAGAAAATCCTGTTGATATGCTTACTGTTGATGAACCAGAAGTACTTACTCCATTAGGTAAAAATCCTGATAAACTTCATGAAAATAATACTGCTGCTATTAGAATTGTTGATAAATATGATGTTAAGATCAGCAATAAAGATGTTTGCAGTGATGTCAATGAGAAATTAAAAATTGATAAATCAGAAAAAAATGAAAACCATGATGCAGGGAATGTTATTAAACATACCAATGGAAGGGCTGAGTAAATATTTTTGTATATTTACTAGAGTTAATCTATCATTAAAATAATTTATATTAACTATTATTTTTTTATAATAGCACTATTTCTAATTTCAATCAAACTCCTAGAGATCATTATTAATATTTTATTTTATTTGTTTATTTTTGTGTTAAAGTTTCTTAGGATTCTTTACAAGACTTTTAGAATTTTTCTCTCTAATATTTTCGTAGAACTTAAATAGATTATAAAAGTCATAAAACAACAATTTAAAAAAATATTAATAATTTCCTAGAACTCTGATAAATAAAAACAATTGATTAAAAAATATATTCTCATTTACTTCATTGAATAGAATGTTATAAAAAGTTTCTTATAAATCCAGTATTAGTTTATATAATTATCCAGCTTTAATACTGTATATGTAATTTGATTAAATAAACATTTTGGGGCTTAGGAAAAAAAATATATATATTAGTTGATAAAGGCTATATTAGACTGATTAAGGGGAAATGCTATTGCCTGAGATGTACCATTAAAAATTATTTATACTTTCATAATTTTTGAATTAATTTAATGTTAATTGTTAAAATTTATATTCCTCATTTATAACAAAAATAATTTATTAATTTTTGTGATAATTGATTGAAATATGAGTTATAGTTATGATAGTTTAAAACTGTACATATACATAGAACTGATTAATATTTATTGAAAATTTGTTTTTAGAATAAAAAGTCATTAAGCTGGACATTCAGTCCAAAATGTTAGCCTTATAAGTGGAAAGAATTAAAATAATGGATTATAAATCATTTTAAAAATAAAAAATATTATGAAAAAATATCTTAAATATTTTTTTTTGTATACTCCTGTTTAACAGAAGAAATAAGTGGAAATCTGCCATTTATTCAAGTATACTTAAATTATTGACTTCCTCTTTAAGATTAGTTCACTAATTACTAATGAATTTCTCTTTTAGCGATATTCTTTCTCATTGTTCTTCAAAGAGGTTGTTAGTTTTCAAGACATATATTGGAAACAAGTTGTGTAAATACTGTGATGGGTCTCATAGCCATTCTAGCTGTCCCTTGAACTTCTCTTCTAAATTTATTTTTGACAGTATTTCCCTTGATGATTGGGGAAGAGGTACAGTATAGGTTCAATTGCTTATTTGATTTTCATATTGCCAGATTTGGCTTTTATTTAATACCTGACATATCTTTTTTTATGAGGTTAGGTGGAAAAAACTTGGATATTCCTTTTATTGTGTGGAATTTGTATCCACTAAAACCATCTCATTACATCTATTTTCCATCCTCCTCAGGAAACCATTAAGCTTGAGATCATGAAGGAGGAGTGACTTTGTACCACTCAATCAGACTTGTTAGAACTCTTCCCTCTTTCCCCAAAAGTGGAAACAGTATAAGTGCACATGGTTCTATGTGCTCTTTGAATGTAATAAATTATAGGGGAAAAAATGTATTCTAGGACAAAAAAAGTCCTCTAAGAATACTGTCAAGTCCCCATAGTTGGGGCAATTTTTCATTTCAAATGTCTATAAAAAGTTTGTTGTGTTTAGTAGAACATTAGGTGCAAGTAAAGTGGGTATAAGTAAGGGTGCAGTCCCATGCGTGGGGATTTGACTGTAATAATAATGTTCAGAATTTATTCACATTAGTCTGGGAATATAATTATAAAAAGGTGTAATTAGCATTGTTTGATTAATTATTTTTAATTATCTATCAGTAGTATTTGTAATTACAAAAATAAATTTTGTGAAGGAATAAGAGTTGATTAAAGAAATTTATTGAGGATGATTGACACAGTGAGATGTTTAAAGAATAATGAAAGAGGTAACATGAATGATGAAAGAATTTCAGAAGGGATTGGTTTAATGGGAGGGGATGTACGGATTAATAGATTGAGATCAAGTATTTAAAGAGTGAAAAGAGGAACATATAGCAAGGAGTTCAAGGATGTAAGATTTTCGCATTCCAAAGTTTTTGACTGTCAAGGAAAAATTTATAAATCATTTATTGAGATAAAGTGGGGGATATTAAGGAAGTGAATTAATGAGATGCCTAGAACCAATGAGGATAGCTTAGATTTTTTCAGTATTGAGCGTCAATTCATTGTTTCTGCCCATCAACAGATATTGTTGTTGGTTGTATCAACAGACACAATCAATATCTTCTTGTAACTTTCATGTTGCCTCAGACATCTTGAAATGATGGGGTAATTTGTGATTCATCTGCATATAAGTGATATGGGGAGTTGTGAATAGAGCCATACCACAGGTATGGCATTTCTCTAATATAAATATAAAAAAAGATTTAGAGAGAATGAGGAACATCTCATGTTACTTGAAGGAGGAAGAAGGAGAGTTATTATGAATGACAAATGTTTGGATAGAAACCACTTTAAAATGCTATTTGATATAGAAAGATTTTAAAGTATGGAAAGGAGTATCTTATGATTAACAGAATCAAAAGCTTTTGAAAAGTAAAAAAGGATTCAGATAAAGATTTTCTCTTTATTAATGGAGGATTGGAGGTCTTGCGCTCTCTTCAATTAGATAGTTTGGTAGAGTATTGGAATTGAAAACTGGATGTTAAAGGATGTTTCACTACATATGATTTTACTGCAAATGATAGTAAGGAATTTTCAATAATAGTTTAAATACTATGAAATCTAATGTTAATTATCTGTATATTTAATTTAGGTAATTAACAATTGCTTAATAGTAAACCAGACACATTTCTCTTTGAATGCAAGTAGTGTTTGTCTTTGTTAAAACCGTTTAAAGTGGACTTTTAAGCAGCTAAACTAAGCAAAGATTCGTTTTTCATAGAATAATGGATTGCTTTCTGATTTGTATGTAAAAGAATATCATTTTTTTTTCTTCAAAATATCACTTTAAAGTGGTAATGGCTTGTGTTTTTTTGTATGATCACTATTTTATAATAGGAATTGATCCATATTTTTCATTAATTGAGAACTTTAATGTTCTGAATCCTAACATTTACTTTTTCATGAAAATAAGTCAAGCGCTTGGCCCATATAATATATTTGTTATTTTTACTTTTTTTAGGAGTATTAATTTAATAATTCAGTGCATTAGGGTTTATTGTGGTTAACCAAAGAAAAACGGGAATGTACCATTCAAATCTTATGATTAACATTATTTGTTTTCTGATTCATAAGTTCCCTTTTTGAAAATGTTTGCAATATTTTTCTATATTTCCATATTAGATGTGTTTTCATGTGACGAATGTCATTACTATTTGTTTTATCAGTCATGTGTTATATTTTTTTCCGTTATTTATGTATTTGGAATTTATATATTTTAAACAATTAATCAGTGATGTTTCTTTAATAATATTTAATTTAATAGTGAACTTAATGTTTTAACATTTTCTAGAAGAAGGATTTGCAATTGCTTCTCTGCCAAGTGACTTACAGCTGAAAGATGGCAGAATATATACGGTTGTGCCAATTCCTTTTAAAACACAGTTTGGCCCTCTTGTGGGTGTACCTATAAGAGAAGTAGAAATTTTTGATGATTCGAGTATGGAACATATCTGGGAGGTAATTAAACAAAGTTTATACATTCGCATATGATTGTTTATTTCTTGATGAGCTTGTTTTTAAGCTAAATTTACCTTATCCAAAATATATATTATTAAGTAGTTTTAACAGTTATATCCAAACAATAATTTAACTATTTAATATGCAACTCTAATCATAATCTCTATTTAATCTATGTTCAATTATCAGTTTATAATTAACTATAATTTATTTATTTTTTTAAAGTATACTTAAGGACTAGATTGTCACTTTTTGCAAACTATCATTACCCTCAGACAACAAAGTTATTGTTAATAACTTGATAGTCCCATTAAGGTTATATGACTCGACTAATATATACCTAGATGGTTCAACATGATTCTTTATAATTCATTTTGATACTTTAAATCTCGAATTTTGTACTTCACTTGACTTAATCCTGATTTCTATCTTCATGTAAAAGACACCTATTTGTACTATAGAGTATTTTAAATGCATTTTTTGAGAATGTGCCCTGTTTTCTTTATGAGTGAGTGGTGCTGTTATTTTAGAGATGGATCTATCAGTCCTTGATGGACAACCACCTTGTAACCATTAAGAGGTTAACTTGGAACTTCTTTTTAATCTGAATATTTGAATATGTGTTGATGGAAAGAACACTGTTGAATTGGCGAATTGACTGCAATAGGACCGATTGTTCAGCTTTTTTTTTTTCTCACCCTTTAGGCTACACGGGGCTTTCCCGGGCCAGGAGGTGGGGACATGAGATTAATGTCTTAGTCATTTTAATTAGGATTAAAAGCCTTCTGGGCCCCTAACTCGTTATAATTTTTTTCAAATTATATTTGATCTGGATTGGCAATGTGCACACGCATTAGCCCACTCGGCCATCCCGCCCCTACCAATTGTTGAGCTATGTATGATCTTCCTACTACTTCTTAGAAATACGATTTGCTGCAACATGTGCCTTTGTTATTCTCCATCTGGCTATCTGTGCTCCCAGAAGTAATAAATTTCTGTAAAAAAATCATATCACACTGCCAAAGACCTTGGTATTTAGTTCTATAGAGTGTCCCAAAATTAACGCAAGATTTAAATGAAATACAAAACACAGTCCTTTCTTCTTTTGTTTCCTTTTTCTTTGTCAATTTAACAGCTAATAGTTCAGGGTTAATAAAAATGGAGTTTTATATGAGCAAACAATATGTTTTCATTTTTGAAAAATATTTTTAAAATAATGAAAGTCTTGCGGCCATAGTTTGAAAATTTTGTACAAAATATCGTCGGAATAGTGATTTAACTTCATCAACTGTGAAGAGAGTGGTTGAGAAAGTCAAGCAGACTGGATCAATTAATGATGTTAAACACTGGCGGTTCAAAAACAAGCCGCTAAAATGTCAACATCGAAGCAAGACAAATGGCCACAAGACTTTCATTATTTTTAAAATATTGTTCAACATCACTGAGTGTTTAACATCACGCCAATTGATCCAGTCTGGTTGATTTTCTCAACCACTCCTTTCACAGCTGATGAGGTTAAATCAATATTCCGACTATATTTTGTGTGGCCGTCCTAGACTTTCATTATTTTAAAAATATTTTTGAACAATGAAAACACATTGTTTGCTTGTATAACACCCTATTTTTATTAACCCTAAACTATCAGCTGTTAAATTTACAAAGAAAAAAGTAACAAAAGAAGAAAAAACTGTGGTTTATATTTAATTTAAATCTTGCGTTAATTTTGGAACACCCTATAGAAGAAGAAGAAATGTAAATTTTGTTCTGGGACATCTCGCTGCCCAAGTAGTAATACTGTTTGTATCTTCTTGTAGTCTTCGGATTGCCTCAAGCATCTCAGTATGATAAAAAAAAAGGTAGATTTGGAGATCGTAAGCATATAAGTTCTTCATGAAAAGAAAATGAATTAAAGGATGTGACAATCGTGAGTATTAATGTGTCACCTTAGCAACCTTGAATATGATGGAACTAGTCTGAATCCGGCCTGATTGGTAGAAATTTATGCTTTGGAGGACACTTGGAATGAATTTCGACCTTCCATTCTGGTTAAAATAGGTTAGTCTCCATTTTGGCCACCACATACTTCCAAAACTTTATACCATATTTCTCATGAAGTACGAAGGCCCCTTTTGATTCTACTGATTTTGTTTGTTGAATTAACTTTATTGATTTCTCACAATCTATTGTCATGCTGAAAAAAAAATAAATAAACAAGACTGAATGTTTTTTTATTTAGATTGATAACTTGTATAACACTTTGTTACAAAAATGTCACTCATTACCGCTTCTTGTAGCTCACAGCACTAAAATTGTGTGTTTTACATGGAAGTTAACCCATTGTAGCCAATTGTTGATAGATTTAGTGTGTGGTAGACTTGTAGCATTTTGTTGCTTCCAATAGATGGTCACCCTTAGAGAGAAGGGGATAAACAAGAAACTAACAAAAAAAATTATTTGTTGATCTATACATTTATTTTCATTTTGTTTAATTTCCTTTAAATTGAATATTAGAAATTATAATATGAAAAAAGCTATATGTGAATGATTTTAATTAAAGGATTACATTGAAAATTTTGATAGTCAAAATTATTTTTATTATTTTATTTATTAAATTTAAAATTATATGAAATATTATTTGTGAACACAAGTACAATTGTTGTACTCGCTCTGTCCTCTTTTAGCTTTCAGAAGGAAAGTATATCTGTACAGAAGATGTAAGTCAGTCTAATTGGATGCGTTGGGTTCGGCCTGCTCCTTCAAGAAATCAGAGGAACCTAGTTGCACTCAGTAAAAATGGGTCTCTTTATTTTGTCGCTCTTAAGTTACTTGAGATTGGAGACGAACTTTTGTATTGGGCAGAGCCATCAGGGCCATGGTCATCTAAAAATATTGATAAAACAAGTTTGTATATTCATCCAGAAGTCTCATATTTTTTAAAAATTTATATATTTAATTTATCGAATTAACATAGTGGTACTGTTATTGTTAATCATATTTTTGCATGAGCTTTTTTTGGCCTGAATAAATAGAATAGGAAAGAATAGTTTATTTTATTTGTCTAAGGAAATTCCTGTACAAATAAATATAATGGTATAATTAACAATGTTAGATTTTGAGTCTAGTACTGCGTTCAAACATGATAGACATAACCACAGCATTAAGTATGACTAATATAATAACAGATTAGTAAACGATATATATATATAATGTTTTACTAATTGTTTATGTATATATATATATATATATATATATATATATATATAGGTTCAGTGTACGTTATAAGTTGGGTCAGGTTTTCCAATGGATGAGTCTAGAGCTCTAAGCCTATTAAAGCATTGTCTAGGTAGTCTTTCATCACTCATTAAGCTTAGCTTTGTCCAATAGTTGATCACTTTTTTCAACACTTAAACAGGCCTGAATAAATATAACAATACTATAAAACTTTTTGAATCCTTAAATAAATATTTACATTTCTTTCTGAATATATATTCTAAATAATGTATCAATCATTATTTATCATAGATCTTGTGAAAAAATTAAACATATGTAATGGTTGAATATTGATGTATCTTTTTGTATGATATTTTTGTATTAAAAATTTTGTTATTGATTATTTTATCATTAGAATTGTTGACTATACCAGCTCATTTGTTTCTATTTTAGATTGTGGTGGATGCAATTTGACATTTCCAAGCCCTATAGGTTACAGACTTCACTGCAATGTTTTTCACGACCCTAAACTATCCCTTACTGTTAGGAAATACCACTGTAAAGTATGCGCTGAACCTATTCTCGGGAAACAGAATATTATCAGTCATGCAGCAAGTGCACATGGTGGAAAAGGGGCATACCAATGTCAGTTCTGTTCAAAGGTTGTAATTTATTATAAATTGTTTTATTTAAACTGATTTGATGAGTCAGTATTTTAAATATTAGTTCTAAATGTCAATATATTACCAACATATATTATAACCAATTTTGTGGTGAACATTCAAAGTCTCCATTTGTATCATTCCTTTTATTAAGAAAAAAATATTTATAATAAGTAAGGTCTTTTAAATTGATAAACTTCAGACGAAAATAAAGTAATAGAATATAAAATAATACAAATTTTATGAGACCATATTCCTTAAGAATAATAGAAAGGTAAATACAAACAAAAATGAATCTGGCAAAATCTTCTATTAGATTACACAAATAAACAATATCCTATGAATTCATAAAAAATGAAAAAAAAAAAAGAGGAAATCCTACTGTTAAACTTTACCAACTTTAATATAAATAGGCAAATGAAAGTAAAAAAAAAAGAGAGAGAAATAAATTAGTTTGTTGATTAAGGCCAATCTTAATCATTAAAAATTATTGCTTTTTAAATTATTTTAGATCGTGAAAAGGAAATTTGTATAAATATAAATGCATTTATTATATAAATATAAATGTATTTATTATATAAATATCTAATATATTTATGTATTATATAAATATATTAGGACTCCTTCCGGTTGCCTTTAAGATCATGACCAATATCCTGTTAAATCGGATATATCCACATTATGAAAATATAATAGGTGACCACCAAGCTAGATTCAGAAAAGGAAAGAGCACGCTAGACCAAAACTTCATCCTAAAACAAGTACTCGAAAAACGAGGGGATATAACTCAGGACATCCATACCCTATTTGTCGATTTCCAATGTCTTTGGAAAATTATGACTGAACAGGGAGTTCTCGGTAAGTTGGTGAGATTGACAAGGGTCTGTACAAATGACATTAAATTTTGAGTCCTAATACAAGGAGAAGTGTCTAAAGCCTTCAAAGTTCAAATGAGCTTACGGCAGGGAGATGGACTATCACGGATGTTGTTCAACTCAGCTCTAGAGAAGGTAATAAGATCAACATCATGCGAAAATGGAGGTGTCCACGTCGGACTGAATCATAAGATCCTTGGATACAGAGATGCTTAGGTGTTCTTGGAAGTAATCAAGAGGGCATTGAGAAACTCGCTAAGACTCTGATAAGAGAGGCAGAGCAAATTGACCTACAAGTTAATGAAGACAAAATAAAATATATGATAAGCCGAAAATTCCACCCGATTAACAGGATCTACATACAAAGGAAATCGTTCCTATGAGTAGAAAAATTTAAATACCTCGGCTCCAAAATCACCTCAGTGAATGGTCAGCGATCAGAAACAGACTGGTGTATGACTAGTGCAAACAGAGCTTCCTTCTCCCTTTGAAAGGTATTAAAATCCCCAAAATCTCAAATTAAGGGTGTATAGTGCTATGATAATACCAGTTCTAATATATAGCTGTGAGATCTGGACACTAACCAGCACACTAGAAAAAAGCATTGAAAGATTTGAGAGAAAAATCCTCCGAACGTTAACTGGAGTGATCTGGGATCAGAGTACTAACACATGGAGAAGTAAGACCAATAAAAAACTGCTTACAGCTGGTCAATCAATATCCCATGATATTAAGGCACAGAGGTTAAGATGGACGGGGAATCTAGCTCCGAGCAATCCATCTGAAAGCCTCCATGTAACACTGAATGCCTCAACTCAATAGAAGGCAAAAGACCACATGGAAGACCAAAAAACAGATTAATAGATATGCAACAAAGATGAAATAGAGCGGCATGCAGATAACTGGAAAGAAATAGCCCAAGACAGGCAGAGATGGAGCAGGATTGTTAAGACGGCAAAAGATCTACAAGGTCAGTAATGCCAATAACTAAAAAAATATATTTATCCAACAATTTAAATAACCTTTATTTAATTTCTGTTTATAATTTTTCTATTTTCTATTATTACTTATAGTTTATAATTATTGCTTATTTTCAAATTAGATTATTACTTAATACTATTATCATAATTCAAAAATAGATAATTGATTATTTTTTTCATTTAAAAATTAAACTAGTTTTAGTTGACTAAAAAAGTAAGTAGATTTAAAACTATTTTAACTGCTGCATCTCAGTCAAAATGTTATCTAAACTTAAATCATTATTAATTGTGTGGATTTTTTTTTTAAAAATTTATTAATAACATTATATAAACCAGCAATGTTACTTAATACAAATAATGTTTATATTTATTGAGGAAATTTTATTTTCATATTTGTTAATTTTTTGGTCTTGGAGTATTGTAGTCATTTAACTTATCAAACAAAATAAAACTGAATAATTTATATAGCAGTTTATAAAATAAATTTTTTTTTATTTATTTATTTAGAAATATTACTTTCTGTCACAATCAAGAACATTTATAATAGTGTTCAGAGAGCACACTCACACTATAATAAAATAAAATAACAATTTTTTTTGTTTCTTTTATACAGTTTTTCCTACGTTTGAATTATTTGGAAATGCATCGAAACTACAGCTGTCAATTGAATCCCCACCGATCCAAGCCTTTATGTCACCACTGTGGTAGAAAGTTTTGTCAACCGCAAAAGCTAAAAGTCCATATTAAGAGGATGCATAGTGGTTAGTTATTTTATCTATCCATAATAAAAATAATTTCACTTCGAGTTGAATTTCAATAATGCATTTCACATTTTGGTTCTAGTTCGTTGTTAACTCAATACTTGTTAAAACAAAGTTTCAGAAATATTCTTTTATTTAAATTAAAAACTATTATTTACTAAACATTTTATTTATATATTACATATTTTGAAGCATTAAATATTATACCTCAATGCTATATTTTCATTTATTAAAATTATTGTTTTGTAGGTTTTTTTCTTTACTTTATTATTGTTTATACTAGAATATTATTTTTTGTTTCATAGTTTTGTACTTAATGCAATCATTAACAATAAAAATTGACATTTTCAGCTTGTGCCAAATTGAGAATTAACCATCATTATTTAATATTAATTATCTTGTTATTTTTTCTTTAGAAATGCTAGACACATTGAAAGAATTTCAGTGTAGTTCTTGTATGAAACTTCTGGGGTCTCATGCTGCTCTCCAAAGGCATTCTAAAGAGGTTCATAAAAAACTGCCTGGAATTCCTTGCTCTCGCTGTGGGAAGGAATTTCGTAACACTTCCAACCTTAAAATTCACATGTTGACACATTCTGGAGTGAAACCATACAGGTACTCGTCAATTTATTTTATAAATATATTACTAAAATTCACAATATTATATAGTAATGAAAAAAAAAAATTATAATGGCACCACCCTTAATGAACCTAAACTTTTTATAACGCGTGTCAAAACCAAGGTTTTCCATATTGAGGTGTGGCACAATTGTATCCTCCCTCCTTTATATCTTGTCACCTTCACAAAGATTATCCGTTTATATATTTAAGTGCTTGTATTACAGATTTTTCCTCATTTATAAATGTTGATATTAGTACATAATGAAAACACCTAATAACTATTAGATAGATTAAAAATAAACTTTATTATGGGACAAGATCCCTTAAGAATAATATTAATAAATTATTTATGAAATAAAATGTAGGTTTGTACTGCCATAGTAATTTTGGTACCTACATCAAATACTGAGTCTAAAATACCCTTTCATCCTAGAAAAAGAATTTTTTTTTTAAAATAACAAGATTAAGAATAGAAATTTTAAAAATCTATTGATAGCATGCCAAATCCCCAACATACCAAATTGTGGCACACATCCCTTGGAACAACAAAGAAAGCATCTGTCAAACCGAGGTTCCTTCTCTGATAAGATCTATCAGGGTTCAATTACCTTGGTATTTTCAGAGATTGAAAGAAGTTTCTGAGGAAATTAGATTATAAAATCTATTGGTGCAATATTTTTATTTACCTTTTGCCAAAAGCATACATATTTTTTTTTAGCATATATATATTTTTTTATCTCTACCTTTTTTTTTTTTGGTTTGTTTTACTTCCTGTTTCCAATTTTCTCTGCATCTGATTTTTTTCATTGGTTTCTTTTATTGATTCTGACTCCTCCAATCAGTTTCTCAGCATATTAACATAGAATAAAAGAGACTATAATTATCATAAGTGTGTACCTATTAAAAATTAGACCCGTATACATGTTTTTGTATTAACTGCAAGATAGGCTTATTATACCAGATGTTGGATTTACATCCTAGTAATTCAATTATATTATTTATTATACATCTCAAATATTTGTTTAAATATTACACATGGAGATCCACTGGTCCACTGGTCCATAGGGATCCATATCTTGCTTTGTCCCCTCTCCCTTGACAGCGTTATCTCTACGTCTGAGGAACAGGTGCCAGATGAGTGCCCTCTGAACAACCCCACTTACTGGGGTGGCTTCATCAAGAGAACAAAGCACAGCTATGAGCCTGAACTCACACCCGGGCGATTAGAGAGGAATCAAAAATTGCCGATCGGCTACACCCTTCTGAACGTGGCAACAAGACGACGGAGAAGACAGCAACGCGGGCAGTAACTGCTTATGGGACAAGGCATAATCTAAAGCCATGAGATCGCACCCCCCTAATTATTGTATATATCATAAGTTCAGTAGACTAACACCTTTAACAAATGAATGCCCCTTCAGAGAAATCAGTTTAATTAATATAAATAGAATTTCAGGTTAAACAATTCACAAATATTCCCAAACCTTATTTTTTTTTTTTATCTATATAAGAAAAGGCCATATAACATGTACCGGGCCCATGTACCCCATTATTGTACACCAGGTTAGAAAAACCCATCTATTTTCTAATCTGATTGACTAATTGAAGTGCAATTTTTTATACATTCATCTTCAATCGATAAGAAAGATATCAGAATATTTTAATGGAAAAAGGCATAACCTATTTTGCCCCTTATTGCTGCCGCATTCTCAATTACATGAGAGAAAAATTTAATGTATGTTTATCCATTATTAACTGTAAATTTATTTATTGACCCGAATAAGAAAAAAAAATGTAAGAAAAGTAGAGAAAAGATTAATAAAAGAGAGAACCTTGTTAATAAAGAAAACTGGCAGGCTAGTAGAAACTGCATAATCTGTACTGATATTAAATAATAAAACAAGGATTTCAAATAATTTCGAGATGCCATTCTGTATTTTTGAAATGAGTATTTTCAGGGGTTCCTGAATAAAGGTTGACCAACATATGACAAAGAAATTGATCACATAGACAGTGAACCATAAAAGTTGGCAATATGGGGTAAATACTTCTGAACCAGGCTATTCAAAAGAAACTAAAAATCTTTTAGTTTTAATCATTTTAAAAAAAGTCTAAAGTTGTTTTAAGAATTATCTTAAAACCTGTTTTCATTCAACTAAAATGTTTTATAATAATATATTATTGAATTCACAGGTGTCGAGAAAATAACTGTAGTTCTGCATTCACCACAAAGCAATGTCTTCAGTTACATTACAAAAACATCCATGGTTTATCAGAAAGTGAATTGCCTCAAATAGAACGCTCAGTAGAATACACCTTTGATGCATATTCTGGAGAAGGTTCGAGTCACAGAGGTAATTTACATAAATGATTGTATTTTATCATTTATATACCTATTTCTGCCATAAATACTGTTACAAAAGTTGAACTTTGTTTATATCCTTGGGTATTATTTAGATAATCCTTACCTCCATCAGGTTATTTTCTTTACATGTCAGGATAATAATTCCGATTAGTTTGTATTTTTCTTTTGCTCACTTAACATAGAGTGGGGGTGATAAAGAAAACCGAATAGCTGTGATCGCCTTACACAAAGTTGGAAAATGTAGGTCAGAGATTTTCAACACTTTGAAACCTTTGGGTATCAGTCGTATGTTCATGTACCGCACTATAAATAGATGTAATGAGAACCCATCTGTATGTTACAGACTGTGAGATCAGCAAATACAGTGAGAGCAGCGGCTACTCGAATCAGAAGAAATCCCATTCAAAACAACAAATCATGTCTTGGGAAGTGGGAATCTCTGTCAGATCAATGTCTCGCATAGTAAAAAGTGACCTTAGGATGGGTGCATCTCAAAGAATGACAGGACAAAGGCTAACCACTCTCCTAAAAAAATTAGAGTGGATTGATGCTAAGTGCTCCTTGGCCGTTACACCAATGGTCTTCATCGTAAGATTTTGTTTAGCGATGGGAAAATTTTTACAAATGAAGAAAAATTTAGTTGCCAAAATAACCGTGTGTAGACACACATCTCTAAAGAAGCACAGGAAGTCATTGGAAGAATGGAAAGAGCTCATCACCCTTCTTCAGTGGTGGTTTGGTGGGGAGTTTGCTTTAGTGGCACCACAAAGCTCCATTTTTGTGAAAAAGGAGTTAAAACAGCTGCTAAAAACTATCTGGACGATATTTTGGAACCTGTTATCAAGCCTCTAAATGATACTCTGTTTGCTAAAAGTCATTGGGTTTTCCAGAAGGATTCCGCTCCAGGTCACAACACCATGTCAACTCAGCAGTAGCTGCAAAAGAACATTCCAGAGTTCATCTCTGCCTCGGGTTGGTCCTCAGAAAGCCATGATCTCAACTCACTAGATTATCGGCTTTGGTTCGAACTTAATGTTACTTATATGCCGAAAGCATTAGGGGATGAATAGCTATCTAATATGAGAATTCTCATTGGGCTATACAAGTATAAATAAATAATATAGTTGCTTTTTCAGTTTTTATGTATACAAAAAATTTACCGATTTATTTTTGTGTCTACAGAATCCAAAGAAGTTGAAGATGCAATGCCAGTAGAATCTGTTAATGCACCTGAAACTTTGATTGTGAGCAAGGGGAGTAGAAAATGGATGGGTGATTTGCCGAAAGAGGTAAAAAAAGATTTTATTTACATTTTTATAGACATTAAGAAGGGGGAGAGGAACATGCAAAGGATGGTTTTCATGGTTGGTAAAAAATACTAAATATCTACAAAAAAATTACCTTTTTGTTTTAGTAAAAAACATGGGAACAAAAGTAGCTGCACAAACATAATTAAACACAATGACATTACAGATTATAATATCTCTTATTTTTAAAGGTTATTCATTTCCTAAAATACATAATAACCAAATAAATGAAGTTAAATAAACACTAACCTAAAGTTTTGGTAGTGAATTCACCTTCAATCGGTATGTAGTTATGACGGTTTCAGACATCTATGTATATACATACTCAAACTTTTTCTATACAACAAATATGTATTTAACAACACATGTTTTAAAAAAAATATCAAAGATTTTCTCATTAATACATTAATAATAAATTTCAGGAAACAAGAGAAAGAATAGAAGAGCCAACAGTGTTTCCAAGGTATAAAGTATCACCACTTTTAAACATTAATATAAATTTAAATAAAATCAAACAAAATATTTGTATTCAGTCATTGAAGCTGTACTTTCTTGTAGAAATGATAGTGCGAGTGCTGCTAGTCTTCTAGTAGAAGCAGCCATTGAGTCAGCAGAGAAAGACATTGGTTCGACTTATTTTCCATATTTCTCTCCTTCAAGGTATGTAGAAACATTTTTTTTTTTTTTTTTCACTTACATTTATTTATCCGCACCTGTCAATTATTATTGACAATCAGCAGATGTGCTGGCTTAGTAATGAGAGAAAAATAAAATAAAATAAAAAAATAAATAAATAAAAAAGGCTTGATAGGCATGAGGAATAGCAATACCCAGCGGTATCCCTTCCATGGCTTTTATTTACTAACATTATTTAAGCAGATCCCTCATCCAGACCCTTTTCAGTCGTCTTCTGGAGTTCTCGGGCATACTAGTTGTGGCCATTTCTTTTACCAGCTGGTTGGAGTGCCCGTTTAACATGTTATGAAATCGTTTGTAGTACGTTCGTATGTGTTCATTGACTGTCGGAACGTGTAGGTCGGTGTGTAAAGTGTGATTGTTTACGTACCATGGTGCTTGAGTGATTAGTCGTAGTATCTTAGACTGAAAAGTTTGAAGTTTATTTATGTGAGTTGGTTTTGCAATTCCGTATATTTGTAGTCCGTAAGTCCAAAGAGGTTTTAAAAGATACGTGTAAATACTTAGTTTCTGTCTTGCTTTTAATTTGGAAGGTCGTCTTAACAGTGTATGTAACAATTTTAGTCTTAGATTTAATGTGATTCGTTTTTTCTTCACATGTGGACCCCATGTCATTCTCCTATCGAACGTAAGGCCTAGGTATTGTACTCTGTCTGTTTGTGGAATCGGTATGTTGTCTAAGTATACAGGAGGGCATGTTTCTGGTCTTAGAGTAAATGTGATGTGCTGTGACTTTTGATAATTTATTTTAGTTTTCCAAAGTTTACACCAATCGAGTATAATTTGTAAGTGATGTTGTAAGTTAAGTGATGCCTCTGTAGGATTGTCGTGCCTGGTAATGATAGCAGTGTCGTCTGCGTAGGTTGCTGTAAGAGTGTGGATACTTTGAGGAATGTCGTGTGTGTATGTGATGTACAGTAGTGGGGCTAGGATTGATCCCTGAGGTACACCAGCTAAAACTGATCGAATTGAGGATAGACCTTGGCCATGTCGAACGGAGAAAAATCTATCTGAGAGAAAGGAATGGAGAATTAAGTAGTAAGTATGTGGAAGTATGGTCTTAAGCTTGAAGAGAAGCCCCTGATGCCATACTTTGTCGAACGCTTGGGCGACATCCAGAAATACTCCGGTTGCATATAATTTCCGCTCTAGTGCTGTAGAGATGTAGTCAGTCACCCTGTGCAATTGTTGTGTTGTTGAATGTAATTTTCGAAACCCGAATTGATGGTCAGGAATAATCTGTCTGTCTGTTAGTATATGTAATAGTCGTGGGTACAATAGTTTTTCGAATAACTTAGAACATACTGGAAGTAAACTAATCGGTCGATATGAAGAAGGGTTGTTAGTGTCTTTGTTTGGCTTTTTAATCATGGTTATGTGTGAGTATTTCCATTGTATAGGAAATTTGGTGGTCCTGAGAATGCAATTGAAGATTGTGGTAAGAAACACTAGAGCTTTCCTTGGCATTTGCTGGAGCGCCTCAGCAGTTATCAAGTCATGACCAGGGGTTTTTCTTTTGGGCAATTGTCTAATTTCTTGTGCAACTTGTGATGGTGTGAAAGGAGGTGGTGGTAGTGTGAGCTGTAGCGGTATGTCTAAGTTATTATGTACAAAAATATCGTGTTCTGTATTAATTAAGTCTGTATGTGGTTTAAAAACAGTGGAAAGATGGTTAGCAAAGAGTTCAGATCTTTCCTCGTCCGAAACAGCCCAAGAGCCATCCTCTCTTCGTAGGGGTGCTGACACCTCACGATGCTTTAAAAGATTCCTTGTATGTCTCCATAAACTTCCATCGTCCGTCGAAAGGTTGTTAATAAAATTGTCGTAGTTTGTGCTTTTGAATTTTTGAATATGTCTTTTAAGTTCGTTGTTCAATCTGTTAAAAGTTTGTCGGTCTGAAGGAAGTCTGTTAGTCTGCCATACTTTACGTGCTCTTCTCTTTGCTCTAATCAAGTCCCTTATGTACATTGGATAATGGGGCAAGTTCGCTGCTTTTTGTGGCCTGGATGTTGATGAGGCCCATGCTGCATCTTGTATGCTTTTTGTGAATTTTTCAACAGCTTCTTCTAATTCCTCATGATTTTTAATTGAACCTGGAACGGAAAGATTGGTGTTCAAATAGTCTCTATATGCGTCCCAGTCCATGCAGCCTTTTATGAGCCTAGGTCTTTTTTGTGTTTCGGAAGGCTCATCGAAGAGAACCATGTGCACTGAGGAGTGATCAGAACAAAGATCGGAGGTTGCATTGACGGCAAATGGTACGGTTCTTAGTCCTTTTGTAATAAAGAAATCAAGTAAGTCGGGAGTTTTGCGTCTGGAGGTGGGCCAATAAGTTGGTGAATTTGGTGTTACAGTGTCTAATGAAAGTTCATGGAGGACAGACCAGAGATTTCTGCCTCTTGGAGTACACAACCTTGAGCCCCAGCCTTGATGCTTAGCATTATAGTCTCCACCTGCGATGAAGCATCTTCCGAGGCGTTTGAAGAACTCAGAAAACATCGTGGGTGTAAGCTTGTACCTAGGGGGACAGTAAACTGAGGCAAATGTTATAGTGTAGTGTTTAGTGTATAGTGTTATTCCTGTCGATTGTATGTCGGGTGTAATGGGTAAGTCTACGGGATTGTGTTTCAGTGAATTTTTGACGAGTATAGCTGTTCCTCCATGTGCAGTTTTATCTGGGTGATCAGTTCTGTAAATTGTGTAATCCTGGATGTAAATTTTTGATCGGGATGTCAGGTGTGTTTCTGTGATGAGTGCTACGTCGATTCGTTTTTCGTGCAAGTATAAGTCGAGTTCAGTACTGTGCTGTTTCAGTCCGTTGGCATTCCATAGAAGAACTGACAAGGAGCCTACAGTTAAATTATTGTGGGCCATAATTTGGGCACCAGACCTGTGTAACCTGTGACAGTTGTTGAAGAAGAATGAAAAGGGGCTGGATTAGGTTATTTAATCCATTAATTATATTAAATAATTGAGAAGAGCCATTATCTACCGGAGGTATCGGTTGGGTAATGCCTCTCCTCGTACCTGTACATGTTTTCTGGTTCGGGGGTGCTGAACTAGATGATGTTTGGTTTTGTTGTTGCGGAGGTCCTGCGATGATCTGTGGTTCCCCTTGGTTGTGACGTTGCCGTATTGGAGGGAATTCATGCATGCCTGGAGGTCCCTGCGCTGGCTCTGCTACTGTGGAACGCTGAAGACGATTTCTTGCATTGCGCTGAAACCTGAGATCTTTCAGCGTCTGGCAGCCTCTGTAATTAGCGGGGTGCTGACCGGCACAGTTGGCGCATTTCGCGGGGGTGTCTCTCGTTTTCAAACATGAGCTGGTTTCATGATATTCACCGCACTTTACGCATCGTGGTCGATGGTTGCAATAAGTTTTAGTGTGCCCATATTGCTGGCACCGAACACACTGAGGAATATTTCTCTTTTGACGCGGTTCCTCAATTTTAATATGTGAATAATAAAGAAATTCAATACTAAAAATTTCTTCTCTAAATGTCTCTTTTGTAATGTCCACAAAGAACATAGGAAGGGGTTTTTTGAATCTAGATATGACGTTAACTACATTGGTGGCTTCGTAACCCAATTTTTTAAATTCCTCTTTAATGATATCGATTGGTGTTCCATGGTGAAGATGTTTAACAACAATCCTTGGGCATTTGTCCTGTGGAAGTTGGTAGGTATGGAAGTCGGCGCCTTTATTTCGCAGGCTAGAATTTAATTTTCGATAAACGTCAGGATTTTCTGGGTACACAGTGACACCTTTCAATGTAGACTTAGTTTTAAACATATTAGGACCCGTTTCGTTTTCTAGAAATGAGATTAATGCATGGTAATTTTCAACACCGTTTATAAAAATTGGTGGAGTTTTATTGTTTTGAGGCGGTCTTCTAACTTCTTCTGTTTGTAAATTAGTAATGTTGGTTAGAACCTGAAAACTGTTCGAGGTTGGGATAGATTCTGTCGGTCTTTTTTGAGCTCTTGGCTCGCTCGAATCTATCATAGGTCTTTTACGACCAATAACCAGTTCCCAGGAGCCGTCTTCATTGTTTATATCACTGTTTTTAAAGTTCATGTTACTTACCTCAGTTTGAGATGATTCCACCATTGTTGGCGGTGAAATCCGCTCAATCTTTGTTTGGTGTTTTGTCCTTAGCAATCTTGTCTTGATAAAACACTTTTGTTATACAATAATTAGGTATTTACACTTAATTAACACTTTTTTGTAAGACAATACTAAATTAACCTTTCACCTTATTTAACATCAACAGCTGTTCTAGAAACATTTTAAATTGCATTTATTGTTATTAAATTTTGAGGTAAAAATGATTTTTTTTCTCCTCAAAATCATAGTGAAAATAATGTTTGGCTTCAAATACCAAGCCAAATCATACATGAATACCTATATCTTTGGTATGCTAAGAGTACTTGCATAGGAATGATATGGGTAAAACTTGTAGATAGTTTTATTTTTGAGAGAGGGGAATGAAAAAAACAACACAATTTTTGAATGAGAGCTTCTTTTCAACCATTGTTATAATATTTTTATTTCTAGTAGTAATAGAAATTATATTTTGTTTGAGTTTTAATACCTTTATGGGAGAGATTTAGATAGAGCAGGTCATTAAACCTGTTGGAGTGCACCCTAAATAAACACAGCTGTTTAAAAAAAAACTGAAATCGTCAGAATTTATATCACTGAGAATGAGAGATTTCTTTAGATTTGTTATTATTAGCAATTAAAATTAGCCTTAACTTGAAGTTGCCTACTAGACCACTTCAGCCGTACATGTGCTATAGAGCCTAAGATAATGTAAAAAATAAATAAATAAAATAAAAAAAGAAGAATGAACTAACTAACATGGGAGGTACATCAAATTGGATTAAATCATTTTTTTTTCTTATTACGCATTTGTTACATGTAAACTACACTAATGGATAAAACTAATACAAAATTTTAATAGTCTGAAGTACAGAGTTAAAGAGAACAGAGTTTAACAAATGGGATCAATAAGGCATAATAATTAAGAGACAAGTCAATTTGAATTAATAGTTGACAAAGATAGTAATAATTTTCAAGACAAGAAAAAGGGATCATGATAGTGAATAATAGTTCCAAACTCAATTAAGCTAAAGTAAAGAATATAAGCGTTTAAGTCTTTAAAAATAAATTATGAAAAAAGTATTATAGAAATTTTAAATATTTTTTAAAGTTCAGGATTTTTTTACCATTGACAGTGTCTATTTTATTTTAAAACTTTATTTGTAGAGAAGTTTTCAGTGTCCGTGCACCATATAGCAATAAACGAAAAAAATGTGCTAAATTCAAAACGGGAAGCGGCCACATACCTCACTACTATTCGCATATAATAGCCATCCATAAAAATTCAAATAATAGTAAATTAAATAAGATAGGGTAACTTAATTACCAAATAGTTGCAATAATATAGAGGGTGCTGATTGTAAATCCTCAGCACTCTGTAAGATGGTGTTCGACAAAGTGGAGTCCTATTCTCGTAGAAAGCTAACAAGAACACGATTCTAATCCTTTATGTTTTTTTAAATAGACCAAACTAATAAAAGGTATGGTGTGATCTGATAATAATTGCATGACATTTCAAAATTATTTAATACATATGTTGTTAATGTTATTAATTAACTGTTAATTTATCCTAATTGGAATATTACAATTATAGAAATGGATATGGTGCATGAGCACCGAAAGTTTCTCTACAAATAAAGTTTTAAAATAAAATAGAGACTGTCAATGGTAAAAAATCCTGAACTTATAAGAACATAAAAACAGCCTAAAATTACCAATAATATTTTTTAAAATTTTATACATATTTCATGTATAAAAAATAGATTTTATGATATTTTATATGATATTATAATTTAATTTTAAAAACAAGTTTGATTGAAGGAAAATTTAAAAAAAAAATCATAATTCGAAAAATTAAAAATAACATTTTCTTTTCTTCATTTTTTACCAAGAAAATACTTTTTTTTTCGGGAACAAATCACGTCTATTAAGTACCTTTGCACCCAAAGGAAAATATTTGGGATGAAATCCTGAGGAATACTTTCAAATTTATCAAGAACAGCTGTTTGACTTTATTTATTGTATTATAATTCATGTATTCTACAAACAGCACTAGTCCATAGTTATAAGCAACATGTATCGTTAGCGGTGTCTTTTGTATGAGACTATACCCACACTAAGCCAAATGTTAAAAAAAAAATTACTTATTGTTGATATATCCATGTCCATCACTAAGTCGATCTGGAAATAAAGAACATAAAAAAAAACATTGTTTCTCATTCTTCAAGAGTGGACCTTGGTTCACTTTTACAGCATTATTGAGGGTTGAAAAAAAAAATGTGGAATTAGTATGTTTATAAATTTATTAGTATGTTCTGTATATGAAGGAAATTTTTTTTACATTTAACACATCGGAGTTGTATAACATTAAAATATTCTTACATTATTTATTACTTTCACTTTTTTTATATTGTATTGATTTTATTTTGAAAGTTAATTATGGTATATATTTAGAATTAGAATAAATAAAACAAGACAGATTGGTAAGATATGTGGTTATCCATATCAGCAAGGAAAATAAAATTTGTTTTATTTAACATGTTACTGATGTAATCTCTCTTCACTTAGATTGTTTTATTATTATTATTAGATTGTCATATATGTTGTTAATACTATATAATTGTATATTAGTTTTTGAAAATTGTCTGTAGCGATTAATAAGTATGCTGTGTTTAAAGCAACCCAATGTAATTGGGCAGCACCCTTTTAAGATAATAAAGTGATTCTCTCTCTAATGGCATGCTGCCTTGTTTGAAATATTCTCAACTGATTTTTTAAAACTAAAAGTAGTTTTATAACTGTTTTTCAGATACATGGGTATAGATTGCAACTTCAATTTGGAAGGAGTTGGAAATTCAAGCAAGAACAATGTCAATTGTGGCAGCTATGCAGGAAGCTGTATCTACCAAGATTCTAACTCACATTTATCAACTAATCACTCTACTTTCTAATAAAATATGTATGTATTAATTACCATGATGAATATCATGATTTGAATTAGAAAAAAAAATAACAATACCATAATAATGACTTTCCGAATGGTAGAGGCTATATGGTTGACAGAGAAGAAAGTATGGTCTGTTGCACTTGTCGAAAAAGGACTTTATTTTTAGAAACTCCATCAAACAGGCAAGCATTCTTATGTTATTGGAGCTGAAATCAAGCCTATATCAGAACATCGTGATCTTCTGAATGAAAAACATATATCTTGCTTTTTCTTAGTCCAAACCTGATGAATTGAAAATTAAATGGAGTGAAGAGGGAGGTGACTTAAGTGTTGAGCAAGACATTGGGTGAGAAGTGAAAAAAAAAGATCCTAAATTTACATGACGTAATATGTAATGACTCCTTCGCTAAAGTAGGTATAATGCTACAAAGGCTAAGAGTGTTAGGGCATAATAATCTTTTAACAACCTTGAGCTTAGCCGCACTGGTCGGAATCTGACCTGAGGAGGTTGTGGGAGGCACCGAAATGAATCTCAATGTTCTCATTCTGGTTAGAATAAGTTGGTTACCTGCAACTGGTACCTTATAGCTCTCCTGTATGCCAGAAATGGCCAGTAAGGGAGTAAAGGAAGAAAAAATAAAGTAAAGATTTGACTTGAAAAAACAAAAACGGGCTATGTATTATAAATTTTCTTACACTTTAATCATATGTTAAATAATCTTATCGAGTATATTTTTAAAGGTGTCCAATTTTTACCATGTCAAATATGCATTGTAGTTTATTTTGATTTAATTGTATATTACGTAGAAAGAAAAAATGAAAGACTAACCAATGAGCAATGTAATGAATTATGATACTGATTTGTAAATTTGATTGACTAATATTGTTTCTAATATGTATTCTTCTATTAGGATTATTATAATGTATTTGTTTTACTTCAAAATTTTGGCAGAGAAACATTTTTTAGTAGAAATAAATGATTTTAAAGTTGTTATGACTTCAAGAAAAAAAACTAAGCTACTTCCTAAAACTCCATAAAGTAGAACCAAAAGAGCGGGTTCAAAATCCATCAAGTGAACTTTAGTGTAGCCGACAGCGTTGATATTGCATCTAGGCTTCTGGGAAGAGAATATTTTCATTATTCTCTGGAACACACCTGTCTCCTGCTGCCATATGACACTGGAATAACATAACTAATGTTAGGATTACTAGAAATAAAACTGTAAATTCTGTTTTTAATGTAAGTTCTAGCAATGTTTGCAAGTATATATATTGTTTTTACAAAAACCGTATAGTGAAAATTATTGTTAAAAAATATTTGTAAGTGATGCTTCTATCATTCCAAGTATATCCTTACTAATACTATACACAATCTGCCTTGCTAAAAAAGACATAAGATCTTGAATCTTTCATCGAGAATCACCATGTTTTTTTTTATTCACTAAAGCCTTCAATCCAGTTTATTATATGGTACTCTTTTTATATTTCCATAATATTTGCTTACTCAAAACTTTTCTTAATTTTTATTACTTCTTTCTGTTTTCTTATTTCACATTTTTTTTTTCTTTAAACCTCCATGACTCCTTATTTCTCTTTCTTACCCACGGTGTCCATCAAGGATCCTGTATATCCAACCCTTTTTTTACTTTCCTACCTATACTAGGTAAGGAAAGTATTGCAATCGGGTCAAATTTCCGATAAGTGGTTTTTGACGGATCTATACATTTCAGAGCCCTCTGTCTGAAAAACACATTTTTAGAAATTGGTCTGTCTGTCTTTTTTGAAAGGTAATGAAATTCCTTACAAAACTGTATAAAAATCGTTCATTTCGGACAACTATTAACGAAGTTACAGCTATTCAATTTCCAATGTAAGATTAAGGGTTCATGACTAGGTGTCCGAAAGGTGTGAATGAGAGAAAAAAGATAACTAAGTGAAAGTAAGAAAATCCGTTGCCCGCATTACACAAGCTTCACTATTTCCTCTACTTTTAACAGAAACTGCAATATTAGAGGGTATTGAAATTTTTACACTGATCTACCTGAAATCGGTTTAATTACTTTAGTTTATCGAATAAATCGTACTCAAATCTTTTGTTTGATAAATTTTCAGGAAAATAAATCTAATTTAATTTTTTTTATTTCTTGATGGACATATGTAAAGATATAAAAACTTCTGAAAAAGATTGGAAAGTCGTATGATTGGACACACCAGATTATTCTTTTTACATTAGCTTTCTACTCTGAGTACCATTTATATGCGGATGACCAAAATCAATATTATAAAGGATCAATATTCTTTTTTTTTCTTAAATATCATTTATATAATAAATTTCATGATAAATGCTCTAGTAGCTAATTTAGGGCTTACGGCCTAGAAGGCAGGCAGTAGAAGATGCATTTAATTTTTGGTCTTATGGTATTCTTGGAAATATTAGCACTGTGATTCAATGGCTGATTATGTTCCTGAGAAATAGATCTCAGTGAGTTGATCCAGGAAAGTCTGTAAAGTCATAGCCACCAACACTACGTGCTTCACCCATGGTCAGTCAGAAAAAAACTTATATACCACTTGAAAATTTGAACTAGTGTACTTCAGCTTAGAAAACCAGTCTCTGTTTTTACTTGGCCCCAATAACTTTAATTTATTATAAGATATTGCTTATTATTCCTATATTTTTCCTCATTAAAAACAATGATAAATTTTGTAGTCATACCCTTACCTTCTTGCAAAATGCTCTCTTAGACCTGATTTTTTTGGAAATCCAAGAGCTATCATTGGCAAAACAAAGATACTCATTTCAGTAAGTCCGCATTTCTCATTTTCATTGAACGTGTCTCCAATCAATTTGTAAGCCCAATCAGTTTCCAGCTACAAACAAGTAAGATTCATATAAATAAATAACACTTCTTAATAACTTAGTGTTTTATTTATATATTTTTTCTAATTGAAATTTGTGTGGTTTTATGCATCTTATTCCAGGGCTGTTTCCCAATTTTAAAATTAGAAATATTAATAAACTTGTATTTAACAAAAAATTGGAACTATTAATACAAAATATCATCAATATTAAAAAAAAAAATCCACACTAATTTGTGGTGAAAAATTAGTTTCTTATTTTTATAATAAGAAGTATAAAATATTTATACCTTGTAAGCATAAAATCCGGACCGTATCTTCACAATACCATCTTTTGGAGGGAGATACGCATTTTCTCCTAAAGAGTATATTTTCTTTTGGTAAAATTCTTTTAAATGTGGATCTTCAGTTTCCTGAAAGTAAATTTCTTCATATATTGTTGAACCAAGAGCAAGTATTATTTCAAGGTTGGGTTTTTTTTTCGTGCAGTTGAATTGGAAAAAATAGGATCCATTTCACACAAATAGCCCAAATAAAATAAATATATTTTATGTGATGTAGAGATGGTTGACCGTGATATAATATGACAAGGAGTTGATCGGAGAGGTGTGGTCAAATAAATACTAAATTATAGAAATAGTATTATTTGATTATTATGCCAACGTTTTGACCCACCTTGCAGGTGTTAATCAGAGCTACAAAAGATACAAAATATAAAAGGTACATGGTGAAAATAAAATAAATGAACTTATTATTCTTATTAAACTTATTATTCTACTTATTATTCATTTATTTTATTTTCACCATGTACCTTTTATATTTTGTACATTTTGTAGCCCTGATGAAGACCTTCAAGATGGGTCGAAACATCACCATAATAATAAAATAATACTATTTCTATAATTTAGTATTTATTTGACCCCACAGTATATTAGCTTGTACAATGAGATTATGAAATAATTAAGTGGTTAACAAGTGTGATAGATAATAAATATTTCATTAAAAGTATAATTCTTACTTAAGCAAAGAAATACAGTTTGGAAAAATATGTTAAAATAAACCAAATTTCTAACGAAAGTTTCAACAGATAAATGTAAATATGTAAAAAGAAAGTTGTGTATAAAAATACAAGTCATTTTCAGCTACAGATTATTTCAAGATGCCTACAAAATTTCATTATCGGTTTATTTTTCTGCTTCTTCTACACACACTACTGCCATGACTATTAGTTAAATGTAGCTATTGTAATAAAATCTTATTATTAAGTATAACATTTCCAATATTGTTTTATAGCTGATCTTCGTATTACCATGTCAGGTTTTTTTTGTTATATCTGCTCTAACCTTGAACATTTATCATGTTTACCTCATTTAATAAATACATTGATGATATAAAATCTACCTGAAAATAAACTCTGTTGTAAATGACATCTTGAATACCAATAGACATATGACTGTTTGTCAATTGTGACAAGGAAGTAATGGTGGAAGTGGACAGTTGTAGAAGAGCCACTATTTTAGCTGAGTATGCTATATAGAGGAAATATGAAACAATAGAGAATAAGAGAGAGGTCAATTTGGCAGCAGCTGATTCAAACTGAAGAGTAGAACCTAGAAAAATTAAAAAGGATTTGTATTAAACTTATATTATGAAAATCAATCCAGGATATTTGATAGGTATAAAAAACAGTTGGATGGTAGAAATGGTGACAATGTGGAAAGATCTGCCATTCATGATGTATGGGCTATCTGAATTGGGTTTTTTAGCTGGAGAAGCAAGGGAGCTCCACCTGTCTTTCCCAGTAGTGGATTCAGAATTTAATTTTGGGGTAAGTGGCTAACTTTTTTTTTTTTTAATTACACTGAAAGAAAAAGAATAGACCTGTATAAAGTGGCGTTTAAGTGTTCTTAAAAGGCCTGTTAAAAAAAGTTATAATTTAAAAATAGTACATATGATTGTTTAATTATGTAGCTCACTGAACCAGTATGAACCAATGAAAAAAATGTATATTTTTCTTATATTCCTAATTTTTTTTTAAATTCTTTTATATTATGGAGGAAGGAAGGCTTCACCCCAAAAGCCCTTATCAATTATATACTCCTTGTCAAAAAGATTAATAATGTATTAAATGTCACTAGAGAAAAAAAAACTTATTCCTAGGAAATAGAAATGGAAAAATTATTTTTATCAAATTATTAACATCCACCTTAAACTTCCTAAATGGTTTCATCTCATCTTAACCTAGGGCTATTTTATTTAGGAAAACTTTTGTAATTGGGACGTTTTCAATCTGGAGGGGGACAATTTTTTTTCTATTTAATTAGGTATTAAAAACTGGTAAATACGCATTTGCTTTCTACTTTGATGGTAAGATAATTTGATCACAAAATCGATAAAAAGGGTGGCCTACAAAAATATTGAGCCGTTTGTCCTATATAACCTCGTTCTTTTGAACATTTGGGGGCGTATATGGGTGAATTTTAAAAATATACATCATGTACCTGTCCTTTTCACTTATGGGAATTGCAAGCGTCTACTCATAATAAAATTCCTTATTATTGTCATGTTCATGAATCACCCACATGTCATCCATTTCATTTTTATTCAGTGGAAAACAATATTTATATTTTCCTTTCTTCATAATTCATAAAAATCCTCATTTTCATGTGATAACCTGAAATATGGCTTTCCTTGAAGACATTTTTAATTTTTCTTATTTGTTTGTTTTCCCAAATATCTGTTTTGATAGTTAAATTTTAATGCCAATGTAAAAAAACGAGTGGAGATGGATGGATGGAAACTATAAATTGGAGATTTGTTTTCAATCAGGAAAAACATATCTCCTTTTATCCTCCATGTGTTATTTTCAAAATCTTTCATAGTTTATATTTAGACATGGCTTATTAATAATTAAGAGCTTTAATTACCACAAATGAAGAGCAATTTGGACAGCTTTCTTATTAGGAGAGAGGGGCAAGATTCACATTTTTTTTCAGAAATTTTAATTATTACTACAATTTAAAAATATATATACATAGAATAACAACTTTTACAAGGGACTTCTCTCGAATTTTCGGCAAACCTTTTGTATTGTATTATGTTCTATTTTCTTTCAAATTATTTGGGGAGGGATCATGTTTAATTTTCTGTTAGAAAACTCTGTTTAGCATAGAAAATCTAAATAGTGAAAAGAGGAAATCGGTTTGAAGTATAAAAACAATTTTGCAAATTTTCACTTGGCTTTAACTGTGCAACAACATTCGGTATAAAGCTCTAATTTCACAAATCATTGCCCGAAGGAATGCTAAGAATTTTATAACTTCGCAAACTTAGTTTAACCATATACGGGATTGGAATTATGACAAATTTAATTTTGAAAAATACTGATTACTTTTTTAAATATTAGTTTATTAAAAATTTTACTATAAAGTTTGTGTAATCATAACAGCTCAGAAAAGAAAAAAGGCTGTTAAACTATCCTGTCAGCAAGTTGTTAAAAATCAACATTTTGAATAAAAAATTGATTTATTCATATGATATTTCCTCATAATAATATCTAGACCCACTAGAATAATTATACGATATTCTCGCCCCCTCTCTATTTTCATTGGGGGAGGGGCAGTCGCCTATAGTTGGAACCATAGTAATAAAGAGATTTCAATATATAGAAACAGTTTTTTCAAGAAATGATGGAAACATTTCTTGATCAATACCTTGTAAAAAAGCTTCTTCCAAAATCCCCATGAAAACTTCCAAGAAAGAGTATCTGGTCCAAAATAATAATCTGGAAGTGATGATTATTTCAAGGAAGAGTATGATAGTGGAGGTGAACAGAAGAACGCCGGATGCCACCCAAACCTTTGTTTGGAAAGGCAATACGAATATATTTGATACAGATGATAGCGAAGGCTGTTTGAAAATCAGTGGACTTCTGCAATTGCAAAAAACGTGTAAATGAATAACTTCTTAAATAAAAAGTACATAAAATATAATTATGACCAAAACAGGGATATTTACGAGGAAGAGACAAAGTTTCCTTGCACGTTTTCCACTCCCCTCTCCATCCTCCAATAAAATTCAAGTTTTATATATATATAAGTATTTTAGACAATATATTCGGTTGGAAAAAAAGTTCTTTCGGTTTTTCTGTTAATTTGTATGTCACTATGATGTACTTTTTATCTGATGAATTAATTCCTATGGTGGATTGTTTATCCTGTTTGTAATATGTCGACAACTATATCTGTTAACTCTTGTTGAAACTAGCTTAGTGTTGTATTTGCTATGGCACTGTGAATATGGAAGGAAATATCATTCATTATCGGCATATTTTGTTGTATTGTTTTTAAAAAAAGGTAAGTATGCTGCAGAAGCTCATATAAAAGTTTGCAGAGTTTATGGGGATGAACCACATAAACCCAACGCACCTGTCAAAATTGGTTTGCCAAATTTCATTCAGGAAATTTTGACATCAATGATGCTCACTAGAGGATCCAGGATTTAATTTTGGGAGAGAACTTCAGGCCGAGAACTTTTTTTTTCATATATATATATATACCGATAATTACTTTGGAAAAAAAAGAAAGATGCTAATTACCTCTATGAAATGGTGTTTAAGTGATTCTTGAAGTCCTATTAAATGCAATTATACGAACAATAATACTTTACGAGATAATTTTTTAATATTTTTTTTTCCATAAAACGTGGATTGGGCAAATAAGTTTTTACCATTTTGGGGGGCTTCAGCCCGAAAGCCTATAATACATGTCTATGAAACATTGAGTTTTACTTCATCTTGAAAAACTGAAAGGACTTATTTGCCAATCCAATATTTCGAAATAAATATCATCTTGTGACTTAGTGACGGTATAAAGATGAAAATAATCTTAATAAGTTTACAAATACATTTCGTTCCAACTTTTATTTTTATAATCAATTTTCATAAATTTGATTAAACACAATGCGCCTCCTTTTATTATGAAGCGATTCATTTATTTGTAATGAAATTGAAAGAAGCATATAAATAAAAAAGATATGAAAATAAAAGTTATGGTCAATAAATCATAAAATTTATTTAACTATTTTAAGTTTCATAATTGGTAATTGGTTGACTGTCGTGGATAATGAAGAGAAGAATAGTTGGGGTGCTCAGTCAAAAAGGAAGGCAAAAAATAAATTATAATATTTGAAGGCCTGAACTTCAGGTCGAAACGTCGGCATATGTAAAAAATAAATATTATAATTTATTTTTTTCCTTCCTTTTTGACTGAGCACCCCAACTATTCTTCTCTTCATTATTTTAAGTTTCAAACAATATTTCTGTTGCAGTGGCTACTTTTACCAAGTTTGAGGCAATTTTTTGGCTGCTTACGTTTTGTGATAAAAGAAAATTTTGATCATGTAGCAAAACTTATTTTGGATTGAATTATCAATGAACGTATGAATTAAATACTATTTGCACACTTCATATGCTTCTTTTAAATGGTTTTTTCAAAAAATAACTTGTTACTTATGGGCCATAAGTTATGGTCATTTCCTGATAAAATATCAAATAAACGACCCCATTATCTTCCTTGATACTAATTTTTCTTACATCAGCCAACCTAAAATTTTTTTTAAACAAATGTTGCCATTCAAAGTTATTACTGTATTTTGTTTATGAAAATGAAAATGTGTTTAATGTGTAACATACCTATTTCATTTTATGAAAAAGATAGTTAATGATTTGACAACAAACATGTTTTAGAAATAGTGAATTTTTTTAGCTCTATGTATAATCAGGAACTTCTAAATGTCTGCATTAACTACGTTAAGAAACAAAATTGCTCATGATATTATTTATATTCTCAATTTAAATCAGATTAATAGAAAACCTCTTCAGAGAATTATTGTAAGGATTAATGTTATATTTCGCTGCATTTGACTCTTTTGATTTGATCTAGATTGTTATAGAATTAATAAATAAGTTTACGTATAGCATGAAAACCAGCACTGCACTATTATATATAGTGAAGTTGTGTATAATAGTTGCTGGGAAATTTATGCTGCTATAGCTGACGATGTCACTTATTTTTCATTTTTTATTAAAACTTGATTTCATAAATTATTTTATTATTATAGTTTCTGGCTAACAATAAAATGTAGAAATGATTACGAAATTAAAAAAGTGTTTCCAGCAAAATCTATATAATCCATTCGATCCTCTCGCATCATTAGACCAGCAGCGAAGTCGAGTTCCTCTTTTACCAACATACCCATCAAATGTGTAAAGTTGCCGTTTTTCAAGTATCCATAGCTATTGAAAAACATCCTAAGAGTGAAACTGGAAAAAAGAGAAAATAAATTAAATTAAACTTTTGTTTATATCATTTTAATGGTAATTTGTTTTGTTAAAGAAGATTTATTCTAAATCATCAAAGCGAAATTTTTAAAATTTGATTTAGACGTGCTACGATTTATTAAGATTACGTACATAATTATATTTAGTTTAAGCTTGACTTCATACTCTCAATTCAGGTTAACAGCTAACATGCTTACAAGGGAGAAATCCTAATCAGTGCGGACCTTACACGGGCGGATCTACGGGGGGGTAGAGGGAGGGGCTTTCGGGCTGAAGCCCCCTCCCCCCCCAAAATGGAAAAATATAACCATATTTTATGGGAAAAAAATTTTAAAACTACCTCTTAAAGTATTATTGTTCGTGTAATTACGTTTAAAAGTACTTAAGGAATAACTTAAACATCATTTCATATAGGTAGTTAGTTTCTTTCTGTTTTTCCAAAGTAATTATCGTTATTTTTATGAAAAAAAAAGGTTTCGGGCTGAAGCCCCCTCCAAAATTAAATCCTGGATCCGCTAGTGGGACCTTATATTAGGCCAATGCCCTGAGGCCCAGAACAACACGTGCTGGTACTTGTTAGTAATTAAAAAATAAATAAATAAAAAGTCTATGCGAATAAATAATTTTACCCTATTAAGACAGAAACTTAATTAAAGACATGTCGAATAAAAAAAAAAAAAAAATTATTTAATATAAAACAGCTTAAAAAATAAATTATATTTTTTAGGGGAGAGATGACGTCTTTGCCCGAGGAAGCCAAATGTCTAAGGCTTTTCCAACCATAATTTATGAAAAGTTAAGAAAAAAGTCAGTAATTTCTCACTATACAAAATAATCTTAAAGGACCTATCTTGCTTCATAGTAATAAGAATTAAGATGCCAATACGTCACAAGTTACGTCATCAGAGGGCAATGAAAACTTTAATTTTCTTTAATTTATCCGATAGTTCATTAGGTTAAGAAGCTCTCAGATAAAACCGTACTGAATTACTACTAACCGCTTTTTTTTAAAGCATGAAATATTAATTTCATTATATTGATTACAAACAAAAAAAATATATTATACTAGAGAACAATTTTCAGTTTTGTCATTTCTCTAAGAAGAACGGACAGTCAGCTAATAATCACCTAAAATTGTACTGTTGTCCAATGTTACGTTCAATGGCAAATCCTACTTTTGCATATGCATCAGTCTCAGGGTGATTTAAGTTTCCTTCTGAAAATCCCTCAAACATATTCGGGTACAAAACCTAAAAATAATCACATAACAATTTTTAGCAATAGAGTATTTTAGATGAATAAGTGATTTGCCAAAAAATATTCAGTTTTGAAGATAAAATAAGTGAACAATACGAATAACAATGCGCATAAATTATAATAATAATACAATCCTTAATTTTATAAATTGTTTGTGATCTTTTATATAAGTAAGAAAAAAAAAATCTCAGACCAGTGGCGAATCCAAGAGAGGAGAAACGGGGAAATTTCTTCGCTCCCAAAGTAGGCATTAAGAGAAAAATACTGCAGTTATCTACTTATACCATTACTCATAAATAAATTATAATTAAAGTAAAATATTTTTTTAAAAATTATTCATTCTATGCGAAATCGACTATCGAATCTGTAGATGTATAAATGAAATTACTTAATTACCTTGTCTACACTTATGACTATCGATTATTAATAGTTCGAAGTGTGAAAATTTAAACTATCAATTTATTAAAATTTCTCGCTTAGACAAGGTAATATTCTCCCAATTCTATTGCCACTCTATAGAATATTAAACCATAGAAGTTCCCGCCCGAAAAGCCTAGAAGGCCTCGTGTCAGATATCAAATAACTTTTCATTTATGGATATTGTGTTTATGGGGATTTAAAATAATTATTTGAGAAAGTTTACGTACAGCTGCTGCAGCTCTGAAGGTGATGCCGTCGAAATCTGTTCTCATTGGCTTGGTCAGTATTGTGAATCTCGAGAGAGGTTGACGTGAGAGAAATAAGAACTTGATATCAGTAAACGTAGACGTCCGATATACATCGTAGTATTCAACGACAGCTTCTTCTTCCAAGATATTGGCTAAAACTACGGAACTGCTTGGCAAGGCATACGCATCTGATAGCAATTGGACACCTTTATTGTCCATAAATCCTAAGCTAGAGTTAGCTATATTCACCAGCAGCCATTCCGTATGTGCTCCAAAAGCTTTTTCTTTGGTAAACTGAAATATTGTTATTTATATATATTTTAGTTTACTATAAATTATGATTGAATAATTATCTTTTTAAAAACTATTGTTACTAATTCTCACCGATGCCAGAAGTGAAGGACTGTTTTTACAAGTAATGTCGAGAAGTGCACCTCTTCGATGATCTGACATTTCTAATGAAAATGGATAAGAAAATGAACTTGAGAGTCCCTTCTTGGACATTGATAACAACAACTTGATTTTTGTTTCTGTAAAATAGACCAATATGTTATTTTATTTATTTAAAATTATAAGTAAATTGTACAGAGCTTAACTGATGAAGGTCAAAACTTCTTGAAATGTTGTACCCCTGCTAAACAATAGGTAAAGTAGACTTAGGTATTTCAAATTATTAACCAATCAAAGATTGAACTTTTTCTGATTCATATTCCAATATTTCTCGAAATTTCAACAAATATTTGCCTTTCTGTTGTTTTTTTCTAATAATTTTTATATTTGTAATTTCTATTTTTTTTTTTCGTTTTAAAATAAAATTAGTTTAAACCAAAATTTTTCATCGTAACACAAGCGAGTTAATTTAATTACTAATCCCACCACCACCCCGTTTGTTGGTTTCTACTAATAACCTGTACCACTGCAACCCATGAAGGGTCTTGGGTTCAGTACATTGTACAGAAGTACTGTTTCAAGGCCAATAGTTGTGCAGGGAGGTGTTCGGATCAGGTTTTCCTGAATTACTTAATTCAGAGTACCCAACTTCTAGAGGCTTGGTGAGCCCCAGTAGGGTCTTCCTACCCCAGGATCAATCCACGGCTTATGTAACCGAATAAATAATTACCTTCCATCAGTCAGTTTAGGAAGCCAATACCTTACTCACTGAGTTACCTCGCTCCATTGAAATACATAACTCAGGAAATTTCAACAACAATCACTAGTAAAATCAGCACAAGCTTACAAAGTCAATTGTTAATAAAAAATGGTTTTAATTGCTTTGTTACATGTGTTAAAAATGAATTATGTTGGAATAAACGATCACCGTTCTCAATGTATTGTACCTTCTTTAAAACAGGTCAACAAGTTAACATTATGAATGTGATTCGAATAAAAGTATTCAACCAAAAAACCAATATGTAAAAGTGAAGAAACCATGACGAAGGAATGAAAAGTAGGAAATGAGATGGTCCTAGGTGAAACCGACGTTACCTATTCCAATAATTTGTGGAATAAATTATTCCCTTTAGCTATAGACTGACACGTTAATGTGTTTACACTTGAAGAGATTTCAGACTGTGATAAGACCGAGGTCTTTAATTATAACAGTCAATTCTTAACTAATTCATGGTATAACCCCGTTCCACAAGCCGTTATCATACCATTAATAATTAGTCTACTGTTAACATCGAACTTTGATGTTACTTAATAAGCCTCTAAGGCTCTCACTATAACAAAAAAATAATTTAATCATCATCAATTCTGAAAGTAATGCTCGATTAGAGAAAACATAAGGTTTATGTTATTAGAAATTATTTCAATAAAACAGAAATCGCTATGTCCGTAAATTTTCCAAGTGAAGAAGAATATAATATAATTTATTTGTTAAAGATTTACAATCCTGTACAAATCAAACAAATATAAATAACTTAATTTCATCCACATCAGTCCACCCCAACTATTCTTCTCTCCATTATTCCCGTCAGTCAACATTTACCAATTATTAATACTTTAGTACATTTTATAATTTAATTTGGGGGGAGGTCTTCAGCTCGAAATTTTTTTTTATGATATATTACGATGATTACTTCGGAAGAAAGAAAGAAACTAAGCAACGAAATGAAATGGCGTTTAAGTGATTCTTTAAGTCCTATTAAATGTAATCAGGTTATATTTACCTATTATGGGGCCTTAAGCCCGAAAGCACCCCTTCCTCCTCCCGTAGACCCGCCTGTGTTGTAGGGTAGAAAGTAATAGGTTAATGACCAAGAGTAAAGGTAATCTGATGGAATTTATTTTGATTCTCCAGCTTTAACACCATTCTTCAAGGCTTGTGATGTGCGATTGGAGAGTTTGGGATGCAGTTGATGGATCGTTATTGACAGATAAGATACAAGTGTCATCGGCATACGTTATTATTAATGTATACCCTATACAATTAACAAAAATAATATAAAACTCATATCCTGGCGAAATAACCACATGACCGCCGACTGTCGTGCGTTTCTTCCAAAAAAACGGGACTTTTTTAAAGCAGTGGGTCGCAAGATAAATTGTTAAAAATCAGGCTTGGTCATCTTATTAGCGATTTTTTAAAATCATTATCACACTGTACTACAGATACCCCGCTTTTATAACTTCTTCATTTAATAAAGCTATATTAATTAAATTGAGATTTATCAGGCAAATTATTGATATTCACCTCAAGTTGTGTAAAGAAATGTGATTTTTCATTTTGTCACCTAAAAGCATTTGTGTTTTCAACAAAGTTCGCTACAATTAACTGTAGCAAACTGTCCTCACAATTAACTGTCCTCTTTTCGAGTGCCTATAAGGTGTGGTCAAACATCATTTTCGAGAGACTTACCCCCCCCCCCCCCATGCTGAAAGAGAGATAGACAATTACCACACTGGATTCAGAAGGAGTAGATCAACCACGGACCAGATCTTCTTGCTGAGAATGATTCTGGAAAAAGCCAAGGAATACAGGATGGTTACGCACCACCTCTTTCTTTATTTCAAGTCTGCGTACAGTGGCTTAATAATAATAATAATAATTATTAAGCCACTGTAAGTCTGCGTAACCCGACCCGAACTCTACCAGGCGCTAGACGAAATGGACATATCTAAGAAGCTGATTTGTCTGGTGAGGATGACCATGTTGGGGTCGAATAGCGTAGTTCATATTGAATCTGACCTCTCTGAACCTATTGCCATGACGTGAGACAGGGAGACGAACTTTCACTTGTATGCCTTCTCATTAATTTGGTGGTGGAGCGAGCAATACGTAGATCAAGAATCCAAACATGGACCATTTTATTCAAAAGTATGGTTCAGTAACTGGGGTACGCCGATGAGTTCGACATAGCTGCCAGATCGAAGCGTGTCCTAAAAGAAGCGTTCCTGGCTCTAGAAAAAGAAGCAAAAATTCTTGGCTTGATCATCAGCGAAACCAAGACAAAGTATTTAAGAATAGGACCATCTGAGGTAGGAACAGGTTATTTCGAAGTCGAACCATACAGATTTGAGAGGGTTCGAAGCTTCGTATACCTGGGCTCAGAAATAAACATTCAAAATGACCTGTTCACATTTTGACTCCAACAGTGCCCTGCGATAGTTCAAATCCTTTCTTTCAAATAGATCCCAGTATGTAGTCGTCCAAGGTCAACCTCCTTCTATGGCACTTTCCCTAAAACGTTTGATAAATTACCTTGTACGATTCGTCTTCGGGATCCCAAGAGACGCCTCTGTTTCCCGTTATCATGAAGAACTATAATGGCTTTATTCTTCCTACCGACGTATTTCCTAGCATCTTTCCTCTTCCAAATCATCCAATCCCGCCGTCCTTCATACATCTCCGAGCACCTTCAATTCAAATCCTCTGTCCATTCTCGGTCTTCAGATTTGTATACAAGATCCCACCGAACCGCTGCTTTCGACAGACCTTTCATTATTCGATCCACATCCCTATGGAATTCTATCCCATCCTACATCCGTCGCTGCAATACCCTCCTCATCTTTAAATCTCGCCTGTCCAATCACCTCTTATCCGTCATCAGTTCTCTAACATTGTAAATATGTATGTAAATAATTAGTTTGTTTTAAATACTTTTATGTAATTTTTTTCTCTTAAATGAAGTTTGAAGGTAAATAATATTCTTTTCTGTTATTTATTCATTATATAAATCTGTTTATTTTGTAATTATTCTCTGAGGCTCCAAAGCCCACATTTCTTGTCGCAGGATAAATAAAGGATTATTATCATTCCAGGAGATCAACCTGAGAATTGCCGCAGTCAATCGAAGCTATTTTGGGCTAGCAAAATAGTTCAAGAGCAGACGCTTCTCCAAGTCCAAGATCGGCCTATATAAGATCTTGATTCTTCCAGATCTTACGTATGGTTCAGAGACCTGAGTCTTCACTAGATCCAGTGAGAACCTCTTTCAGTGTTTGAACAGAAAATATTGAGAAGAATTTTTGGCCCGGTTCGAGAGGGAGACACCTGGAAAAGAAGGAAGAACCAGGAACTTTCAAGGCTGTACAGAGATCCTGATATCATCAAGTCGATCAAGATCGGGATCCTCCGATGGGCGGGACACGTGGCGAGGATGAAGGACAAGATCCCTAAGAACTTCATGGCAAGCGAAGAGTGGGCAGGCCAAATGTGAGGTTAGATGACGTACACAATCTCCTCGGTGCTAGGAACTGGAGAGTTGCAGCAACAGACAGAGCCAACTGGCAGAGACTTTTGGTGGAGGCCTAGACCCAGGTTGTTGTTGTTGAAACAGGTTGTTGTGCCAACTATGTATGTATGTAACTGTTGCAAAGCTTTTATTTTTTGTTTTTCCATCATCTGGGATGCATTATAATAAAAATAATTTCCTAATTACACTTTTTATTTATAAATAAAAAAAAAATAATGATAATGATTTGCTAAATACTTTTCATGTAAAGTGTTTACGAAATTGTATTTTTCTCCCAGATCTTATATCTAATCAAAGGAGTTGAGTAGGATTTGTAAGTAACAAATTTCATGTTTCAAGTCAAACATTTCAAGTCCTAATATTTCCGTTTTTATGGAAATAATTGAAACAATCAGCAGAAATTTTTTGTTTTTAAAATAAATTCTAAGAATAGAATCATTAAATTTCTGTCTTATAAATACAGGTCAATTCTTATGACAGAGATCTGAGAGAAAAATAGTTTCATATATACTTTACATGAAAAATATTTTAAAAAATCATTATTTTTTGTTTTATTTATTAATGGAAAGTTTATTTATATAATTATATTTATTCAAATAAATCCCAGATCATGAAAAAACAATAAATAAGAGCTTTGCTTTATAATTGTTAATTGTAGCTAGTTTTGTTGAAAATACAGGTACTTTTAGGTGACAATTTGAAAAACCACATTTTTTTACACAACGTATAGATAAATCTCAATTTAATTAACATGGACTTGAAGCTTTTTTATACCTTGAAGAAATTTTTATAAAAGTGGGGTATCTGTTATACAGTTGGACAATGATAAAAAAAATCACCAATAATTTATGATTATTTAAAAAACCGAATTTAACTAGGTTTAGCCGGTTTTAACAATGACAAATTCTATTTTCATCTGACGAAAATTTTATCTAGTTTACAGTAAAACAATTGTTAATTACTTAACTTTAAAAAAACGTCCCTCTACTAAAAAATTCCCGTAGGACACCGTGTATAACGGAAACCACGTTTCCAAGGAAATTAAATGTTGATGAAATTAAAATTTCCTAACGAAATGTAACTTTTAAAATTATATCCAAGTTTGAAAAAAAGTATATAAAGTCTACCAAATAAAGGCAATGGCATTGTATAAAGAACTATTTTATTGTACTGTGTGAAAAAAGTAAAATGTAAAAATATTTCACAGATGTGTAAGACACATGTTTATAATCCTAAATACATTATTTACTTTAGTTTAATAATTCTAGATATTTAGATATCTGTCGTCGGTTTATTCTTTAAATTTACCAAGTAACATTTAAAAATAATAAATAAATTAACGAATAATTTGATGAAATAACATTATCTACTTGCAATTAGTGTGACAACTATTGTCCTATAGATGATAGGCAATGAAGATCTCGTAACTCTATTTTAGTAAACTATAATGGAATAATAAAAGTTTAATAACTAATAGTAGTGCAACCCATAATCATTTTAAATCAGGTTAAATTGTCAGTATGATGTTAAAGTAATGAATCTTAACCTGCCCAATATTTCACTTTCCTTACATGAATACGGTGCCAATGAAATATACAGATGTACTTTCAAATCTCTTTAGACAAACATAGTTCAGAGAATGCAGTTATGTGGTTTACAAAAACAGATGGAGTTTGAGGTTTTTATTGCCTACCATCAATGTAATGAATAGCATTTTTTTATTTCTATGCTCTTTTGGTAATTTGTTAGCTGTAAGGTTTAAGCTTTAGCTCCATTAAAAATGCTCCTCAAAAGTTTTGTTAGCCTAACATTGCCAGAAAATAATTTCTACTCAAAGTAGAGCGGTAAGTGAAAGTTGTGTGATTGAAGTTGAGTGAAAGGTTTTTTCACTATCTTATTTAAAAAATAAAAAGTAATAGGTACACAAATAATAAAAAAATGTCATTTATTAATATTTTTTAATAATAATAATCTGTTCCCAGACAACTTTCGAATGGTAACAGCAGTTTTTGTACACTTGTTAGGTTTTCAATCAAGTTGCCTTAAATGATAAAAAATAAAATAAAATAAAAGAAACAAAAATAGATATATATAAAAGAACAACCTTGAGAATACCAACATTGTTAGAAAAAAAAGTCTTCAACCAAGGTTGTAGTAGTAAATAAACATTGGTATAAAAGACTTTTTTTTTTAATTGGAACTATTTCATTTCTTTCCAGTTATTGATTTATTTTCTTATTTTATAGTTTTATATCAGTTATGATAAATATATAAATATATCAGAATCAATTTATATGAAGATTTATATAAAAAACTAACTTACTCAATTACAATATTCTAACAGGATTAAAATTTAACCAGAACATATAATATAGGAAATATCTTACTTTTACACAATTTCTAGCTATCAAGTAAGAACGAATGACAATTATAAAAAGAAACATGTACAATAATGTAGTAAAATAGAGAATTATTTCAATTACTCTATTTTTATTTGTCTATCATATTTAAAAATGTATTAAAATGGCAGAAAAATAAAACAGGAAAATATATGCTGCATAATAAATAAATTAACTAAACGTAAAAAATAATTGAGCTCTTCCCTAACTTATAACAACTAAATTTCATTGTACAGAGGTGTATTAAAAGAAAGGAATGATTTGAGCTTTTCTTTATAAATTTTGGTCACACTCGTTATTAAAAAGATAATAAAATAAAAAGTCAACTGAATAAAAATGGAGACAAATAACCATTATATATTCTGACTAAATACATCAACATCAATTTGAGTCAAAAATACATATTGCTATTTTTTTTTCAATTATTTATATATATATACGTATGTCATACATATATATACTAAGTATGTATATGCATATCACTATCAATCTGGAAATTAATCTACAATCAAATATATATATAAATTAATTGTACAAAACAAAAAGTATTAATACTGACACATGCGAGTAATACAGTCAAAGTATTAACAGAGAGCTAAAGGATGATATATTGCGAACTAGAGATCAATGATAAAGCCTACTATGACTGATATGACGTCAGTATAGGTACAGATATGAATGGAAAGAGCTCTCATCCTTCAATTAATTGTGATCACAGAACTTTTTAAGTCTCTGAGGGGCTTGACCCCCGCTGCTTTGGGTTTGATCAAGGTGTTGCTCCAGAACTTTTTACTTCTTCCATTTTTTCTTCTTCTTTTACTGGAAAAAATAAAAATGAAAAGAAATTAATATAAAGAAAATAAATATTGTCATAATTTCAATAAGTGGGTTACCACAGGAAGTTAGTTTTATATATATTATAAAAATGATATGTATGTTCTGATTTTTTCTTATCTCAAATAAAATTTCCTAATTCATATCCCTCTACTTCCTCCCCGAAATAAAGGTTTTTTTAAATTTTTTATTATATATTTTTTTTATTATTTTAATGGAATTTACAACTGTATTACATAGAGAATACAATAAGTAAATGAGAAATTTGTAACATGGCATGTACAACATGAAGAGAAACTACCCATTGGTAGAACTCAAACTAAAGTTCTATATTAGAAGATCCCGAGGCCATCTCCTTTTCAGACGCCTCGGAGGGTTATCAGGGATCGAGGAGGAAGCAAGGTTTGAAACGAGAGGATTCTGCAGTTTGTTATGGAAGGAAAGGTATCTGGATTGGGCCAGATCGGAAACATATGGAACATTAAGGTCTTTATGGATGATTTTATTTGTGACAAAGTAAGGAGCGTTGAGGATTTTACGAAGGATTTTGGATTGTAAGGATTGGATACGAGAGGAATTTGATGGTTTAGTGGAGCCCCAAAGCTCAATTCCATAAGTCCAAATAGGTCTTATTATTGTCATATATACGAGTCGTTTATAAATGATTGGAAGCTTAGATCGTTGTCTAGTAAGTGCTGCAGTAGTCGAAAACGTCGGGCGGTTTCTAGTCGTTTCAGTCTGGTATGGGGGTGAAATAAAGGTGAAATGCAATAAAAATATTTTGTCACAATATTAAAAAGTATTTATTATTGTGATTGACTATTACGAAGACTGGATCATGAAAATCATAAGACAAATTAAACTTGATTGTGGTCCAAATATTTTAACAACAATGTTGAAAAATATTGATGTCCTGCAATAACTCGTAACTTATAAGGAAGTGGGGAGGGGATGAAAGAGAGATAAAAAAATTGTGCAAAGACTATTAGATTGGCACAGGCTTAACATTCATAAAGAGATTCATGAAAACCAAAATTAACAGTGAAAATTAAGACAATAATTTAAATAAGCAATTTCAATGGTAGGTACTTAGCATGTAACAAAGGCTTATTGATAGTTTCTCATTTTGCAATTCTGTGATTGATAGATTAAATTAACTTTGCTTCACCATAGAATTATGGGCTGTAAATAAATACTTTTACATTTTATTCCTAGATATAAATAAAAAACAAAACAACAGACCTGAACGGAGTGAATTGATTATCACAATATCCAGAGAATTAAGAAAAAGATTAACTAAATGTTAATTTAAAGCCTAAAACACATTAGACAGTTTTTTAATGGATTTGGAGATGTACCAAATTGTGAGCGGATTGAAATTAAAAATTGTCGGAGTATAATAAATTATTAGAAAATTCCCTGACATTAATAACGAAATTTTCCTCCTCACACCACCTAGAATATCTTCTTAGTGAATAATTGAAAACATTCCATAAAAAATAAAAAAAAACTATAGAAGTAAGACATGTTTAAGAGAGAGGGACTGATGGACAAAGCTAGTCGAAGATTTTTTTCCAGGTTTGTTGGAATCAGAGATGCAATGGTAAAACTATAATATCAATCCTCTTCTCAATATTTTATATACTTGTTACCAAATACCAACAAGAAATAACTAAAAAAATGGGAAAATTTCTCAAAAAGTAATAAATAAGGCAACTCTATGAAACATTATCGGTTCATACAGATGTGTTATTTAATTAAAATGTATAGCCTGAGGCTTTGGAACTGAGGCTCAAACAAGAAATAGAAAAAAATATTAATCTTAGAAGGAAAATTACGGCAGAAAATAAACAGAGGCATGAATGGTCTGTTCAGAGGAAGATATGACTATAAAATTAAAATTTGGAGGCCAAGATGGGGGTCTGGTCACTTGGCCTGAATGAGACATGAGAAGATATCAAGAAAAATATTACAAAGATAGGACCATGCTCCACTACAAAGAACAAATCTAAACCAACAGAGTCCAGGAAAGAGAGTGAGTGATAGCGGATAGTTCTAATCACGCACCGATAGCTATTATATCACTGATAGTGTTATCAACATTCCTCATGAGGATAGTCAACAAATAGAAAGAGTATTTTTTGCAAACATAAGACTTAATATAATTCTTAAAATCATTAAAACAATGGTTTAATCATTTTCTAAAACACTAGTTTTCCATGAGGTCCTTAATAATAAATAATAAGAAACAATGTCTTCTTAAATCAAATACCTATTCAGATCTTCATATAAGTTCAATATTAATCTATGGATGTGTGAAAAATCTCTTAATAGCTCAGGCATATAGTACATGATCTGCCTAAGTTCTAACTGCATTACCATATAATATAGTTATAACCTTTAACATAGAACATGTTCATGGAACATAGAACGTGTTCTTCGCCAGCGATACAAAGAGATCAGAGATTGTCACGACCAATTCCATTTTGTGTGCTAGTGGAGACTTAACACATAACTAGTTTATTTCATCTTTATGCCTTACAGGCCGGTTTTATTGAACAGAATCTCTACTATAGATGAAGTTCTTAGCAATGTAATAAGTAGGAAATGGATTTATATTCATTAATATATTTTTTTAAAGCCTTGTACACTTTTTCCGACAGTAGGCTTTATTTTTTATACAAATAAAAAGCAAATAAAAATCTTTTATTTACCACACTTGGAGTTTACTAATATATTATTGTATATATTTAGCTAATAAAGAAAATTCATAGTAAAAAAAATACTGAGAGCAAACAAAAGATATTTTTTTCAAATTGAAAGTATTTTAACATATAAACCAGAAATTTTGTGAATTATGGGGTAGGTAGTAAAGAACCCCATGTGTTTGAGCCAGAAATTCTATTTAATTATATTTATACCAAAAATCTAGTCAGTTTCACTGCCAATTTTACTTTTGTTATTCTGAGTCTATCATTCTGAATCATTTATCAATGATTCTGATCAATGATCATTTATCAATAATCATTTATCAATCATTCTGAATCATTTAGTTTAATGATTAAAATGCAACAATTCAAATAAACTTCTAAAACCCTGATGTTGAATACATTCGTGAATTTTAAATATTAATTTATAAATAAAGTTTGTGATTTTTTAAAAAATATTTCTCTTTTTTTAATTTCACCAATTTCAGTTGTTTTCTTACATATTTCATAATATATTTGTAAAAATCAGAGGTTGGAACTTTTGTGTAATTAAGTTCGAGATTTATGGTAAAAGTTTAACTTGTATTTATCAAAGTTCTTAAAAAAAGTTTCGTTAAATGAATTACACATGATTCTGATATGTCGATTATTTGAGTAGCAATTAACAAGTTATTTTTTAGTTCAAATGTTAAGTGAAATCAACAGTTCTATAAAACCTGTTATTGAAAAGTTGCAAGGGAAAAAGTTCTAGTTCCAAAAGAAGTGAAAAACTATCGACAACAAAAATTCCGGCGATATCGAAACTTTTTTAAAATAAAAGTTCTTTTTCCACTTCAAGCCCTGGTAAAAATATAATTACTGATATATAAACACATTTAGATTTTTATTTTAGATAGATAGATAGAAAATAACATTATTCTGGGACGAAGTCCCTTGAGAATAACAAAATTAATACATTACATCTGGCCTAAATAAAATCATTACAAAAAAATAAATAATGGAAATAAAATATAAAGTAAACATTCTATATACAAAACAAACGAATCTGTATACCAAACAATTAACACTACAACAAGACGACAATGAAAATTTGGTTTGATGTGTGCGGAAACATGTCTGACTAATGCAAATAATTGCATTGAAATGTCAAATTAAGTTTTCATAATCAATTTTGTAACTTTCCAAGTAGCACAGCCTCAGAAACTGATTTTAAATGTTACAAATCATAAGGGAGGGGGCAGACAAGCTCAATAAAGCACAGTGCTCATATCGCCATGATCCTAGTTGTGATTCGGCTCTGCCAGATACTTCCTTAACTGAATGAAACACCTGAAAGCTGAGTGTGATCTGAGTTCATGATGGCTGAAAGTGTTGCCTATTCGAATAGAGCCTGCATGAATCTTGATCTCGCCACTATGGTTAAATTAAGTTAGTTACTTATAGGATAACTCTTTATTTTTATTAAACTTTGAACAATATTTATATATATTATTTCTCATGATTGCTTTGGTTTATTAATTTCAATAATCAACCTCTCAAAATTTGAGGTTTTACGTTTCAGGACGCGTAGAATTCGAATAACGAATACAATTTTTTTTGTCCGTCCGCCGTCCGATTTTCTCCGAAACTACTGGACCGATCTTTTTCAAATTTTGGTATAAAATCAGAGGTCACCCGAGGTTGATCCTCCTTCATCAACATTACTATCTGCCTTTTACTTTCAAAATGGCGGCCGAAAAACCTGCGTTGCTATAGACTGTAGCTCCTAAACGAATGTACAGACTTCGATGAAACTTCGCTAAAGTCATTTTCTCAACGCCCTTTAAATTTATCTATATAACATACTTCAACGAAAAGAAGCTGGAAAAAAGTTATGAGGGATGGTAAAATTAAATTCCGAATAACTCAAAAAGTTTATACTTTTTTGGGGATATTGCATATAGTTTTTTAAAAGTTTACTAAATTTTCTAAAAAAAAAATCGTTAAAATCGGAAAATTAGGAGCAAAGATAGGGTCTCCGGTTTTTTTTAAATATGTTCTACTCTAAATGTTATATCCTTGGTTTGGTTTTTAAATTTTGAATGTGTTATTGAACTAATGCTATTTTTTTTTTTTTTAGCATATTACTAATGATTAAAAAAAAGTTTAGTCCAATAATTGGAATCACCTTTTGTTTTTTTTCTTTGTAACTCGGAAGGTAATGTTACTTTAGATGTATAATTGTTTGGAAATAAAAACCATTGTGAAATAATTTGCAGTGTTTTTTAATGGCATACCACAATGGCTTTAATATTTTATAAAAACCAATGATTGGGCCGTTTTGAATATTTGAATGCTGAAAAATAAGTACATTCCCCCAGAAAAATTGGGGAAAAAAGTATACAATTTATGTTATAAGGCATTACAACAGACCTTGTAGATCTTTGGCTGCCTCAACAACCCTGCTCCACCTCTGCCAGTCTTGGGCTACTTCTTTCCAGTTATCTGCATGCAGCTCTACTCCATTGTTGATTCGATATACATCCATCTGCTTTTAGGCCTTCCACATTGTATTTTGCATACTATTGAGGCATTCATTGTCGTATAGAGGATTCCAGATGGATTGCTCTGAGCTACTTACCCCATCCATCTGAATCTGTGCCTTTATAACATGAGATATTGATTGACCAATTTCTGTAAGCAGCTCTTAATTGGTATTTCTTCTCTATGTGTTCGTACTCTCACCTTAGATTGCTCCTATTATCGCGTGGCGGATTTTTCTCTCAAACTTTTCAATACTTCTATTTCCAGGGGGCTGGTTAGCATCTAGATCTCACAGCCATATATTAGAATTGGCTTTATCATAATATTAATTTCAGATCTGTACACCCTTCATTTGAGATTTTTCAGGATTTTAATAACTTTGGACATGAGAAGAAACCTGTGTTTGCGCTTGTTATACACCGATCTATTTACGACCGTTGGTCATTCATTGAACTTATTGTGGAACCGAGGTATTTGAATTTTACATTAGATGATATACATAATAATTTGAAAGGTAATTAAAGACATCGTAAAAAGTACATATTATATATATCGGAATTGGACCATTATTAGCTAAGATACAACTTATTTGACTTTGTCTTCATGTTATTGTTTGCTATTTTCAATAACGGATCTTAGAAACCAACCAAGATAAAAAAGTTGATTGTTCCCTCTCAAAAAAATAATTTATTGATTTATTTTCATAATATATTAACATTTGTCCACAGACTAATTTACCATGTGAAATATTTGCACAGGCCAACTAGTTTCCTAATAAAAAAAACAAAAAACAACTAGTATATCTGTGCTTGAAATATTGGATGGAACTAACATTCCACATATTATAAAACTATTATATGAGTTAAGCAGACAACCAACCTTTGGGTTGAGGGGAGGAGGCTGTATCAGCTTCCATTGGAACACCTGCTTCTAAACGAGGCCTCTTCCTCTTAAAACTTCTTTGGTCACGACGGCCACCCTCATCGTCACTTTCAGAAAATTCATTATCTCCAGTTACTCTTTTATCAGCAACTGCTTGAGGAACTCTTTCATCAGGATTGTGTTTTTCTTCATCTTCTGATTCTTCGGCGACACCATCTTCAGGTATACCTACAAACCAATACGATGATATAACTTGAATTAAGAATAATACAAAAACAGCTAAACAAAATAAAATATGTATTCATACTGACTTTGCACTTGAACTCCTGGAGCATGTGGAAGCATTCTTAAATTTTCAAACAATCTTGTCCTGAAAAAAAAAATATATATATCAGACTTATTTATGAAACAACAGAAGCAAGATCGAAAGTAAACTGCCTTATTTTTAAGAGCAGGATAAAATAGTCAGATATAAACATTGAAGTATAACTTACTTAATTTTTTCTAGGTACTCGGGCGTATTTTGATTTGCCATATTAGACGGAGAAATGTGTAATTTAAAATCTGGACCAAAATATTCGAAGTAATCGTTGTAAGGCAATTCATTGGCTATTTCAGTTCCAAGAGCAACTGATGTTTCATAAGTCCAACAACGTGATACATTACGAATTGTGTATCCACCACCGCCTACCATTAAAAATGGTAAGTTGTACTTCTTAACGAACTCAACACACTTCCCATGCCCTGTGAAAAAATTACATAATATAAAAATAAAAATAACAAAAATGATAAAAAATAAATAAGAAAAAACTTGTTTTAAAAACATACCTCTGACAGTGAGATTAAAACAACCAAGCCTGTCACCAGTAAGGGAATCAGCACCACATTGCAGGACAACCGCTGATGGTTGAAACGTTTCCATGACCTTAGTGATAATGGGAACAAAAATCGATTCATAACTTTCGTCATCCATACCGTCACGCAATGGGATATTTACAGCATAGTATTTCCCTTTACCAGCACCAATATCCTGAAAACAATAAATAAAAAATTAAATAAACAGAAGAATAAAGTAATGTACTTAAGTTAAAAATATTGAATTCGTTCAATTTTTCAACTTACTCTCAGATCACCAGTGCCTGGGAAGTATTCACCATATTTATGAAAGGAAACAGTCATAACTCTATCAGTCGTATAAAACGCTTCTTCAACTCCATCTCCATGGTGGACATCAATATCAATATATAAAACACGTTGGTGATACTTCAAAAGTTCAAGGATACCTATGAATATCAAGTTTTCTGTTATATTGACATAGTCCATTATTAAAACAATAAATTAGAAAAAAATAAAATAAATATCTAACAATAAACTATTCAAAATGTTCTAAAAATAATATCATTAACTATTTGGATTTCAATATTGCATGAAGCAAACAAGTTACCTAAAACAATATCGTTCACGTAGCAGAAACCGGAAGCTTCAGATTTTTTGGCGTGATGAAGTCCACCACCCCAATTTATACAGATGTCAGCCGCTTGTTTATTCAACTTGACAGCGGCCGCTACAGAACCACCTCCAGAAAGTTGGCAGAATTCGTATAACCCATCAAAAACAGGACAATCCTCACCAACATTAACTGAAACATAAAGAGGAATGATTCTTCGATTCAATATCAAGTTATTGCTACAGGTAGACCCTCATATACAATTAATAAATTTTGTACGGTTCCATCACACAACTTATACTTACCAGCCTAATTAAATAATCAAACTCCATCTCAAATAGTGTTAGTTAATATTAATTTATTTAAATATAAATTTAAAAGTTTACATTTGGTTTGGAAATTACATTTAGTTTCCATGGAAAAATTTTATTGATTGATTCTTAGCGTCTACGCTAAGGTAAGGAAATATTTCATATCTGTTAAATAATAAAAGTTTCATTACATTCTATGACTTCAAACATTAGAAATTAATTTCAATAAATTTGTTAAGCATTTCAACAATATATTAAACATATACATTTCTACACTTATTTTCAGAAAGTTATAGATCTTCACCTTTTTTCTTCTATTTTATACTATTAACAGTTTATATTAAGCCAATTATTATGAACCATGAGATAATTATTTGTCGCAAGAATAACCAAAGATCAGAATAGCATTAAATCATCAAGCAATCACTTTTAAAAATCATAGGCTTATTGGAAAGTGTTTTGGGCAAATGCCAAGTATCAAGTACACATTATCAGATTTTACGCTAATGTCAAAATCCTGATATTCCAATTACTGGCAGTTTAATCATGAATGACCAGAAAAAATATAGGATATTCATCTCCAAAAGCATTAGAGTTCCATTTTTTTTTTTTTTTTTTTGTCGTTTAGGAAGTGGAACTTGGCAGCTGTGATCTAATTAAAGGGTATTTAAATGTGATATATTAAAATTATGAACTTTTTAGCATAATTAAAAATTATTAAATCTATCTTTTATATAAAAAAGTTTTTAGTGACTAATATTTCATTTTAAAGGTGAAATGCCGGTAGAGCACCACCATACAGTTTCCGGATACTGTGTCCTAATCCCAGATATTTTTTCTAACTGTTCAATTTATAAGTTTTCAGCTATTTTCTTCATAAACAATTTCTGTCTTTCATATACCTTTTTCATTAGTATAATTTGTAAAATGGGACAAGTGGTACAATGAATAGATTTTGGTATAAATTTATAAAATGAAATAAAAAATAGGACAGAGTAAGAACATACTAATAACTCAAAAACTGCTGTTTATAGAAACAACATTTGAAGTTTAACAAACCTAACATCAAATAATCACATCTGTATCAAAATTTTGAGCTTAATTAACTCTAGTTGTATAATACCTTATCCTCCAAAACATTTTCAATAAAAAGAACCACAATTATAATTTTCCTAAAATTTTTGTAGTTGTACCTCTTTATATTTAAGTTGAGCACTTATTTTTTGGAGTTGAGCCAATTATCATTTCCTTCTCTCGTCAATCAGACTATGGTAAACATTATAAAATAAACCAGGAAACGAAATTTTTTGAAGAGATAATAGGAATGATGAGTAAATAAATGTTTTTCGTTTTGTAAAATAACGATATTGTAATACATTTTTAACAGGTTTCTATTCAGAATTTGTTTTTATCATCCAAATAGTGAATAAGGCAATTTCTCAATTAAAAGAGAATTCTGGATTAGAAATGACTTTTTAGTACATGAAATTATGGTCTACTCAATCCCTAAGTTGTATTTTTAAAAATAAATCTGAATTATATTTTATTACAACTTAAAACATTGTGAATAGTTTTGTTTCAATTTGGATGGGAAATCAGTAAGATGATGAACCACTTCAAATATAAGGCTAATATTTTATATCAATTTTATTCTCTGCATTCTAATTGTTTTAAATTTTCAAAATGTTAATTCTGTAATAGAAACCACTAACCGTTCATATAGAAAATACAGGGAAATTTCAGTAACCCAACTTTGCTAGTCCCAACACATCCAGTCATTCAAACTCACCAGAGAGTGGGGAAAGAAATTTCAGGTAATTTCTTTATTTATACATACAATAAAAAAAAAAGAAGTAGAATGACAGTAAATCATAAAGAAGCAGTGTTTTGTTACAATTACTGAAGTTGATTAGCATAGAGGAAGAATGTTCAAAAGTCAAAGCAAACAAAAATAACTAACTTAAAGGTATGCGAAAAAATTAAATATTCCTCTTGGGTTAAAATAAACTTTTTCGCATACCTTTAAGAAACTTAAAAAATCCTCTCTATAAAGTGTGTTTATCAAAATTGATTTTTATACAGAAATATTCAATATTTTGATTAAATATTCAAATATGTATACAATAAGTAAACTTGAAAATATCCATTGATTTTTAATAATTTGTTGCTAGTAGTTTAATCGAACACTCTTTACAACCCAAACTTTTCGATAAATTAAACATCCGCCTTTACTGTAATTATTTTGAATATGAGATTGTATTACAGCGGGAATCAATTTTTACAAGCAGCAATTATCTACGGGAGAGCAAATTATCAAATATAAAATGAAGACTAAGATTAATTAAGTTAACTTAATTCATTAATTAAATTTATTGGTATAGAGTAGCTTTAAATTATTAGATTTTGAGTTGTGAATGTTCCATTTCAAAGAATATTCTTACTACTATGCTAGAACAACAAATACTTATAGTATTCAGTAAGATAAAAAGTTATCTGACTTTCATGAATTATACCATGCTAGTAACTCAATAACATTTTTTGAGTAATTCTCCCTTTATCCTGGATGTGTGATATATACTCTTTGATAAAAAAACTACATTTAATCATTCCTTATGTTGGACATCTCCTCATAACCTCAAACATATCTGTGCATCTAAGCCAACAGTCTGAAACTGGCTCATATCAAAAAAGAGAATATTCTGTAAAAATTCTATTTGAACATTATAACTATACCTTTTATATCTAACGCAATGGTTGACCTTAATGTTTAAAATATTAGATAATTTTTGAAAGAGGGAAAAAAAATCCAGCAAATGATAACAATTAAAACACTAATATCCAACAACTTATTTAAAAATTAGTATTGGAATAAAGCTTTTTAAGAAACAAAGCAATACATAAGATTAAAAACAAAATATATAAATTTGAAAAACGTAAAATGAATATCACGGAAAACTTCTTCGATTGATTGAAATTATGTGTACTGATAGCTTCAGAAGAAGAAATATAGTTTAAATGTTTGTAAATGAAATATAAACAACCTGAGAATTAGTAATAGATAGTATAAATTATTACATAAAAAAAAAGTTTGCATTACTCCAAAAATGAATAATTATGGACATATTTTTAAAAGGACATAATATTAATTATTGTTTGAATATGCATATATTTGAAACCAGCACACTAAGCTTATTTTAATTAAAAATATATTAACCAAACATAACTCTCATTCTAGAATATTAATAATTTTTTTATTAAATTACTTACACCTCTGCATTTGTTTGTTGTATTCTGACATATTGTCAGGACGTATACTTCGTAAAAATCTAATATATTCATCACTATGAAATTTTGTCATTTCTTCGGCAGTTGCCTTGTGTGGTCTCTGAAATATTGATATAAATAGTAAATATATTTAAATTTACTACAATAAGGAAAATATGGAATTAAAACTTACATAAATTTCCATCTTTCTGTAAAGCCCATAGTTCAAAAGTAAATTATGTGTCATTCTTATTCTATGGGGTTTCATTGGATGACCTTGTCCATAATAATAATTACCAATGTCACCTATTAATAAATAAAATTAATTAATAAATATAAAAGCAAAAAGAATATCATTAAACACTCTTTTATAACGAAAATTGCAACAGACCACCATCAACCACAATGTTTGATTCTACAGGCCACCGTAGTACATGTATCTGTATCTAAGTTCAAATTTGTAAAAAAGTGAAATGAGATAAAATCAATCCGTAGAGACAATAAAAAGTCAAGAAACGTAAAAAAATAATAGAAGTGAGATTCAAAACCATGAAATCCGACTGCGATAGCGTTAACTTACAACCCATAAATAACATGTCAAGTTACGGTGACCTGTACGATGGCCGACGATATCTGTGCCCGGTGGCTGCGAAAACAATACAAACACAACAGTGCATTATGTTTTGAACATTAATTTTAACACAAAATGTAGCATTAATATAAAAGTTAACTGAAATTAGGTGTTGTACAACTATAAAAGCCGATAACAATGAGTTCTTATCATAATACATGACGTACTATTTCGCTCATGCATCTCTTAATTTAAATTTAAGGTAAATATATCAAATGAAATTAATCTACTTACTGTCATAATAGTAGCAAACCCTTTTCTTTACGGCGGAAGTCATTTCGAAATTATTAATACACTAGACAAAAACAAAACAGTCAACAAGGAACGATTTCAATTTGCAAGACACAACAAAGAGTAGAGGGAGAGAGTTAATGCAGTAAACTACTCTGTTTGGCCAGTGACCATAGAGTGCAGCACTTACACAAATTACTGTATTCTGTATCGATTTTATTTTAATCGTTTTATTTAGTATTTAAAATCATTAAGATAGATTAAAAAAAATATAAATATGGGTTTGAATCAGACAGATTGTTAATTTATGTGAAATAAGATTTAAGTGTAATCTCATTGAAATGAGCTTTCGAGAGCGGGATATTTGAATTAATGAACTCACTGTGAGTACTGTGATAGAACATTATTTACAGTTTATGATTTATCTCATTAAAATATTACAGTAATAATCAATAAGAACGTGGTTATAAATAAGTTACGATTAATATAAAAACTAGTATTTCAATGGCCAGGATGATATTAACTTGTAATGAAAGTATGTTCATAGTGCACATACTTACTTTTTGTTTATTGTTAGCATGAATATTGTAAAAAATGAAGACTCTTTTAATTGCTTTCTTTTTCACTATAAACTAGTTATGAACAATAAGCTCCTCAAGCTTAAGCTTGTCTTCTACAATGTGAAACAAGAGAACGTGTTTGTGTAATTAAGAGTTGGGCTAATTACAAAAGACAGGTTTTGTTTATTACTATTAACAATAAATAACAAGAATAACTAACATTATATAATATCAACAACATGAAAACAACATGTAATAACAGTATAACAATAAGTAATAAACGATTAGTATGTGACAAGCATTAATTATCCCAAATCATTTTATTTTTATGTTAAAGTAAAGTTTCTTGCCTTGAAAATGGTCTAAGAACTGAAACGTTGAGAGTAGTGTAAAAAATATAGTAGGACTGTAGATCTAATGTTTGTATTTATTATTACAAATTCTATAACTTGTTTTAAACGATTTTACACTCATTTCGGAGTTAGTTAATATAATAAAAAAGCAATGGGGATAACAGCAACAAATAATTCTTAATAACTTATTCATTGGGATGTTTAGAATCAGAATTCATTGCACTTTAATATGATAAAAAATTAGCACTGAAGCACTTTCATTCTATATACTTTTTAACTCACTTGTTAGACCTTGTCTAAATGAGGAATCCACGACTCTTGATAAACAATTTTGTAGACAAACCCTAGTCTGCCAACTCCAGCAGTTAAAAGAACACATCCTTAGTGTTTTCTAAATTTGGTGACTCAGCGATTATGTGGTCCTTACATCAGAAGTCTCCATACTTTTTGGCTCCGGGCCACATTGACACCTCAGCTAAATCCCGAAGCCAATGACTTATGAAGAAAAAAAAATCTTGTTCCATAAATGACACTTCAGTTGTGAAATGAGCTTTCTAAGAGAAACAACTCATGCAATAAATGTTTAACCTCCAGTTTGAGTGATTTACTTAATTGCATATTTTTTAAATAGTTTTAAATTTTACCATGTAATCAAAGAAACTTATGTGGGCCTCGGCCGCATTGGAGATGCTTGCAGGCTGTAGTTTGGAGATCCTACCTAACATGAACAATCCTAAGGTTTTTAGGGATGTATATTGTGAAGGAAATGAGATAGGTATATTGTGACATGTGGCACATATTTCCAGAGAATCAATCCTCTAATTAGTGGAAGATATAATATCCTGGAGGTGATTGGACAAGGTGGCAAATCCTTCAGAGTGTAGGAGTCAGAAGATTGTGGATGATTATCTGGGATATGAGAGAAAGAAAGAAGTCCGAGAGATATCCAGGTTGTCAAAGGATCATAGTGCCAAGAATAAATAAATAAAATTGGATCGAATATTTATGATTCTTAAAAAGACTATTCAAATACCTTTGTATATTAAAATTTTAGCAATAAATAGTTCACAAAAGGTCTTAAAAACTTAAAGTGTTCGGCATTTATCAATTGATCTTGGATTTTAAAAAGTATATAGTAGTTTTAAATGGTAGACTAGTTAAATGTCTAAATGAAGTTGAGAATATTTAGTAAATTATTAGGATGATTTTGGTGATGCTTGGGTAAACGAAGTGGTGAGGTCAAATTGAAGGAGATCTGCCTGAGAAATTAATAGTCCCTGGATAATCATATAAATATCTCCTCATTAATTATTCAATCTTGATCAAGATAGCGTAACGATGCCAATCATTAGAAGTTTGAGAGGCACCACCTAAGATTATAGAAAAAATCATAACCAAATTTCAAGAATTTAAACAATCTGTTCGCAGACATTAAAAGAGATTGCTAGCAGGACCATTATAAAAAGTAACATATCAGATATATTGATGTAATGGGATCTCTTAGGGACTACAGTGTGAAAGTAATATATATTTTTGATATTAAAGTTACCCCTATTATTAGATTTTATTATTCAACATTGTCCTGGCAACATTCGCTGATGACTCGGCCATCCTATCTTCTAATTCAGATCCCGAAACAGCATCCTTTAACTTAAAAAGTCACCTCTCTCTTATTGAACACTGGTGTAATAAGTGACGCATCCAAGTAAATGAATCTAAATCCAAACACACCACTTTCACCCTTCGGCGCAAGTCGTGTCGACCAGTTTATTTCAATTCCATACCACTTCCCCTCTCCGACACAGTTCGGTACCTTGGCTTCCTTCTAGACAAAAGACTAACATGGAACCCATATACCAGACTTAAAAGACAACAGCTTAACCAATGATATGGCCAACTATATAGACTACTCAATAAAAAATCTCAACTTTCAGTTGAGAACAAACTATTAATCTACAAGACAATCCTGAAACCTATCTGGACCTACGGACTCGAACTGTGGGGTCAGCAAAACTTTCTAACATCAAACACATTCAATCCTTTCAGTCTACAGTTCTCCGAACAATAGTCGATGTTCCCTTTTATGTAACCAATAAAACCCTACACAATAACCTTAATATCCCATTTGTACTTGACCTAATCCCAGACAAATTTTCCAAATTTCACCAGAATCTCACTCATCATCCTAATCCTGTAGCACAGTCTCTATCTACCTCCAGTCCCTCTCTATCCTCCTCGAAGGTTAAAACGGCAGTGGCCCCCCGATCTTTTGTAAAAATATATATATTGGAGTACTGGCACTGGTCAGATTCTTCACTCATGTCCTGAGCGTCTGTTGCTCTAGTGCCGTCCATCAGCCTCCACTGACTTACTATACCAGTGACGCGGTTGGGAGAGAAGCACTGGGATCTCCTGGAGTCCTGCTTTGGCTTCCACAGTGGGGGGACAAAGTTTGATTCGGAGTCCCCTGGGCCAATGTAAATATTGTACATAGATGTGAATGTGTTTTATTTGTCTTGTTATTATTCGGCTAATCTGTTGTTTTAATTATCTTGTATATTACTTTATCTTTTTATTTATATATATATATTTTTTTTTTTTTTCTCTCTTATGTACGTATTGTGTGAATGAATACTATAGCCCTAGTACCAATGCCCTTCAGTGTGGCCGACTGTATTAATACTCAATAAAAGTTAAAAAAAAAAAATTATTCAACATTTGTAATTTTCGAATTATAGAAGGAAGTTAGTCGACTTATCATGGGTGAAAAATATTCAGGACAGTCTTTTTTTTTTTTTTTAATTTTAATTTTTGCCAACGTTTCAACCCAAACATGTGGGTCATCTTCAGATTATCTTCATTGAGTACTTGAACACCCTCAGTGCTCAAACCACACCCTGAAGATGACCCACATGTTTGGGTTGAAACGTTGGCAAAAATAAAAAAAAAATTTAAAAAAAAGACTGCGTCCTGAATATTTATCACCCATGATTTGTAATTTTCAATATTCTGGGCATGTAATTTTGATTATTACATAGCTTAAGCAAAAGCATACAATTTATTTACTTCTATTAAATATCTACAGTCATCAATTTCTTCACAATTATAAAATATTTTTCTTCTTTGAAGTAGCTTCCATATTATCATATGCAAAATAATATGGTAATCATATGCTGTGAAGTTTAATTCAATAATGATTTTTTAATAATTGAATACCATCGAAATAAAGAAATATTTGTATTATATTTAATTAAATTGAATTATTTTAATTTTGGTAAATATATTTTCTTAATAATGAATAAATATTACTTTAAGTATGTCCTTAATAGTTAATTAAAGTGTTCAAAAATTAATAATTTAAAAAAGGAATAACTTTTGAAGTTAGTTTAAAGTGGAGTCTGAAGAAAGAAATGAGGGAACATATGAATCTTACCTCACAATATCTATTTTTTAAATTACTATTTAACTATTTCATTGATATTTTACCTAAGAGTCATCTCAACAATGCTTTGAATTTACTATTTTTTTAGTCATAACTTTGTTTCTCCCTAAAATAATCTTCACTCTAAATACTAGAAAAAAACATTTTGTTTGTCAGATAGCTTTATTATGAGTTACAATGTTAAAACAAATTAGACTCCCCAACATGCCAATATGAGGGTAAAGATTTTTATAGGGAGAACAATGTTGATATTCTTTTCTTGCACCTTAAACATTTGTATAAACTTGATTAAGTGAAGGTTTTGCCGTTGATCATTTCTGTAAATGAATTGATCTCTACATGAGGGTGAATTCCATGAAAGATTTGGATCTTTCTATGAAATGCTTGGGAAAAATGCAGAAAGCTGTGTTACTCAGAACTGTGAATATTGTTAGAAAATTGATGAACATAACAAAATAATTTTTCTAGCTTTATCCTTGACAGGTCTGGGTAATGTGCTGTTACCAGCAAATGCGAAGAAACAAGTGATCTTCCCAAATAATAATAATAATAGGATATTCATAGAATATATTTCAACATGGATAGAAAAACAACAAAAAATCATGTAAGTGTTTATTTAAATAAACATGAATGAACATATAATGACAACTAAGTAATTAAAACAATCATACATATTAATCTAAAAAAGATCTAAGACATCATGTGACTAGACTTAGATGTTTGACTAAGCGTTACTAATTTGGAATAAGAATATAATAAAAAAGATTGAACTAAAGTAGTTGATTAGCAATGAAACACATTAATGTACAGATGTTTGAAATTTATGCAATCAATAAATAAATATATATTAGTATATATCGAAGACATTATATGTGTATGTTTAAAAATAGGTAAACAATGTTTGTGATCCAATAAGATCACTTTTTAATAATATTTTTTAGTAAAAACTTAACTTTCTAACATATTTAATAATCAAACACAATAAAAAAGCAATAGTCTGAAATTAATTTTAATTTAAATGATATGCTTAAGATAGGATCCACTATATACATTACTAACAATTAAACAAAGGTTCATTTCAAAAACAGAGTACACACTACAATAAAAATGAAAGTAACTCATGCTTATAAATAATTTAGTTCATAAACTTATATTATAGTTTAGTTTATAAGCGTATATTAAAATAAAAGTCTCATCATTACAACTCGTACCTATCATCGATCTCATCATTACAAATAACCTAAAGATTGGCATTTATCACAGTCCTGGGCAAAAGAGGTTCCATTGTATTTGAAAAATGTAAATGAAAGTACTAAAAGTATAAACAATGCAAGACTTTGTTTAGAAAGTTTGCATAGTAACATACGAACATTTTGAAATAGCTAAGCTGAAAAGATTTTTACAGTTGGTTTCGTTTATAGATAAATACAATTAAAAATATATACAATGCCATAATTTTTCATATCTATTATCAAGACTATCCATTTCATATTTGTTATACACAACAATTTCCTGCAAAATTTCTATATAAATTTTCATTTTAGAATCTACAAATACTTAAATAATCAGTCTTAAATAACCGGATTACTATGATTTATAATCGAGAAATGATATTTAAGGCACAAAAATAAAAAATGAGTAACAACTGATCAATTACCTACTGCTGTTTAAAACAGTAAAAAACTGGCATACAACATCGTAAGTAGTGAAATGAAGAGCTGTTGTAATTGCAGCCTTTAAGATGCTCGGAGCAAGTCCTTTGTATAGGGCTGCAAAACCTTCATTTTTAACAGTCAAGTAAATGGAATTAATCATCCCTCTACAATAAAAGTTCTGAAAATAAAAATAAAATCTATTTTAATAATCATAATCATGAGATCTTGATCTACCTACCTGATGGGAATCATGTCGAAGACAGCATATCTGCTATGGAAGCAATCATAGGAAATGCTAGGAATATGATCGTGTGTTCAGATACCGGCTTCTAGAACATGTTCTGGGGATCTAGATGGACAAATAGAAGAGGTAACAAAATGGGTGAGTTTATTGTGAGGAACCAGTTAAGGGTAATGAATGATTCTTTTGAGACACCAATGGTCTCAGGGCCTATGGGCCAAAGTTGAATAGACATAAGGCTGGTTTCACTGACGCTAGTAAGCCAAATTGTCTATTGGATCCTCAGATCCGAGACAAGTTCCGACCACAAAGCTGATATTTAGCCTATTGCAGAATGCAGGCTGTTCCCACTGCATTGATAAGGGTTACAAAACCCATATTAAAGACTGGAGTACCTTCTGCTCTATGCTGGAGGGGAAGCTAATTGATGAAGAATAGGAAGAAGCAGAGACAGACTGGACGGATGATCTGGATTACAGGGTGTTCAGGATAATCAATATCATTCATGATGCTGCAGAAAATTCCCTTCATCTTAGGAAGATGAAAGTTCGACCAGCCCCACGATGGATGCCGGCCTTAACTACCCTGAAAAAAGACCTCAACAAGGCCTAGTGGACGTATTAGAGGTGTAGTAGCGATGAGTGGCACACTGAACTTCGTAACGGGTATAAGGAAAAAGCCAGGATATACTGAAACGAAATGCACAGCCTAAAACGGAAGTATTGGAATGTATTCACTGTTAAAGAAACAGCCAAGAATCTGTGGGGTATTCCTTAAGGAATGGCTATGGGCAAACTAACTCCGATATAGACTATTGCAGCTTTAAAACATGGAAATTCCCAGACAAAAACTCCAGAAGAGGCTGTAAAATTATTCGTTGTGACGACATAACCAAGGGAACGAACTTGTACCCACCATGGGACATCCATGATCTCCGATGTGCCATGGATAGAATGAAGCTCCAGGGCTAGACACTATTGATTCTGCAATCTTGAAGAACATTACTCCCTATATTGAAGAACGGCTGTTGAACATATTCAATGACTGCTTAGATAGAGGGTACTTTCCAACAGAGTGGAAGATTGCCGATTTGAGAGTGTTTTACAAGGGGAGTGACAAAGATAAGCAACTTGCTAAATCATACAGACCAATCTGTCTCCTCACTGTAATGAGCAAGGTCATAGAGTACCTCATGTTAGCAGGTCTGAGAACGACACTAGATAGAGCTAGCCATCCACGGCAATATGGATCCACCAGAGGTAAGAGAACCGCCGATACTTTGCTCCAAGTACGCCACAACGTTGAAGTGAATGTGTAGAAGTATGTCATGTTACTTTTGTTTTATATATCCTCCGCCTTCGATAGCATGCGATGGCCGAATTGGTTACAGCAGCTACAAAGGTTTAAGGTTCCCAGCAACTTGTATACACAAGTGAGAAGTTACTTAAAGGATCGAAGGGTAAGGATCCGAGGTAACTTCTATGAATTCGAAGAAAGCATAGAAAGGAGATGTCCACAGGGCTCTGTCCTTGGACCTGCCCTTTGGAAATTAGTTTTCGATGAGTTGTAAAGGGTACTCGAAGAAAAGCGGTTCCCTGTCATGGATTATGTCGACATGTATTATGATTATGTAGTCGTAGTGGTGGTGTCCAACAGCAGAGCTGGCTTGAAAAAAGAAGCAGAAAAGTGCACCAATCTTGTTGAAGAATGGTGAGAGAAAAAAAAAAAAAATAGCTGGTGCCAAAACCCAAGCTATACTTCTAAAGGGTAAGACTGCTAGGGCTCACCCTATTGTCATGAATATAATAATTGGGATAAGAATCAGTCCAAGTGAGGAAGTGATTTATGTTGGAGTAAGATTCGGTAGAAGATTCAGTGTCATTCCTCACTTGGATTACCTCAGAAGTAGGGTGAATCTAGCTCTGAATGGACTATCTATAATGGAATAGTGTTGGGTATCCTGAGGTACGCGTCCCTTGCTCGGAATTGAAACCTCTCACAACTACAGAAAAGAAGATTGGCGACAATTCAGAAAACGGCTCTGCTACGAGTTACAAGATCCTACAGGACTGTTGCTCAAGAAATGGTGCAGGTTTTAGCAGGAGGGGCACCTCTCCACCTCCTCCTACATGAGGATAAGATTAAGTATATTCTTAAAATAGAAGGCTCAGCAGATCTTACGGAAAATCTCCAACAAAGTATTGAAGCAGAGCCATCTAAACGGAAGAGAACAATACGGGAGGACACCATTGAATTGATGGTGGGTAACTACATAAAAGCTCTACCTTGAGAAAATACTTTCCTACAATCTATTCAAGGTTAGAAGTGAAATAGGTTCTCCCTGATTATTGTGTGTCACAATTTCTCAAATGGCATGGAGGGTTTCGCGCCAGGCTTCATCCTTTTGGAAACAAAATTAACCCCTTATGTCCCGGTGTTGTGGTGTTCCGGAAACTGCTGAGCATGTCATCACAACTAACATAGCTGGGATTCAATAAAGGCCAAACTACTGAAGGAAACTGGATTCTATATCATCATGGAGGATGATTTCTCTCAGCTAGTAAGCAAGGATAACTACCCATACTACGAAGCTTTTGTGGAAGGATGAAAGTAATTAGTGGGGGTTGATCATTTGAACCTCCACTAATCAAGAAGAGAGAGGAGGGAATAAAGAGAAAAGGTGGTAAAAGTAAGTGCTGCTTCTTCCACAAATCTGTAGTGCAGAGAGGCAAGGGAATATGATAATAAAATTTAAAAAAATTATATCACAAAAATCATTGCAATGAAAAAATAAATAGAAGAAAATTTGGGGTCTTCTTTAAAATCAATTTCATATATAACTTTTAAACACAACTATTGATAATTTCTAACAGACTTTGTAATTAAATTTAAGCAGAGTACAGTACTTGAGTTCGGTATTTTTGATTTATTGATTACTCTTTACTGAAGGCAGAGAAGCTTTGTATTTATGCAGGAGGTTAAACAATTTTTTTCTGATCGGAATTAAAAATTTCTATTTGCATTTTAAGTTTTAAACATTAAGGAACAGATCTGGTTCTATATCTGAAGTGAAATCCATATACTGGACATATTACTCACTACTGTGAATCCAATTTTCAGAGATTGTCCAGGTTGGTACCAAGATGGTCTTATATCAATTTCATTCACTACTTCCTCTTATGTCAAAATATATTTTCCTTGATATGCCTATATTTCAAAACCACAGATTCGATTTGGCCTGAAGTTGGAGAGAATTAATGGATTGGTGAAAAAATGATCAATTAGGTGCCAATTTTATCTAATATTAAAAAAAAAAAAAATTCCTTATAGAAATCCAAATGTATTTTCTTATATGTAATAAATTGTTCGTTTGAGTTAGGCCAAAGATGGATGAAATTTTCAGGAGAAGCCATTATTTTGAAGGAAAGAAAATTTATGCAATTTCAGGAATAGGGTACAAATGTTCTAGAATTAATTTCATCAAATTTAATTTAACAATTAAAATTAATGTGCCTAATTGTTAAGAATATTTGACTGCAAAATGTAGATAGTGAATAAATAGAAAGGTAGGTTATATTTATAGTTAGGTTTTATTTTTTTGAATTAGTTATATGTAGTTAGAATATATTTCATTAACCTACTTAATACAAGCAAATGTATGTATAAATCTCATATAATAAATAACCTTATTTCATTAATTATTTACCTTTCCAAAACCTTTTCTCCCTTCTTGGAAACCTTGAATCTGCAGCCTTTTTCTGGACAAATCCAATGGGTAGACCAACGTTTTAGCTATGGTTCCAGCTAAAGAACCGATTATAAGATTTTGAACAATAGATGGTTTTCTGTCAGGCCCAATCAATTCTGTTCAATAAAATAAAATTAAATGAATCAATCTGTCTTAAATTATAACTATTAGATTTAGAGAAAATGCATAATGAAGCATTAAATAAATAGAAATTTAAGAATCACATCTAATAATTAAAACCTGAGGATTTTCTAGATTTTAGAAATACCCTTCAGAAAGTTCATGTTAAATGAAATAAAAGAATTGTTTGATATTTAATCAAATTATTCCATATTGTATTCTTAAAAATATTCTTCCTGAGACAAGAAAGAAAACAGAGATTTGTGCCATCCGAGACTCTTATTTGGTGGCTTTCACATTCTCCACTTACCCAATAGGGCCATTACTGAAAATGAATTTTGGTTCTATGAATTTGATGTGGAACTAAAATTCTAAAGCAGAGAATGGAAATAAGCTAAAGAGCCAAAGATGAAAAAGTCAATAACATTGAGATCGAATGTCTAGGCAATGTTGACTGTTTTGTTTTTAAAATTTCAGGCCATTATCCATCAAGTATTAATTTCTTTAAGTCACATTATTAATGAAACATTTACATTCCCAGATGAATCAGATTCAACCAAATTAGATTCAATAGGGTCAGAAGATCTTCCATCATAATAATGCCTCAACTTATGCATCACTAGTTTAGAGTATTTTTTGCTCTTAAATATGATTACTATCATGGACTATCCCCCCACTTATTCACCTGATTTGGCACTTTTTTTTCTCTTGTCCTCGCCTATTCGGCTATATGTTTTTTCTAAGCCAAGGGAGATGAGGGGATAAATACCAGAGTTAAAAGCCCCCTCGGCACTAGGATGCGAATTTGTAATTATTTTATCATCTTATCTTCAGTTTATCAGGTTGTTGGACATGTTTTTTGCATACATGCTAGCCTCTGCTTAGCTACACTGCCTACTAATCCGATTTGGCACTATGCCTTTTTCTTGTTTTCTAAAAGACAATGTTATTGCAGATGACAATTTTGTGACATAGAGGCCATCAACACATATTGGACGGGGTGGCCAAGTGGACTATTGCATGTGCAAAATGCGTTGCCTGGCAACCAGTTAAACTGATGTAGGAAAGAAAAATATAAAAATAAATATGTAGAGATGGTTGACCGTTGATATAATATGAGAAGGAGTTAGTCGAGGGTATGGTCAAATAAATACTAAATTAAAATATATTAATTATTTTAATTTTTGCCGACGTTTCGATCCACTTTGCAGGGCTACAAGGTTGTCTTCAGGACTACAAAAGATATAAAAGAAAATAATAGGTTATTTTTATATTTATTTTTTATTTTCAACATGTTTTGTATCTTTTGTACCCCCCCTTTTTTTTTTTTTTTTTTTTTTTGGGGGTCCTTCCCTTCCTTGCCGTTAAGGCTATACGGGATTTTCCCGGGCCAGGGGGTGTGAACGGGGATTTAAAAGACTCCCTCGGCACCGGGACGCGAACTCGTGTCTATTTTTATATCTTTGATTCATATGTCAGGTTGCCCGGCAATGGCGGTGCAGTGCACATGCTTTAGCCCATTCGGCCACCCCGCCCACTTTTTGTCGCCTTGAAGACGACCTGCAAAGTGGATCGAAACGTCGGCAAAAATTAAAATAATTAATATATTTTAATTTAGTATTTATTTGACCGCACCCCCGACTAACTCCTTCTCATATAAAAATAAAAGTGTTGTGTCAATGTTGTGCATATTGCCTGATAGAGAGTATTTTGAAGGAAACATTATTGAATTAACTGATTAAATATAAAATAACTTTTTTTTAATTTCATAGTAAGTTTCCAAAAAAAAAAAAAAAATTGTTATAAATATTGAATGCTTATGCAGAAAAAAAAAATTTTAATCAACAATTTTTTCAGTTTTTTTTTGCATAATAAACAGTAGTTTATATAAAAAATGATAAATGATTTTATAGAACAAGAGTAGTATTACTGCATAGTTTGATTTAGAGGTGGTATTTGATGAAACTAGGTGGACTAGATCTGAAGACGAAGCCGTTTCTCCGTGTTTTCAATGGGCTCTCCAATGAGAGATTTGTTTATAAATATTGCAGCTATGCTATTCTTTTTTAAAAGCTCTGTTTTTATTTTGGAACAGTAAGAGAATAAAGGAAATGATATTCATTTATTTAATATATTAAGGTTACTGTGGGAATGGAGCTCCATATAGTTCAGAATTTATTATTTAGGAGGAAATTTACAACTTTGAATTTTTCATTGTATTATAGCTATTGTTTCAAGAAGAAAACAAACCAAACCAATTTCTTCTGTAAAATAATTAAACAAAAACTTGATGGCCTGAAGGTGTAAGGAGTACATATGAAAAGATTTTAGGACCAAAGGAAACAAAAAGCTATAATTTAGAAATCATAATGGTTAAATAGATTAATATTTTTTATCCTAGTTTAGAAGATATTGAGAGTACAATACATTAAAAAAAACAAAAACACACTTATCATCTTAAGTTACTAATGATATTGTGACTAATTTTGGGGATCAAACTGGACTCTCTATTTTTATGAAAAATATAAATTATATTGTCAACAAATAAAATTTAAATACTCTTCTTCTCCCCAAAACTGACATTTTACTTTTCAAATCATCTCATGATCCTCATCCTATCAAAATTTCAGCAGTCAGTTCTACCATTAAATGAAACGTTATATGTCGCCACTTTAATATAAATTTTCGTATAGAGATCAACTGCTTTCAACCGACTGACGGAAATTGTGTGTTGAGATGACGTTTGTCTACAATTTGAAATGGTTATTAACTGTAAGTCCTTCAATTAAATGATATGATTGGTAGCTCCTAGTCCAACATGGAATTCAGCTTTGAGATCACGACTTTTGTATTAAAAAATAACCTATCTCCATCATTTTTTTAAATGAAAATATTAAAAAAAACAATTTTTCGAACATTCCTCTTGCTTAGGACTACAAAAAACAAAGAAAACATTATTTTGTAATTGTCAATAGTTTCATGGTTATAACGGGTGACAGAATTTTTGACTCCAAAAAGATCAATTTACAGTTGGTTTATCATTATTTTATCAAGTGAACTTTGCTGATTATATTAATACTTGCAGAATTCAAGAATGATGTTTTTTGACGGAGATATGAGAAAAAATATAACATAAGACAGAAAGTTCTAGGTGGCCATCTTTGACCCTCCATTTTGAATAGAAGCGGACAAGCTATTTAATGGGACTTTTCATTCATGGTTTGTTCTACATTAGATGAGGAACTAATCAACACATTTACAGCCAATTATTACACATTACACGCAATTTACAGCCAATTATGAATTTTCTTGATATTGGCCCTGTTTTTTTTCCTATTTTTACTGCTTTGCTAAATCCTTAAAATTAAGACAAATATTTGAAAATGGAAAAAAATTGCATTTTTTGACCGTGAAACAGTCGCAATAACCTTAAGCAAAAATTATAAGCTATACCTACTAAAATTAACAAATAATGACACTAGAATATTATGAGAGGTGAATGTTGCTCCAGCCTGAGGTGCTACAAGAAGCAGCGATGGAGTCAACCCTCTAAAATATGCAACAGGTCCTTCTTTTATCAGCATGACTTTAAAAGCATGGTACATAGATAGGTACATCTGCAAAGAGAAAGTATATTCATGTCAATGTACTTATTTTTTTGCGATTAACAAATATAATCAAATAAAGTACATGAAATATTGTAATGTAAATTTTGGCTCGAAAGCATTCTATTACAAACAAAGAAAACATAAGGGAGCAGTGTTTCAAGTGGGCTACCATTTACATTGCTGAGAAGAAATATAAGAATAAATTTGAAATAATTTAAATTTAGAGAAGTAAAAAATCAAGATTATTGTAAACAAATATTGTATATAATAGAAAATATTCCCTAAATATTATATTGGTAAAAAAATATTTAATAACTAGACAGTCTAAGCCAAAAATTAATATAAAGTAAGCCTCCTTTGATTTTTTTGGCTCTCAGCAGTGTGTCTTTAACACTAGAAATTAAAGAGGCTATGAAATCCTGAGATATTCTTCCCATTCCTCCTTTCAACAGCTCTCCTACAGAATTTGAATGGCTTTCATTTATTCCTTCTCAGGCTACTTTAACTGTGCCTGCACTTCTTTTATCACCAAATACACTTTCATAGTTCTTGTTGGATGCTTTAGACAGTTGTCATGCTGGAAAATGAATCCCAGTCCTATAAGCCTCAACATAGATTGTATTCTGTAGTGGAGGGTAAGGATACTTTATACTTTTAAAGTATAAATTTTACTTTCTATTCTCATGAGATATCTCGCTCATCACCAGAAAAACACCCCCAAATCATTGTTGATAATCCACCAAGCTTCATGGTTGGGTGTAAGAAATCATTAAAGAACTCTTTTTAAAAGTTAATATCACCCGGGACTGCTGTACAAACTCCAAAAATTCCTACCACCTATATACTTCCTCATTATCCGTTGATACCTTACTGATAGATACTTTAAAGTAAATCACAAAAACGCCTATTCATCCCTTTTTTCCCAGTCTGCTGGTGTTCCTCAAGGTAGTATCCTAGTTCCTATCCTCTATACAGTTTATACAGCTGACATCCCTACCTATCCCGACACTGTCATCACCACATAGCCGATGACACATGTATCCTATCCTATCAGTAAATAATGATTCATCAATTGCATCCCAAATGCTTCAATCACACATCATAAATCTTGTGTCAAAACTGGAGAATTAAAATAAACTCCAATAAATCCCATCAAATTACCTTCACCCTTCGTCGTAAACCAATGACTGCCTGTCCTACAGTTTCCTTGGAATCCTCATACTAGACTGAAACGACAAGAAACCGCTCAACGTTTCCGATTACTTCAGCACTTACTAGACAAACGCTCTAAACTTCCCATTAATTACAAAAGACTCATATACTTGACTATAATAAGACCTATTTGGACTTACGGAGTTGAGATATGGGGCTCCACTAAACCATCAAATTCCTATCGCATCCAATCCTTACAATCCAAAATCCTTCATAAAATCCTCAATGCTCCTTACTTTGTCACTAATAAAATTATCCATAAAGATCTTAATGTTTATAATGTTTCAGATCTGGCCCAATCCAGATACCTATCCTTCCATAATAAACTTCAAAATCATCCCAACCCTCTCGTTTCTAACCTTGCTTCCTCTTTAATTCCTGATAACCCTCCGAGGAGTCTGAAAAGAAGATGTACCCGTGATCTCCTAATGTAGTCATATCATTAGAGTGCTACCATTGGGTAGTTACTCAACAAGTGTATTCATGTCATTATATCTATTATGTCCAAATTTACTAAATGTATTTATGTAATACAGTTGTAAATGTCATTAAGAAATAAAAAAAAAAAGAAAAAAAAAGAAGAAGTTAATATGACCTATTGGAATTCAGTTCATTTTCTGACCTATAGTCATGGCTGATTTACCACTTAAACTCAAAGGTTAAAATCATTAAACTTTTGCCTAAGTTTCACTCCATTCAAAGAGAGTGATAAAATGAATAAATAAATAATATTTTTTAAAACCAACAGGGGGAACGCAATATATGTTTTCCTGTAATTGAATTGTAATAAACTTATCATAATTTCCATAATATCTTATATAATACTGTATCAGAGAATAATTTAAAAGGTATATAATAATTAAGAGTATAATTTAAATTACTTTCTCATTTCCTTGCGCAATAAATCTAGTCCTGACCACATCAAATGGAAAAGAGCCAACTGTACTAGCTGCGCCCGCAATAGAGCCACATATGAAATGCACACCAGGTGATTTAGCATTCATGTTAAGATATTTTTCACTAGCCCTTGTTAAATATTCAAATGCCTGAAACTGTAAGGAATGAAACATTGTTAAATTTTGACAAGAAACATTGCAAGAAAAAGTTATAATTTCCAAGTGAGCAGGCACTGGTAAAGGTGCCTCTTACATTACTTTGTAATGCGTTTGGTAGACAGAGTGATTAGCAATCCACCCTCATACATTTCCTAACTAATATCAGATACTGATTTCTTTTATGGATAGATGAACTCAAGAATAGTACATAAAACCACAATTATCATCCAGACGAAGCCCACTAATTTTTTGTCAAGAGAAAACTTTGACTGTCAAACATTGAAGAGATATTATAAGCCTAACAGACTGTTTCAGATGTTAATTTGTAATTTGAAAATAGTGGAAAAATTATCTAGTGGAAATTCTGAAAAATCCTACTGTTCAAACGAAATTTTAGAACTTTGCATGATTATCCTATACTGTTAAAAGAATAATGGATGATCTAGAGATAGTTTTTAGGATGGGAACTATCAAGATGATCACAGAATTTTGGGGAAATACTACCTTATTTATGAGATAAATTGTAATAAATTGATCAAGATAATTAATTTAATTGATGCATCGACAATGCTTGATTTCTCATAAAGTAAATTGTTTTACTTCTCCCCACCTAATGAATGATAATTTATTTACAGTTATTTATGAGTAATGATACTAGTAAATGTATTTTAAGCAGCCATATTTTTTTTTCTCAATTGTTATTGTGGATCATTGTATAAGAAGAGAATGGTTAGGTCTCTTATGCCACTAATAATATTTTCAAGCATTAGATAATAAATTGGAAAGAAAAAAATAACAAATTATAAGATACATTTTAATTAAATTTTAAAATTCATAAAAAATAATAAATATTTTTAGAGAGTTTAAAGAGTTAATAAATAACTTTTAGAGTTGCCAGTGTAAATAAATTGGAAATACAGTGTAATAAAAATTTGTTATTAATACAGTAAAGGCAATTATTCAAATTAGAAATTAGAGAAAAGTAATTATTTAAGTATAACTGATGTATCACTTAACTAAAAAATTATAATATTTAAATTTAATTATAACCTATTATTGTTTAAGAAAAGTATTATCCTTGCTATAATTGTTTACGGGTTTCTAATTAGGAGTAGATTACTATCCGCTTTGAGGGACATACAATTCTTTAGTGATAGAATTTCGGTAGCCACATTTCAGGGATGTTGGTTTAAAATCGCATTAGTAAACATACATTGTCCGACCGAAGACAGTGACGATGAAGTCAAAAGTGAATTTTACGATAAACTCGAATGGGTTTATGATAAACTACCGCGAAACTACATGAAAATAATTATAGGTGACGCGAACGCAAAGGTAGGAAGGGAAGAAGTTTATATTCCGACGATTGGTAAAGAAAGTTTGCACGAATATAGTAATGATAATGGGATCCGTCTGATAAACTTTGCCATCTCGAAAAACCTGATAATTAAAAGTACGACGTTTAAACATAAGGATATTCATAAATATACTTGGACATCACCGGATTCGCAAACACGAAATCAAATCGATCATGTCCTGATACAACATAGCTGGCAAAGCAGTATAATTAATGTACGGTCTTATCGCGGAGCAGAATGTGGGTCGGATCATGAATTAGTAATCGCGAAACTTCGACAAAAACTTAATATAAAAAAGAGAAAAGAAAACCGTTTTGATTTTGAGAATTTTAATTTGGACAAATTAAAAAATCCATCAATTAGAACCCAATTCGAGCTAGATGTTAAGAATAGGTTTGAAGCTTTAGAGCTTCCTGACGAGGACCACAAGGATATTGACAAGTTATGGGTAGAATCAGGGATAATATTAAAGTGGTCGGTAACTCGTGTCTAGGAAAAAAGGAAAATAAGAATAACAAACCGTGGTTTGATGAAGATTGCTTAAACATGTGCGAAAAACGAAAAGCCGCTAAATTAAAAGCTCTAAATAATCCTAGCGAAGACAATCTGCAATACTTCCGAACCTCAAAGAACGAAACGACAAAATTGCTCAAAAATAAAAAAAAGGAGTATCTTAAAAATAAAATAATTGAAATAGAAACTAATAAAATCGAAAATAACGTAAGAGACATGTACAAAGGTATAAACAGATCACGTAAATGTGTAGGGTCCGTAACATCTGGAATTAGGGATGATAATAACAATATTCTGACCGATCCGGTTGACATATTGAATAAATTTAAGGACCACTTTGACAATATTTTAAATACAGGAAATTATGATCTGTGTCCTCCTTCTGATTACCAGAGTGCTGAACTGTTGATAGAAGGACCGAGTAAAGAGGAAGTTGAATTAGCTATCGGAAAATTAAAATCTTATAAAGCAGCGGGAACCAACAATATTCCTACTGAACTAATTAAGGCATGCGGGAAAGCTGGAGTTTCTAAAATATATCGGTTGGTTAAAAAGATCTGGGTGAATGAGAAATTACCTGAAGAATGGAAAGAATCTATTCTTATTCCGATTCACAAAAAGGGTGCGAGGACGGATTGTAATAACTATAGAGGAATTTCACTCCTTCCGGTATGTTATAAAATATTTACTTTAATCTTAACCAGTCGAATCATGGAATATGCCGAGGAAATTATCGGAGACTACCAATGCGGATTTAGACGGAATCGTTCGACTATTGATCAAATATTTTCTTTACGGCAAATATTAGAGAAAAAATTGGATTGCGATCAGTTCATGATCGCAATACTTACTATATATTATATATATATTTATATAGATAAGTGAAAGTAAAAAATAGTAAGTTATACAGAAAGAAGAGAAACAATTTAAATTTTTTTAATGTAAATTATTTTATGCATGGTTGTCCACCTTGAATTGTGTGAACTTTTTTTTTCTTTTCTCCCCTTTTAGGCTATACAGAGTTTTTGGCAGTCCAAGGGAGAGGGCGGAGGAATTTTACCAGAGCTCAAAGTCCCTCCAGCACCGGGCTTTTAACTTGTAAACTTTGGTTTATCACAGGTCGCTCGCACAGCCAATCCCATGAATTGCATGAACTGTACCTTGGAGATAAAATTGAGGTGATAGCATTATGGTGAATAAAATGGGCATGTAAAATTGTTGAATTTAGTAACAAATGAATCCCTTAAAAGTAAATAAGCATTGAATTGTGATTGGGCAGAACTTGTGAACGCAGTCAGTAGATGCAAGTATTCAGAAAGAGATTGGTGCTATCAGTATAAGTTTTTAATATTACTAACTAATAAGTAATATAAAATATAAAATACCTGAATTAAACCATAAGAAATTGACAATAACTGTCCAGGGTTGTGTCCTTTCCAGAGCCCGAGCAGACCTTCTTCAGCTAAGATTGTTCTTGTAGCCTGCTGGAGGGCTTGATATTTTGATTCCAAGATATTTTTACTTATAGGCTCTACTTGTAACTGAAATAATACACTTATTTTTAATTGTGGGAAAACTAAATATTTTGATTTGGGCTTTTAGAAAATGAAAATTATGAACATTTTTTTTGGTCAGATAAATTAAAATTTTTATTTCAAATAAATATTTGACATGGATTTAACTCTGAATCAATCTTTGCCTATGTAAGGGAAGTAAAGATGAAATATAAGAGTAAAACTTTAACAATAACTGTTCAGAAATCCAATTAATTTTCAAGTTCAAAAGAATTCTTCGCCTATTCCTTGCAGCAAAAGATGTTAGATTCTGAAGCTTAAAGATGATGGACCAGTGAGCAGCATTATGTCTTCAGATTTTATAAACTTTAATGAAATGTCTGTATTTTTTTATATTTTAAAATGTGAAATGTAAATTACCAAAACATTTATTATCAGCAACCAGAAATAGATACTCAGAATAAGGGTTCTCCAATAGTGTTTCAACTCATCGAATAGAAACAATATTCATATAGTTATCTTAGTGGATAATTATATTTATAATATAAAAAGTTCTACTGTTTTTCTTTTCTATTTTTTTCTCAAATAATTTATCTTTTGCAAATAGTTTCATTTTATAAATTTTCTTTAAATTCATTATTTTTTTTTTCTACAAAATAACTTTTTAAAAATTCTTAACTTTTAAAGACTACTAGTGATTTTAAAAAGATTAGAGAAAATATGATTGCTTGAAAAGTAATTATCATAAAAATTTAATTCTGTATTTAAACTGAAATATTTTAAGTACAAAGAAGTGTGCAAAAAACATAAATAATACTTGGCAGCTAGAATGCCTCTATTCATCCTTAACAGATGCTATTAGGTACTCTTATCTGAGTAGTAATGATATCTAAACCAAGGTATCCAAAAGAAGGGTATCCTGGTGGAACAAGGATTTAGAGGCAAAGAACACTCACTAGAAAGTTGTTCAATGCCACAAAAAGATGCTACAGTGAATATAACTACATGCTACAGCATGAATATAACTTTTTATAAATATATATATTATTTTTTTTATTTTTCAGTAATAGTAAGTTTACGAAGAATGCTACGGATACGAAGAGTATCCGTAAACTGGTGAGGAAGAGTTGAGATACAGAGAGGGACAGTATTAGCATCAATACCAAAGCAGTGATGTAAACATTATCAGAATGTGTATATAGAGGACTAGAAGGAACAATAAAGCAGTCTTGATTCTGACTTCATGCGTTTCATTTCGTGAACCTCTTCCTATTTTTGTTTTAAGTCCACTACACTTAACATTATATACACACACGCATGCACGCACACACACACACACAGATATACACACACACCCACACACCTGTGTGTTTCCTTCGGAACTATCCAGGTCTTGCTGTACGCATCAAAATCTTCAAAGCCCGATTTGTCCCGTATCAATCTACAGACTTACCAGAGTTAAAGTATTGAAGCCTAGCAAAATGTTTGCATCGACTTAATTTATTTTAGAAAGAAAAACAAAAGCGAAGAATACGACTCGCTAACCCCCCGTGAAGTTCTGATTTCAACGGTATCCCATTCATTTTATTTGAGCATGACAGGAACTTATATTTGGTACAAAACTGATTTCGAGCCTTATTGTAATAATATATGTGGAGATAATAAACCACTAATTGTCCATTGTTTTGTATGAAACTAATTTTATGGATAATTTTTAGTCAAACATAAAGTAGTGCTGAACTATTTAATATGGTGTTAAAAATACTTCAATTTATTTACTTGATAATCATATAATTTTAATAAAACTTTGAGAAATAGTTTTACCATATAAAAATATATAATATTTATTTTATCCAAAATAAAAGTAAAAACAATTTTTTTTTTAAAGCTAACTGATGGTTTTTTTTTCTACAAAATTCTAAAATGAATTTTCCTTTTTTTTTTGTAAATAATATTTAGTATTAGTATAGTATTTAGTAGTATAGTTGATCAGAGTGAAGAATGGATATACCTGAAACCTGATCTTGAGAACATCGAACGGCTGGCACAGAAAACGAGTAACTGCACCTGCTCCAGCACCAGCAATAGCATACTGATGAGGAGAGAGATTAGGCTTTTCTTTATCATAACCTGGCATTATACCTCACTGTCCTCTTCCTTGGGTAACAAAGCTCCTGTGAACAGAACTAATTCAAAACTCAGACCACAATTCAACAGAAAAAAGTAGATGAAAAATCAACAACCACACATTTAATAATAAGATTATTACTCAAATTTGAGATAGAAATAATAATTAGGCAAGTTATACATTATTTTGGAAGATTTATAAAAACTATATGGAAATATAAATACAGTAATGATTTATATTTAAGAAATATAAATCTTATATACTGCAAAAAGTCACTTAGTAATATTTAAAAAAAAAAAAAAAATGAAATCACTAAGAAATTATTATTTTTTTATTATATTAAAACATTGTGCATTTAGTATAAATATTTTTGACATATAATAGGGTTTGTGTTATTTTGATGACCTTAACATGTTTTCGTATGGATAAATATAATCAAAATTCATAAATATATATTTAAATGTTTAACTCTGTTAAAAGTGACATGGATATTTTGTAATAAATTGACAATATATTTGCATAAGATAAAATTAATGTATGTAGCATAATCAAATAAGAAACTAATTATAAATATCTTGGTATCTAACAACTATAAAAACGAACAAACAACAGAGTATTGATAAAAAGCAGATTATAAGTAAGGGGGAAAACCCAGGGAATTGATTTTTGTTTTAACCTTTAAAGTTAGTTATCTTTTATCAAAATAACACACTTCAATTTACAAGAAACAAGCTTAATTCATTAAGAAAACGATTAATTTTTTATTGAGAGGGTGTATTGATTCATCACAAGTTAATAAATAAAAAGTAATAATAATGAAACAATTTCAAAATTTTTGTTACTATCAACTACTAAGTTTGTTTTTAACTACTACTAAATACCTTTCTACAGAACAGAAGGAATAATATATTATTTTCAATAGTTTTCAATGAACTTGAAAACCACTATATACTAAATAAAAACAATTTATTTTATTTTTCTATCTAGAAAATAATATTATTTGTTTTTTTAAACAATCAATGCTTCTTCCAATTCTTGTTAAAACAAAGAAACAGCAATAATATACAAATATTAATTTCAGGTCTTTAGTAAACTGGGTAAGTGGAACAATCAGAAATTAATGCATGGATTGGCTCTAACAGGTTTTTGACAGGCTTGGATGCATTTACATGCTTTTGCCTACTTCCTCCGAGTGGTAACATTTTTTTATTACAATAATTTATTTTATTTACTTTGATACAATTAGAAAAAATATATGAATCATAGAAATGATTAGATTTAAAAATATAAAATGAACATAAAAAATTAAAAATAAATAAATTGAGCATTTTTAATAATATTGAAAACAGACTTGTAAACAAGACAATATTGGCAGAAATTGAGAAGAAAAATAGTTTTATGTAATGATACAGATTATAACATGCAGTAAACAAAAATTATCAAAACTAACATTTATTGAAAAAAAATTCATGAGAATAAAAACTAAATTAAATTAAGATAATTTATTTTAAGATAAATTAAGGTAACTAATAATAATAGTAATTATTATTATCTAATTTATATGTTTCTGATATATATGGTATATGTTATTTGTTTGAAACAAACATGGAAGAGATCATGAAAGAAAAATTGCAATTTTTCCTAAATAAATTAAATTCCCAAAATGTTTGTAGCTTGGTATACTTCAAAATAAATCGAATATCCATTAAAAATACAGCTTAAAATTTGTGCATTTATAATCTTCAATGATGAAAAAAAAAATTCTTGATTGATCACAATTAATTAACACTTAATAAACAGCTTATTTTGTAAATTACAAAATCAATACATTAAAAACCAAACAAGAAAGAAAAAGGAACATATCAGTTTTTATTTATTCAATAAAAATAAATATATTTAGGAATATGTGTATAAAAAAAAAAAAGATGATGTAAAAAAGTATGAAAGGGAAACTTTTAGAATGGTTCAATTTTACAAAATTATATAATGATATCGTAAGTTTTTTAATACTTTTTTCTTTTCTTTTTTTTACCAGCCATAACTATACATTGTGTCCTGAAGGAGGGAAAGTAAACCTTTTGATACAAGCAAACAAAGGTGTGTTCATTGAAACTAACCAGAATGGGTTAAGCACACACAAAGGAAGTGGAAGGGGTAATTTTGGCAGGGCAGTGGTCCAAGATTCCAGGACAATACCTGCTTAAGATGCTTGGTTTGGGTCATCGACCCCCTGCAAGGAACCTGATCTCCCCACTACCATAAACCAGCACTTCTGGTACAACTGGACACTGGTCAGTAATGAAGGGCATCCTAGTGCCTCTGGTTCTTCTTCTTCCTGACAGCGCCTGGGTTAGGAGCTTCCGCCTTCACTTACCTACGGTACCGGATGTGGTACACCCACCTATACCTGATGATGGTAAACTGAAGACCCCCAAGATAATAAAATAAGACAACTAAAATAACGATAATTACTTTTAGAGGGGCCAATTTTGATTAAACACATAAATTAAGATATTCTAATAAATTACGCTGAATTATAGTAAAAAAAAACAACATAAAATTTTAAAAAAAAGTTCTAATAAGTTCATTTATTATTGAAAAATTAACAAAAAAGTTATGATTTCAGAGAGGTAAATTTTATCAAAGTACTTAGTGATTTAATTTCATAAAATGTTAATGACAAAACTGACGGTATATTCACAGTATATGATCACTTCAAAGATAAAGTTATTTAAATGTAAAGATTATTTTAATCTAATGGGTTTATCAATTATATTTTTATTTTCATATGAGTCCTATTTTAAATTTTAAAGTTTTATTACAGTATTAAATAATTAATTTTTTAAAACAGATGATCTTCAAAGATTATTTTTATAGCTGTATTATCAGGGTCTTATTGACTTCAAGAGTTCAATGTTAAAACTGGAAAAAAATAACAATTTTTTTTGTTGAAAATAAAAATAAATAAAACAGTACAATCCTCAGGATTTGGCTCAATTATCATTATTGATAATTATATACTCACAGAATGTATATTATAAAAAATGTATTATACAAATATGTTATTGAGATTGCCTACAACATTTATAAACAAAATATTGATTTCTAGACGTAATTCCTGAAATTTCATTTTGCAACTGATCATGTCAGTTTGAATAACTCAAATTGAGATGGATTAGTGTAACTGAAATAAAAATTAACCACCATTTTTTCATTAAAAAAATAGATGAAACAGATAATTTCAGTAATTGCCATTTTCAGCTGCTATTCCAGCCTTGTCGGACGATTTGTCTGACATTTTTAATGATGAGGAAAATGACCCAGAGGTGAGCCCAGGACTTTTCCAAGGAGATATGGCAATGAACAATGAGGTTTGAATTAAATATAAATACTGATTGGAATAAAAACAAAATAATAAATTACCATTATTTATAGAAAACAGCTCTATCAGCAGCAATGACTTGTTATTTTAATAAATTAATTTTTGATCAGCTCTACAATTACTGGAGAGTCGGTCTCAAATGGGACGTTTTTCCTGAGAAAAAGTGGGACAATGGGACAGTGCCATATGTAATAAGTCCTTTATATGGTAAGCGACATTAGTACTTTAATTAAATAAATAAGATTTCACTACTTTCAAATGAACTCAAAAGAGTATTTTATGTATATAAAATATTTTTCTTAAAACCAATGGAAAAATACATATTCTAAAGTGATAATAATTTTAATATTTAAAATGAGGAAAGATGGACCTCACCTTCATATATAATTTCACATTAGAGCTGTGATATTATTTTTGTGTTTTCAAGAGCCAGCAGAATTCATAACTATTTCTCGAGCAATTTCAACAATAAATTTTATGACTTGCGTAAAACTTGTGCCATGGGATGGAAAAAAGAAAGACTATTTACTGATTTGGCCAATTAAATTTCCGAAAGGGTAAGATGAATAATGGTGTTAATAATTATTATATACTACATAAAAAAATAATTTTAATTTATTCATTTATAATGAGGCAAACTGAAGTTTTGACCTGATGTATATATGTTTTAACTCATATATTATATCCAATATTAAAAGGAAATAATTGAAAGAAAATTTTAGATGCTTTTTAAAGTTAAAGTTAAAAGCACAAAATTTAATTCTATAACATACTGCGACCCACAAAAAAATTGCTTTGGAAGTAATATTATTTTAAAATTTAATACTGACAATATAATAGAGTAATTAAATTATATTTTGATTCTAAAACTGAAATATATATCAATTTTGCAGATGTTGGTCCTATGTTGGAAAGTATGGAGGTCCACAATTACTGTCCCTCCAAGCACCTGATGAAAAGGGACCGAACTGTTTAGGGAACGAAGGCCGAGCAATGCATGAAATTTTACATGCCCTTGGTATTTTTCATGAACAATCGAGATTTGATAGGGATAAATTCGTAACAATTCACAAGGATAACATAATACCTCGTAAGTAATGTGCTAAAAGCATACAAGTCAGTAAAAAATAAATTTATAAGAAAATATCATTTAAAATTGCGTGGTTGATGGAAAATAGGTAATATTTCAAATAGCATGGATGTAGGGACGGCATTATGTTAAACTCTATCTGTAAGTGCAATGCATGTTTCAAGATGGCTCTAAGGAATATATCATCGGTGCTTTGACATTAGCTCTTATCTACACTTATGCCTAAATTTGAGTAAAGTATCATTTGTATTTGTTTTTATCTGCTATGCAGTTAAACAAAAGTCAAAAATTAAATTGAATAATAATAAGAACAAAAGTAAAACATAATTTATTATTAAATAGCAAAGAAAATATTAGTACAATGTTAACATAAGTTTTTTGTACCCTGTAAAATATTGAAATTGCAAACAAAAGATTTTGTCAGTGGATGAATGAAAATTTAATCTTACTTACATAATAGTGATTAGTGTGACTAATAAACATTAAAATGACAAAAAAAAAAAATTAAAGTTTAACAAATTGCGTTACTTTTTTCACAGCATGAAAAAGTTTACCTTATTAAGTGCTTAAGTTTAGATGTCTTGAGAATTTAAGAACGCTCACAGAATAAAGAATACAGAACCCTAAATATATAACAATTTTTTAGTGAATCGGTAGAGCTGTCCTTAAGTAATAACAATTTTTGTGGTTGTCAATAACTTTATTTACAACATTTATTTAAAGGTTTTTTGAGGTTTGTAAAACAATTATAAACTTTGTTTCTCCCTAAAATATATATTTATTTCCACATTGTTACATCAGTTGGTCCAAATTGTACCCATATTGAGGAAGTTATCTGCCATATATATTTTTTTTCAAAACCAGCCTTGCATCTAGAATAAAGATTTTTTACAGTGAAAAAAGTTGATATTTGTTTTACCACCTCAAACAACTCTTAAATACGAATTTTTAGCGAATTTGAAAAATTAAAATTTTTTTGGAGAAATTTCGACATAGGCCTAGACCCTTAAAAATTTTGTCGACAACCACAAAAATTGTTATAACTTCAGAATACCTCACACGTAAATTATTAGTGCTTTACAGCTACGTTGCAAAATGCTACAGATCCGAACTATGTAAACAAATTAGAAGCAAATATATAAAATTAAAATGTCTGAGAAGTTTTTAAAGGTGATAAATAAATTTAGCTTAAGTTTAATAAAATACTTCAAACAGAATAGACAACCTTGTTTTTGCTTATTATTAGTTTTAATGATTAAGAATTTCGAAGCAAAAGTTTATAAAGTCATTAGAAGTAATTTATTTTAAGATAGTGAAAAAATATCATGTATGAAACGTATTATGCGAACAAATCTATATCTAAATATAATTAAATCAGAATAAAAATTTTGGGTGCTTGATTTAAGTTCTAATTAATGATATGTTTATTTAAATTAGAATTACATAATAATCGCTCATGTTTCGGTGTACAACATTTCACACTTAAGTTCTAATTAATTTTTTTTATATAGTTATTATATTTACAGAATACCTTTCAAATTTTGACAAACAAAGCTTAAAAAACACGACATACAAGTTTGAATATGACTATGACAGCATTATGCATTATGGAAGAAATTTTTTCAGGTAAATTCTTTCATATTTATTAATTAAATGAATAAATTGAAATTAAAAAGCATATATATACATATATATATATATATATTTCAGCAAAGGAAAAGGAAAACCAACAATTACTGCTAAACATGCTGGTGCAAAGTTGGGTCAGAGAAGAATGTTAAGTAAAACAGATTGCCTCAAAGTCAATGATTTATATGGTTGCCTCAATAAATCAAGTTATCTTCAAAGAAAATATTATACTATATGTCAAGTGTTGGGAATATAATTCTGAATAAAATATATTTTATAAATTTTTTGTTTGTTTTTCTATTGTCTTAATAAGCATAAATTCTAAAACAAACATACAATTGATATGATTAATATTAGTAATCATTTGATGATATCCAAAAACTATCAAAAATACCTGTTTCTTTTAAATAGAAAAGATTGACTAACACCTTCTACCGGTACCGGTCATCAGAACACTGGATTGACAGATAATAAAACATCCTCCTGATAATAACCCACCTTCTATGAACCACAAAGGAAACTCCTGACTGATACATCTATTTTATAGCTTCCCCAGTAGAGCGCTCTGTCTTATATCTTTTAATTTCAAATCTAACTGAAATTAAATTAATTCCCAAATAATTAAATGGTTTAGATGTTCTTAGTGAGCTAATTTGTTTGAAAATATTAATTATTGTTTTCCATTAAAAAATTCACTGGATTTTGGCCAAAATATTGGGATTTAGATTATTTTTTAACTTTTATTTGGGTTATTCCCTTTTTTTAAATCAATCAATTAAATTTTCATAGGCATGTGATATCTACACACTTTCTAAGCTATTCACTTTAATTTAATTTCATTACTGGTTAATAAAAAAAAAAATTGATCATATTGTTTAGGATTTAATGGCGAATACTCTCTGATTAATCAAGAATTTAATTATATTAATTAAAATAACTCAAGATTAATGTCACTAAGCCTATTACTATTCAAATTGTTCCAAGAACAAATAATATTAAATGTAATGATTAAATTATAAATGCAAAAATCCAAAGCCAGGAGTCTTATAACATACCGATGAACAGTTAACCAGTCTATTCTATTGACTGTGATTGTATTGTATTGACAATTAAACTGTTGATATGTTAGAGACTAATGGCTTCATAGTTTGAATTTTTCCTTTAACAACGTAATCACTGTATGTCTCTTTTCCAACGATATGCTTATTTTAGTAGCAATGACTAAAAATATATTACACTCTTTTGGGTCTTGTAACTAAGAGGTGGAGCAAAAAAAGTATTTTAATACAGTTTTTAGAAAAATCATTTGAGATAACATTTCCCCAAAAATCTTAAAAAGGATAAAGAAAGAAACAAATTATTTAATTACATTAAAAGAAGATAATAATTAAATTTTATTAGTGGAAATATGTTGAGCAACATATACCTTTTTCAAGCCTTTTCTCACAAAAGTAGAATAAAACATTTTTTTAAACAATAGTAGTGATGAAATTCAGTGCATAATATATTTAAAGTTTTGTAAGATTTAAAATGTTTTTACTATCACTTACTTGTATATGAAATAAATGGGTGATTCTCATTTTAGGGGCGTTTTAGTCCATTACAATTTTTACGTGATTAGTTAAGTCTAACTTGACTTTTTTCCCACTGCTATACGGTGAAGAAGTATTTCTTCATAATGAAATATTAAAGAATAATGTGATTTTATAATTACTTAAGCTAATAAAATGTCATTACCCCGTATTGTCCCATTCTCAGTTTTCTTGTAAACATTTATTTTTTTTCTTTCAAAAACTATGTAAAATGATAGCGAAATTTATTTCTACATTTATATATTTTTTAACTTTTGTTAACAGTGAAGTAAAGATCACTTTTCGAAGATTTTCCCATCATTTTGCTGTCATTACCAAGCAAAAAACATAACATTAGATATTTAAGTGTTGAAAAGAAGGAACAGTGGGAAAATTTCTTCAGAGTGTAATAATAACCATTGAGTTAAAGAACAGCCACCAGCGGATAGACCTACCAGTTGGGAAGCCTCCATCTATGCATCTGTTTCTTGTACAGTGAGCGTGTATCTTTATTGTTGTCATTACTACCGCGTATATTATCTCACTACCTGTTCAAATTATTTCATTCATTATAATTTACGTTTGACCATGGTTTGTAGCAAGTCAGTTGGAAAAAACAAATATTTTAAAACTACTTACACAGCGATTTCAGCTGAATAAAATACATGAAAATGTCATTACCAAGTTGAAAACTTGTGTCCTTCTCCACCCGAATGATTAGCTTTACTTATTTTAATTACTGAGCAAAAAACACTTTTGATCTTCGCTATTTGCTCAGATTAACAGCTGAGTGGCCATATAAGGTGAGATACTTGGAAAATTGTATTAAAATGCCATCAAAATCATTAAAATTTTATCATGAAAATTTCCCACAATCTGAGAATCACCAATATAGTAAGGGAAAGTATTGCAATCAAGAAAATTTTCAAATCTGAGTTTTCAATGGAAATGTTTTGTGTTTCAATGTTTTGAGGTCTCCTGAGTCTAAATAACGAAGTCTCGCAAAATGATTTGTGTGTGGGTGGGTGGGTGTGTGTGTGTATATGTATATGTATGTGAACAGTCTAGCTCAAAAAATGAAAAATTGTATGAAAGTGAAATTGTATATTTAAAGTATATACATGGGATGTTACAGCAACATCTTTGTCAGAATAGGCAAACTCCGGTTAGCCACTTTATATGATCGATTTTACACATTCTTACGATTTTCTCGGAAATGGCTCTTAACTATTTTGATTAAATTCATTATATCTGTGTAAAATTAAGCAGATTATAATATTAATTTTGGTTTCATTCATTGATTAACTAGTACAAAAATTTGCTCAGTATATTGTTCAGTGATCAAATAATAAATTTATAAGAAAATAAAATAAAAGCAATAAATTGTTAGTTTCTCAGTAAATATAATCGAGAAAAGGAAACAAAAATTAATTTTAAACTTCTTTAATGTTTGGGTGAGCCCCATCACCTTATTGTTAATTTAAAAATTGTGAACAATACGTAAAGCATTAGTAGTTCTAATTAAAAGCACCAAACTGTAACATTATTTGTAAATTAGGGATATGAAAAAAAAAAAAAAAAAATAATGTTTGGAACTAACATGTTTACAAATTTCAATAAGCTGTATTTTTGCTAAGAATTGTCCGATTTTGATGATTTCTTTTTCCTTTTGTAGGAAATTTAATAATTTTTGATATAGTTGTAAACATAACACAGAGAAAAGTGTGTAATTTTTGAGTTATTCGTAAATTAAGTTTCTTTTTTTTCATAACTTTTTGACTGAATTTTCTGAGTGATTGGACTAATTTTCCCGTCTAAAGGAGAAGGAAACCTTCAAAATTGGGGACTCAATCTTGTGGATTTGAAGTAGAATTAACGATGCTATGGCTTACCAACAAAAAAACGCAGGGCCCGATAGTTCTGAAGGGTCTTAGTGTACGCATCAAAATCTTCAAAGCCCGATTTGTCCTGTATCGATCTACAGACTTCCTACCATTCCAGTATTGAAGCCTACCATAATGTTTATATGGACTATTTATTTTAGAAAGAAAAACAATAGCTGAGAATACGACTCGTACCCCTGTGAAATTCTAAATCCAACTGTACCCCATACATGGTATTTGAGCATGACAAGAGCTTATATTTGGTACCAATTTCGAGCCTTACTGTAATAATATATGTGGGGATACATTAGACGGCTATGAAAAACATATCGCAATTAATTGTTTTAAAAATTGTTTCATACTGTTTATAATTTTTGTTAATAATTGAAGAGAAGTTTGTTGGTGTTTTCAGTTAAAATACAAAGTGAAAATTAATAAACTATATTTTATTATATTTTTAGGAAATAAAAATAAATATAATTTATTTAATTTTTATTTTATAGTGTGACTGAAAACCCCAACCAACTTTTCTTTAGTCTAATATTAAATTAGAAATCATTTCACATACATTAAGCCCGCCTTGTACGATCAATATTCTTGAACTTGTTATACATATATTTTCACTATATACATACATATATATCCCTTAGACAGTCAATATATTTGATATGGATTCAATAATATTGACTGTGTAAGAGCCCTTTAAGTCATTAGTTTTTCCACAGCCTTCTATGACTTAATATGTTGGATGTTATTTTTTCTAAAATCTTCAGTTAAAAACAATTTATTTTAGATATAAATTGTAATTGTTATATCTGAAAATTTGTTTTCAAGCTGGAGAAGATTTCTCTTTTTTTCTTCTTCAGTTAATTATAAATAATTTTCACAATTTGTTAGTAATTTTTTTTTTTAATCCAATAACAATAAGGGACTGTTACTTATTTAAAACAAACAGAATCAAAGGTACTTTAGATGATGTCATTTGGAAAATGCCATGTCAGACTATTTTAATACCAGTAAAAACTAGCTGACATTTAATTGTAGATTGCTACAGTGAATTAGCCATTTTTGAGAATTTTTAAAAAATTGTAAAATTTATTTTATAAGGTAGCAATTCTAATAAGTTGATTTTGATGAAAAAGATTATTTAACATCCCATGCATATACCAACATTAAATATGAAATTTCAGTTTCTTATAACTTTATTTTTAAAGCAATGCTGTTCACATAATTCCAGATACATACCTATACTCTTTTGAGAGACTTGGTTATTTGGACTCAGTAGACCTCAAAACATGTCTTTCTGCTGAAAATTCAATGGCAATTTTTTCATGATCTCAATACTTTCTTTACTTTATATTTTATAGATAGGTAAGGAAAAGTAAAAAAAAAAACAGCATATTTTATAAAGTTCCACATTTATGAATATCTTAAGCTCTATTCAATTTATATGTCATAAATTTTAGAAAATATTGGGAGAAAAATTGAAAGAGTGAAGGTTCTCACTATAATGACTAAATTGATAGCATGAGAAATATATGTAAATGTTCTAAAAATTTTGATACTTCAATGAATTTAGAAAGATAAAATATCTAGAATTATAGTTATTTTCTTATGATGTTTGATATTTTTAAAATTTCTAATGATTTGTCACGATTAGTTTTTGCTCTAATTATTATAATTTAAAATAAAATGTATATACCACTACTGTGTGTTTTTAACAATGGTCAAGGCACAGTTTAAAAGGCTTAATTGAGGAACAAATAAATAAATAAAAAGCTTTATTTGATCACTTATTTTTGTGAGAAGCCAAAAATAATCGACAAAACATATCATATCCTGTAAAATGGAAGGCAGTTGTTACACCAGCTTTTATAATACTTGGTGCAAGCCCTTTGTAAAGTCCTCTGACTCCTTCATGTTTTATAGTGCGTAATATACAGTTCATCATTCCTCGACAGTTGAAATTCTGAAACATTGATAACATTAAATTGAAATAACTCTTAAATGTTTTAGGAAGAATAACTTTCCTAATAATAAAATATATTAATTATTTATCTTATATATTTAAATATACAATAATATATTTGATTTATTTTCAATCATAATAAATTATGTGCCAATTTTGATCAATTTATTTATTAACTGACAGTTATATGATGTTCCTTCAGGTTCATAAATTAACTCGCCAGTCCAGTCCGACAGATGCGAATGAAGGCTGATCACTCCATGATTACTAGAGCTTAGTCACCTCCAAACATAACACTGGCCAGGTCTCATTAATTTATTTTAGGCAAAAGAAAAGAAAATTGATAACTTACTTCTCCAAAACCTTTTCTACCTCGAAAACCTTGCAGTTGTAGGCGTTTCCTAGATAAATCCATTGGATACACTAAAGTTTTGGATATCAATCCAGCCATTGAGCCAATAAATAAATTTTGTCCTAATGTTGGCACATTGTTAGGCATCAAATCTGTAATAGAAGAAGTTCAATTAATTCTTTATATACAATTGTTTAGAGTATACATTTTTAAAGCAGTGATGTGCAAAACAATGATTTCCTTTGATCTTTTATTAACACTCCAAAAGTCGATAGCCTTGTTGCATGGAAGGTTCCTATGGATCTGTGAGATTCGCTTCACTAAATCAATTTATTAATAAAAAACCCAATAAATTTCTCATTATAATCATAGAAAATGATATAACAAGAGTTTTTAAATATATTAATTGAGTAAAAAACAAAGTTACATAACTAAAAAAACATATTAAAAATCAAATGAAAAATACTTTGACAAAATTAGGAAATTTTTTTATTGAGATATATTACAATCTGTCACATTTGAGGACAATAGTAATAGTGATAAAGAGTAGCTCATTCATACTATGCACAATAAATAAACGGCTATATAATAATACTAAAAGTAAATGTATATAAACTAAAATACACTAAACTAAACAAAAATAAACTAATCTAACAAAATAAATTCTTAAATACACACATTATTTTATACAATATTCTTTCACTCAAGGTCTCCGAGCCAAGCCTTTCCCCACACTCGTAAAGGGAAAGGCAGGAATCTTGGAGATCCCAGCGTCTTTCACTCAGACTTCACTCAGCTTCATCACTGGTATTACCAATGGAGGCTGAGCCGAGACTCTATAACCAGACATACATGGCTTAAGAGGAAAATCTGGCCATTACCAGAACTCCAATATATTCTTACAACAGGTCTCTGGGCCACTGCTGCTCCAACCTTCATGGAGGGTTGTAGGAATGAGTAGAGCTAGAGAGGGATTGTGCAATTGGATTTGGATTATATGTAAGGTTTTGATGGAATTAGGAAAATTTTTGAGGGATAAGGTCTAGGAGAAATGGGATATTAAGGTCATGGTGTAGGGTTTGTTTGGTTACATAGAACGGAGCATCAACTATTGTTCGAAGGAATTTGGACTGAAAGGAATGAATGCGTTTGATGTTAAAAAATTTTGTTGTCCCCCACAGTTGCAGTCCATAGGTCCAAAAAGGTTTCAGTAGATCAAGAATTTGTTGTCAATTGAAAGTTGAGATTTTCTGTTCAGTAGTCTATATAGCTGGCCATATCGTCGGTTGAGTTCTTGTCTTTTGAGTCTAGTATGTGAATTCCATGTCAGTCTTCGGTCCAAAGGAAAGCCGAGATATCAGACTCTGTCTGAGTAAGGAATCTGGATGGAATTAAAATGTACTGGTGGACAGGAATTGCGTCGGAGAGTAAAGGTAATTGACAAAATTAGGAAATTCAACATTAAATTCTGAATAACATTGAATACGAAAAAAAAAAGTCACTGAATACTAGAAACAATTATTATAGGATTAAATTGGATAGAAGAATAATTAACACAAACATCATCACAACATAAACTACAGTCTTTAAAGGCTTCAATTTCTCATCATAGTTATGTCTGCTCCAACTGAATGAGAAGATGGCAGTTTCTGACAAAACTTTAAAATATGTTTTGGACAGATGCCAGTCTGTCTATTTCTTTATGTTGTTGATGTGTTTCTTGGTTGTCAAATCTTAGGGATAAAAGTAGAAATTGAAACCTTCTTACACTCATAGCTGGACAAAATATTTCAATTACAAACTTGGGGAATCAATCGTGCCACTTGAGTCCCACAAATCATCCAGATTTTTTCTCCCCACTTTATGCATTTCTGCAATATACAACAACACAATAAAGGCTTTGGTTTCAATTATTTCAGTTGCGAATGCAACCCTTTCCTGTTAGAAATTTTCACATATGCCGTCAATCCTCAAGTTTTAATACAAAAATAGGATGTGACTCTGGTCACCCCTTTACTGGATTATAAGACTCCAACAGCCAGGATAATATGCGGAAGGAAAGTTCTCCTTTCCCAAGCAGTATAAAAGTACATCAAATAGACTGCTCAGCGGATAGACTCCGGTGCTACCTTTGGAGAGTTAAAGAGACAATGCTCAATGAGTCTATTGTCACTAAGTTAGCAGTATGGATATAAAAGTGTATCAAGTTTAACCTTACATTATATTTAATTTAATTTCATTTTATTAAAATTTAATTTTAATTTTCTTTCATTCAAGTAGTTTTACATAATCAGCCTAGAGTTGATGAGTAACTCTGTTGTATGCCTATTTTATTAATATTTATTATTATAAAAATTACAACCACCCATCACCAATCATCTCACTCAATACCAACACAATACATAGAAGATGTAGAAAATACCGATTTACTAACGATTGATATCTATACAAACAGAAGTAAACAAGAACAAAACGCAGATTGAACATTCACATTCCACCACAATTCCATTTACAATAATGAGCAATATAGACTAGACCCAAACTCTTCAAATAATTAAGCAAGAAAATTAATAGTATTTAAGGCAACAATAGAATAAAGCTGATGAAAATAGGTTGCTGATTTTTGGAAGGACCATACTAAGACTAATTTTTGGTCTGATAAGGGAGGGGAATGCTTGGAGAAGAAGAAAAAATCAGGAGATCTAAAGACTTTTCAAGAAAGCAGATGTTGCTAGACGGATCAAGTGAGAAGGCTCGGATGGGTAGTACATCTAACCAAGATGGACATCCCAAAAAAATTAATATGGAAACTGTCTATCAAGCTAGAAGAGTGGGGTGAAACAAAATGAGATGGCTGGATAGCGTCCATGCAGATGCCAGGAATATTCTTTGAACAACGGACTGGATGACTACTGCACAGAATCTGGATGAATGGCACAAACTTTTGGAGAGGGCTCTGATTCAGTAATGAATTGCTGTGCCATATATGTTTATGTAATTAAAGCAACAGATCAAACCACTAAATCTTATAATATTTAAGATAAAATATATTAAAAAAAAAAGAAACAACTCACACTTTTTTTTTTTTTTAATTTTTTTTTTTGTATTTAATGGAATTTACAACTGTATACAAATACAACAAGTAAATATGCGCATATATAAATAATGGCATGTACAGGCTTGAAGAGTTACTACCCAGTGGTAGCACTCTCTAAATAATTTTAAGTAAGAAGATCACGAGGCCGTCTCCTTTTCAGACGCCTAGGAGGATTATCAGGAATCGAGAAAGAAGCAAGAGTGGAAACAAGCGGATTTGGATGGGACTGAAGTTTATCATGAAAGGATAGATATCTGGCTCGAGCTAAATCAGCGACATATGGTACATTAAGGTCTTTATGAATGGTTTTATTTGTGACAAAGTATGGAGCATTAAGGATTTTACGGAGGATTTTGGATTGTAAGGGTTGGATACGATAGGAATTCGATGGTTTGGTGGAGCCCCAAAGCTCACAACTCACACTAAAGTAGATTTTATCTATCTATTGTTATGACAGAAATCTTGGATGGGTTGGATAAAATGTAGAATAAATTAGATTTTTAAGAAAAATAAAATTTATTTATATGAAAGCTAAGAGATTTTCCAAGACTTTTTCTTAAATTTTTTCAAACTTTGACTTGAGCTAACTCAAAACATATACAAAGTGATATTCACTGTTTAATGCTGTCGAATTGGAATTCATAATTGTAATATTGCCTGAAAGCTTGACTTAAAACTAGCCCTAATTGAAAATTTATATTAAGAAGAATATTAATACCTACTAGCATCTCTGAACAATTTCTTTAACATGTTATGAACTGTGAACATAGCACCTGTCTGCGGTGCGACAAGGAGTATTCCTGGAGTCAGCCCTCTGAACAAAGAAACTACACCTTCATCTTTCAGCATGGTTTTAAATGCATGGAACATGGAATTGTATAACTGTAAACAAAAACAATAACTTACGTTAAAGCGATTTATTTTTCAAAGCTTATCAATTTAAACATTAACTGACAACAATACTTTATTCTATTTCAAAAATACATATGAAAAATTTATAATTGCTATTACTCTATCATTGCCTTGTGCAATAAATCGGGTTTTAGCAACATCAAATGGAAAAGATGCCATTGTCGCTGCCACTCCAGATAAAGATCCACAGAGAAAATGCACATCTGAGGCTGTAGGATCTAGATTTAATACAGTAGAAGAAGTTTTTGTAAAGAATTCAAAAGTTTGAAACTGAAACAAATAAAAATTTAGCTTTATTAATGATGAAAATATATTTGTTTAGAATATTAGGAATTAATTTTATAAGGCCTTTGTCTACAGTTAATAAATTAATGGCTTTCTAGAGTATACTTTTTTATTTTAAGGTAAGCTGCCTATAAATAAATATCATTATTTAAATAATGTGTTTATTTATTTCACCTCTACTCCTAAGGGTCATTGGCGTATTATTTTGAAAATTCTTATAATATAAGTTATCGTAAATGTTTCATCAAATACTGTTGTGAAATAAACAAAATATTAATTAATATTAAATAAATAATTTAATTTAATTTTCCTTGTTAACCTAAGATACTGTTTAGGACAAAAAAGCTGTCAAAGTGAAATTAATTGCATAATAATAACATGAGTAAATATAAACTGACCTTAACTAAATCTAATTTTAATTTTTTTTTGTGTAAAGAGACAAACTGAATGAGTTTCTATAGTATACTTTAAAAAAACTATTTTAATTCTTCTTTCTTTGAATTCTCAGTTCAAATTAATCAAAATATAATATAGCAAAGTTTATTGTTTATTCCCCTCTTCTCTCCCATAAAAACGAGAAATTTTTGACAAAACTTTATTAAATTACATTATAGATGTTAATGTTATATAACCTCATAAGTTAGTTTATTTTAGTGATTCAAAAAAGTGTTAGTTTATCTGTTAATAACATTTTATTTGTGTATATAAATATATAAAAGTGTTTCCTCAAGATACAAGAGCTGAATGCAAAACAAAAAACACTGATTGTGTGGATTCTACCATCCGCAATTGAGGAACCACCTAAATAAACATAATAAACAATACCGATGGCTCCTAGGAATTGGTAATTAGCCTTAAAAGACCAATGACAGACTCAACCACTGAGGAGATCAAAAATGATCCATAGAATCGATACAAACCTAAAACAGTTTCCAATCTCTGACCTAAATAAAAAATTCACTGTCAGAAGAAATTAGAAGAACATCTCAAAATCATAAAATCCCACCAATTTTTTTTAACGGTGTTGAGAAGTATGAGTCTGTACAATACATTCAAAACTTAATATACAATAAAAGGCATTACTGTATATCCGCAAACCCCAGATGTTTATAGAAAACTTAATTCAAGCCTGTGAAATAAAGGTGCACAATTCCACCCATAACAACTGCAAAATTTTTTGCAAGAATGTATTGTAGTATTTCTTGCTGAAAACAGAGATACTTTTGGACAGGATATAAAATCAAATATTTATTTACTTCCAGCAGCCTTTCAAGGGTACATCATATACTCATACATATATGAGTGTTTTCAAGGATCGATAAGCCCTTATAATGAATTTTACTCTTTATTGTTAATGTTTACTTATGTTATAAAAACGTTTTGAGCTAATTTGCTCATTTTCAAGTTATCTAAAATATTGATGTTATTATATTTTTCAAAACTCACTATATCATATTTGATTTTTTCATCTAATTCCAATTTCTTCAATTTTTCTCATACTTCAATTGAATTTTTCTCTAATAAAACTCAAAATAGTTAATATGAACTTAAAGCTCAATAAACTGTAGTAGATAGCCCCCTGCATTCACTCCTTTATGTGAGGGAATGAGAAGGAATATATAGGAATGTGAGATTGCACGATGAATCGTACTGAATTATGCAGCGGACAAATTATTCATTGAAAAGTCTCATATTGATAAACAATCGATAAAGAAGAAAGAAGGAAAAGGACGGAGCAGGTAGCAACAGCTGGAGAAGGACGCTGGAGAGAAGAGAAGGCACTTGAGGCTGGGACAAGGAGGCGAGAGGACGTGACCTGGGATGAGAGAGGCAGGACATTGAAGACCAAGAATATCAAGTGGCGACTGGCAAGCGTCCGAGGGTTAGACCGAAGCGAAGATAGGAAGATTCCGTTAAATCTGATTTGGCGGTTAAGATAGTGTCTGGTGGATGGAAGAATGTAGACATCGATTGGCAGTATCGGCAATGAACCTTAGGGTTCGTTAAGCCTTATTATTATTATATAAAAACATTACTTAAAAAACACAAAACTTTAATATTCGACTTTTCTACAGAAAATCGGATCATTGTTTATATTAACTTTTTTGTAGCTCTTGAGGTTTGCTATCACCACTTTAAATATTTTCCTCTACTTACTGGACACTCTAAAAAAAAAAAAAAAAAAAAAAAAAAAAAAATGAAATACCTGAACGAGACCATATGTTATTGATAATAGCTGCCCAGCATTGTGCCCTTTCCAAAGACCAAAAATGCCTTCTTCAATTAAAATTGTTTTCAAAGCCTGGTAAACAGCATTATATTTTGAAGATAATGAATTCTTACTGATGGGTTCAACTTGGAGCTGTAAAGTTTTTAAAAAATGTGGTTAGTTTAAGGATCGTGTGAGAAAATAATGCAACATAAAGATTTATGTAACTGAGATAAGTTTTAATCACAAGTTCACTTTGTATTTCTGTTATTATGTAGCAATAAATAAATTGTATTTATGGTATAAATTTAAACTTTTTCTCTATGTTCTCTATGTAAATATTTTCTCTAATTTACTCATAGTTGTCATCATGGAAGTTATTTGATACTTTCAGGATGATGGTGTCATCTTCATCATAGATAAGGTTATAAACATCACTTTTGAACAAATGCAATTGGCATGTAATAATCAGTACTTACATGTATTATGTAATACATCAGTCCATGCTTGGTGTACTGAAAAGGAATTATTGATGAATTCAATATCATTAAAACCAGACCGAGAGGATCTATTTGTATTGTCAATCATCTCTTGTAAGTCCATACTATCAAACGAATACAAGCAATGATGTGGACTCACTTGCTGGACTCAGAAAGGGATAAGCAGATCAGCTGGCTAGATAAGGAACTAAATAGGTTGAGAACCTTAACTAGTGACTCAAGTGGAAAGAGCTTCATGATTAGACAGAGAAAGAGTGTTTGGTTTAGTCAGAGTAACTAACTAATGAAAAAATATAAACCTTCTAGAAGCTTTTCAGTCTAGAATTGAATATGGAATAACTTCAAATGATGATTAAAATACCGACAAGCATTTATAGCCCTAAAAGATATCAAAAGTTCATTGAGTGATAGTTAATAAGACCTGCCACTTATGCAGGCAGGCTACAGAAATCACAACGTACTGTGCTGTAGGCTGAATTCACTCACCTTTAATCCTATGTGACAGCTTTGAATGATATGTCAGCAGAAATGAAGAAAAGATTGTTCGCTGTGAATCGGTACTACTTTGGATCTTTCAAAGCAGACTGTTGAGCAAGCAAACCAAGTTTACTCTTTATAAGACTTTAATCCGACCTGTTCTCATCTATGACTACAAAGATGGACCATTTCTAAAAGCAAGAAAAAGGACTTACTTTTTTTTTTTTTTTAATGAAATCATATGGCCTATTGTTAGTGCATTGAGAGTTCCTGAGGGATAGAGGATTAGGAAGAACCGAGAGCTGTACCAAATCAACAAGGAGGCTGATGAAGCAGAAATCCCCAGGAAGGCATCTCAAGAGTTTCATCTTAGGACCCGGAGAACTGGAAGACCAAGGTTAAGGCTGGTTACCAGTGTGGCAGAGGATGCTACAGGTTGCTGATCCTAGGAATCATTAACTGGAAGGTGGCAGCATAGGACAGAGCCAGATGACAGAGTTATTTAGGAGGCCAAGAACCATTCAGGGTTGTAGTACCACAGAGGTAGAGGTAGGTAGGTACTGCAGAGTGTGAACCCTGTACTAGAAATATGATACAGCCTCCTCAAGAATCTTCGTGCAAAGTTTCCTTCATGTAATTGAAAATCAAAGAGTTTTATTACTAAGAAATAAAAAGACTTTTTAAATTGAATATTTTTTTGGCCTTTTGAGGCTGATTGGTTTAGCTCCAGTCAGATGGCATGTGTCTTAGGATGACCAAGAGTCAGAAAAGGTTAACATATAAATGTTTGTAGGAGCCAGGAAAGGTCTTTTACACATACTGAATACAAGTTAACAAGTCATTCAGGATATTAATGATCCAAGCTGAAAATATATAATTTAAGATGAATAACAAAGTCAGCATAATAGATTTCTAAAACTATTACTTTAAAAGATTTTAATATAAATACCTGAAACCTGATTTTTAAGACATCAAATGGCTGGCAAAAAAAACGCGTCACCCCTCCAGAAGCTCCACCAGCAAGAGCATATTCCAAATTGGATAAACTTTTGGAATCATCTCTTTCATAGCCAGGCATTTCACTTTAATGCTTTCCAGAAACTAATGGAAGGTTTCACAATTTTACAATGACATTGCATCCATGAAAAGTGCAAAATACTGTGGAAGTATAGTAAAATTATTTATCAGGTTGCTATTATTACCTTTTCCTGAATATAATATAATATAATCAAATACCTGGAACACTAGCACCTTGCTTCAGCAATTTGAATGGATGCTACCACCTAGAAAGAAAAAAAAATGTAGATAGAATTGTGCACTAAATATTAATAATGATGGAATATGTGAAGGATGAATCTTCCTTTAAATTTTATATTAATTAAAATAATACAGTAATAATTGTATTCAATGGTCTATACCATCATCTTTAGAACCTAATAGAAAACATTATCAATTAGGATTTTTTATTCCTGATTTACAGATCTTTGGCCTACTAACCTGAATTTCTTCACTTCAGCCAGTCTTGGGCCTTTGCTTTACAGTTCTCTGCATTTAGTTCTGTAACATCTTTATTGATTCTATTAAATTTGGTTTTTGGCTTCCTATGCCCTCTTGCAGACTATTGATGGATTCATTGTTATGTAGAGTCTTTCTGATGGATTGTTTCCTGCTACATATCCCACCCATCTTAATCTTCTTCCTTCTTTTCACGAGATATTGATTACCAGTCTCTGAAGCATTTCTTTATTGGTACTTCTCCTCCATTTATTTGCATTCAGGTCGCTCTGGAGAGTTTCCTCTCAAATCTTTCATTATGTTTTTCTAGTGTGCTTGTTAGTGTTCGTGTCTCGCATCAAAACTGGCTTTATCATAATATTTTACACCCTTAATTTCAGATTTCTAAAGATTTTTTTTGAATTTCAATTCCTTTGGAAGAGAGAATAAAGCTCTGGTTGCTTTTTTTACGCTGGCGTATTTCTCATTTTTCTGGCATATTGAGATTATTGTGGAGTTGAGGTATTTGAATCTGCCAAATCTCAGGAACGCGTTTCCTTCTACACAGAACCTATTGTGGATTTTCCGACTTAGACTAAATATTTCGATTAATCTTTATTTATTTGTAAATCGATATGGTCTGCTTTTTTATTATAGTTTTAAAGATTTACTCAATGTCCTCTTCATTGCTTCTAAGGACAGATACATTATCTGCATATCTTAGAATTTTATGATTAATTTCATTTTCACGTGATGTTTTCATTATCATAGGCAAGAGTCCAACTCTCTACCGTTTAGCAGTTCAAACTTTGAAAGCTTCCGATACTTTTTTTGTGTCCGAATTATTTAGGATCATTTGTACACACCTTTATCAATTTCACTAATTTTCTGGAAATTCTCAGCTGTCATACTTTTTCAAAGATAGTTTCTCCCCACGTGGGGACAGACTGCTTTGAAAATGACAAAAAAGTATGCATATCCTGATATATTTCCTAATGGTTTTTCGAGCCTCTGTTTTAGGATGAAGAAAGTGGTGTACCTGTAATTTCTAGCTTTTCTAAATTCTGTATAATGTTCGCCTATTATATTTTCGTACTACGGAGATATCCGATTTAGCAAGATATTGGCCATAATCTTATTTGCACTTGGCCTCTGTGATTACCACAATCATATATCTATGGTCTATACACCATGAAGAAGTTGGTAACTCAATGCTGAAAATTTAGAGGTCTAGAGGATAATTGTAATTTACTAACTTCTTCACGGTGTTTAGAACGTTAGGCGGGGGATCTCAATTTACAGAACTAGCGAGAACCATTTTTCGACTTAACTAGTTTTGGCCAGATACCATAGATAGACCATGGTGCTCGTCTTCAGCAAAAAGCCTGTGCCCAAAGCCTCTGCTATCCTTTCTTCTTACCACATTTTCTTCATTAGCTAAAATAGCGTTACTCTTAGCTCTTCTTCTCCACTTAATCAGCTGTAATGTTAGGTTGTCCTTTCATGGGACCTTTTTGTTTATATCAATAGATATTTCCACATCTATCTGGATTTTCAACCTTAAGTGGGTCGAGTAGTGTATCCAAGGTAGTGTGTTCCTAAGTCCACGTCTCGAGTCCGCTAGTTCTCCTCGATTGAGAAAGTTCTGGAGATGTATTTTTCAGATGCTTTTTCGTCTTTTGATGCCATCGAATTTCCATTTTATCTGTGCATGTTCGCATTTCTCACTTTATATCTTACTCTTTTTTTCCTGATGTTTGCATAGAATTCGCTTATAAATATCGAATGTGACAGTTGTCAATTATGAGCTGTTTTTCTTTTATAAATTCTAACATTTTTAAAACTTTGGCAATGTTTCTCAGTTCAGTTTTAACAAATCCCAGGATAAATTCAGTTATGACCTGTATTAAAAACTGTCCTCGTCAGAAAACATTAAAATTGTGACGTTACATGAAGTAAAGGAATTTTCAAAGAAATAACGAGGATACAATCAATCAATGGTAGTCATAGTTTAAAAAAAAAACAAACAGATAGCGATAGAAACTGGGAAAAGAAAAAAATAAACGAACAATTTGGCCGCTTAATGATGCGATTGTTTTTAGAATATTGTTTCATAACTAGCAAAGAAATATTCGGAGATTTTGCAGATAGCAATCTGGTAAATAAAATAAAATTTTTACTGGGTGATAAAATTTCTATGAACGCGGCTGTAGCTCAGAGACTGGAGTTTTGTGGTTTACAAAAACAGATGGAGTAGGGAGGTTTTTATTGATTTTTTTATTTTGATGGTCTCAATGGTTTGTTAGCTACAAGGTTTAAGATTTAGTTCCGGTAATAATACTGCACTTCAAAAATGTTATAATATCCCAAAATTTCCAGAAAATAGTTTATATTCAAAATAGAGCGGTAAGTGAAAGTTGTGTGTGTGCGCACCAGATTTTTTTTTACGGAGTAAAAATATAAATTTATTCAAAATTTCGGCTAATCAACAGCCACCGAGGAACATGTTTAAAACAAACAGAGACTTCCTGAAAGTTTTTGATTCTGAGGTTCTATTTATTGTAAAGATTCGTCCAATTTATTGGTGGACGGGCTAGCGAAGTTACCTGGAACCAGCCAAGACTCATATTTGGTTATTGTTTTAAAACTATTATACAGGAGTCTCCAAACTACGGTTCACAAACTTCCCTTTGATTCTATGGTAAAAATTACAAAAAAAAAAAAAAAAATTTAATGTGAAGTTAATAAATTCAAATACAACGTTAACGTGACCCGCGGGTTTCTCTTTTAGAATACATCCGAAGTGAATAAAAATATGTTAATACCCTATAAATTATATGAACGAATGACCTCATATCAAAGTCGGACATAGGTTATATTCAAAAAGTGAAGAAAAAGTCAATTTTTAGTTTTGTAAGTTCCATTCATACTGTTTCTGATGATTTTATTTAAGAAGATTCAAGTTGAATCATGAAAATAAATCATTAGGATTCGTTTCAATTGAAACTAATAAACAAAAATTGGCAATATCTTAACTTTTTAAAAATGATTAATGTCCATTTTTCAATTAAGGCCACTCATATGATGACTTACAGAGAAGTAATGAAATCCCCAAAGGATTAGGTGCAAAAGAGGTGGGAAGGTTATCATTTACAAGTAGTGAGATACGATTTTTTTTTAATTCAATGCCTGATCATTACCTTAGGAAGTGAATCATAAATTAATCAAGGTTGTAATTTAAATTGATAAATATTTTAAACAGAAATAAGACTTTTGTCAGATAGCAGCAATTGATTGAAAAATGTTTTAGTTATTAAAGAGGTTATCTAATCTAGTGACACTAATTATCTTATAACATTCCCAAAAAAGATGTGTCTCCCAATCCTAACATTATACCAACGAAGTAAAATAAACATATGTATTTTAAAAAAATCCATATGTGGTGGAAGTGTGACCCTGAATAGCAGATTTATTTTTATGCGTAAAATATAATATTCTTACTGTGACTATTTTGTTCATACTTACATCAAAATTGGATACTCCTCTTGTACACACATCTTCAAAATGGTAATATCAGTTTGGTTAAAGGTAAGATGCATGATGGGTTACTTACGGTTAAAACTGAGTCTAGTATTAATATACAAATGGTTGGAATTCGTTCAATATTTTGTGGTTTTTGGATCCTTAATAAACAATTAATCATACAACAAAATTTATGTAAATACTTTACTACATCGTCTGCTATATAACATGAGATAGATTCAAGATTGTTTATTATAACATCCATAAACTAATAGCTAAAATAAAATGAAATTCTCACGCATTAATAATTTCATGTAACGGGCATTTCGTTCTTCCAAAGATAGTCGGTAACCACAACAGTTATAAGTTCAAAACAGCATAAAAAAGTAGAGTAACACGTTCCAATTTTAGAACTAATGCAACCACAATGAAAGTTAAGGGCAGTTTTACTATTACAACTCGATCTGATTGGCACTGTGACAGACAATACCAAACTATTTTTAAAACGGTTATAAAAAACGTATAGTTTATTTTAATTGTCACAGATTTATGTCCATAAATATTGTTAGAAATAATTTAGTTGCTTTTGTTGAGGCAACGAGTTTAAAAAATTTTACCTACATCTTCAAGCCATTAACAGGAATTTATCATAAATGTAGATTTAAAAGTAACAATAGCATTGCGAAAATCGATTTTAATTGCCTGTTATTAATTTATTTACGTAAATATTATAATAATAAACGAGAATGTGCAAACTACTAGATGAAGAGAGTAAATTAATAAGAGATAAGACTTTGACCTATAAAGTATGCCCATTGCAAGAACTTAAAATTTAAGTCCTTAAAGTGGAAGTTCATTAAAGATAAAATTTAATTTTAAAAATTTTTATTGTTAAATTTTAATTATTTAATCTTTTAAACATCTGAGCTCTATTTAGACCATACTATGCTTCTCTTTCCTTGCAGATGGGTAACAAGTTTACTGAAATCTAGAAAACTATGGTAAAACCTGGAAATGGTAAAACCGTAGTGCAAAGATGGCAGCATTTTAAACATATGATTTTATCCTAAATATTCGTTATCTATGATAACATTGTAATGCTAAAATACTACAGATGTATAAATAAAATTATACTGTAAGATCTGTAACCTGTTTATGACATTAAAGGGGGCCTATTGAGACAATAGGTACATAAAAATACAACAATTAGGCATGAGAAGGAGTTGATCGGGGGGTGCGGTCAAATTAATATTAAATTAAACAAGTAGAATTATTTAATTTTTCCCGACGTTTCGACCCACTTTTCAGGTCTTCATCAGGGCGTAGGATGTAGCACTGCGGGAGGCAGTTGAAACACTGACCGCATATAACAATATTGAAATAATTAAGCATATAACCATTGCTCGTCTATGGCAGAGTCGTCTCCAACATACGGCCCGCGAAAGTTTCTCTGATCACATGGTAAAACTTTAGAAGATATTAAAAAAAATACGAAATTTAATAAATCACTCAATCGCAACATTCATTGCACGCGTCGTTTCTCTTAAAAAGTTCATTTCGCAACTGAAATGTCATTTATAGAACAAACCTTTTTTTTCCACCAGATGTCATGGTCCGTCGGCCACATTGAGTCATCGATCAAGTTCTGTGGGCTGGATGGAGACTTCCACACATGTCCCACGGCAGTCTTGAAATAATTTGGATTAATGTTAGTGTTATAAGCCCTCCCCCCCAGGCATCGGGACGCGAATTCGTAATTATTTTATTTAATTATCTTTGTCCGGGATTGCCGGGCAATGACGGTACTGTGTACACGCTTACGCCCGCTCGGCCACCCCACCCTCTACGTGTTGTCCTACCAATGCACTGATATCTCTCGCCGCCTATGTTGTATTAAAAGGAATAAGGATAGGTAAAAGATTATTTCAAAAATTAAAAGTTGTTTCTGATGCCACACTTGCATACTGAACAAAAATAAATAAATAGAAAGTATGAATGTACTACAGCCGATTAGTAAAACCAAGATAGTACAAATCCTTAAACAGAAATGTAAAAAAAAAAAATGTTTATTGTAGTTAATAAGCTGTGGAGTAAGTCATGTGAGAAACATTCTTATAGAGCAATAAATATAATGCAGTAGCACTACAACCCTTGGATGATCACGAATTGATTATTTTATAAGAAAGTGCGGTTTCTGGGCAAATAGATGTACAAGGAGGTGATTTGACCGAGATCACGCTCATCCGCCAACTTTTCCCTTAGTAAATTATTTATTAATTAGGAAACTAATGAATAAATAACACTTTATAAAATGTTATTGTCGTATCCGAACATAGCCGTATTAGAACTCGGATCTGGTGAATAGTTTCTGTGGTGTCCGAGTGGTCAAAAAGTTGGACTCGAATAGATATAAACAGTATTTTTCATAGTTTCTAAAGTAATGATATTGACCCTTTAAAATTAGCCAGTATTGGTAAAATGAAAATGCTGGCGCCAGATGAAAACAGAGATCAATAACAATTAAGTCAACGTTTCAACACGGAGAAAGGCCCCAGCAAAGACACAAGCAATTCTGCAAAAGAAATACGGGCAGGACAAACTCTTATCATCCTCAGCCTGGAAGAAAGGAGAACTTCTGCATGTGAGCTGGTTATCTACCGTAGCATAAGGTTTGGAAGAGGATTTAATGTGATCCCTCATTTGGATTACTAGAGAAATAGGGTGACTCTAATCTTCAACGGCCTTGATCGCCTAAGGGGCGCATTTTTGGGCCTCAGTATCTAGCGACACTGACCATTTATAATGGGATGATACTGGGTATTCGGGGGCATGCTTGTTCTGCTTGGTCCTAGACCTTCTCACACCGATTGCTGACAGGCTGGCGACGGCTCAGCTGAATGTACTGTTGCTAATCACTGAGTCGTACCATGTCTTACGAGAAGAATTATTGAAAATGAGGTTTGATAGAAAATACTCTGCGTTTTTCAGTAAAACATTAAATGATTAAAGTGGTCGCTGAAAACACCAGAAAATGAGAGATCCTCCGGGAGAATATTACTGAAGAGTGAAACCGGCAGTGGATGATAACCATCATTCGGAGCTGAACTTTAAGAAAATACTTGCCAAGTGTCCGGACCCCTTGGAAGCGAAACAGGTTCTCTCGGACGAACGGATCTTGTAATTCCTTACAGAACATGGGAATTTTCACGCTAAGTAGCATAGAATTGAAAAAAAAATATATATATCTCATATATTCCAGATCTGTAGTACTGGAGATGGAGGGACATTGTGAACTGCACCCCTTCTAATGTACTGAGGGTCAATGTCACGAGTTCTATTGGCTAATAATGAAGCAGAACTATTTTTTATTTTTACATTTGAATCCTACCGTTCCATTGAAGCAACACTTTATAACTGTATAACTTCACTGTATAACTGCCTGCTCCTGCAATGACACTAATTTTCATATTGTAATTGCTGTTTATTAAGTTATTCCTCCTCGTTTCGGCGGCATCCCTGGCGCGGGTGAGGTTAAGTGTGTGGGTCAGATCGCTTCTTCTTCTTCTTATTCTTTGGAAAGAATAGTAGAAAAATTCTTTGGAGTGCGGGTAGTTTTCTTCAGTAACTATCTGACGAAAATCATTAACTGTGAGAATATAGAGACCGGCAATTTAGCCTTTAGTGACTCGAAGGTGGTGCTGTTCATGATAATGTGTTCAACAGTCTAGAATCCCACAGATAGCGGATAGAGGATCTTTTCCAAAGCCATGGAACTTAGCTCGAAAGCTATTCGGGAGGACCCACTTGGCTTCCAAATGTGATTAAACGGTGAGCAAGTCCTTCCTCAGAGTAGTGCCTTTCGGGCTTGTCACCCACCGTTGACTCCACACTTTCATTGTATCTTCCCGGATAATAATTTTCCATTTTCAGGAGTTTTCGTCGATTCTCTGTTTCCCGGTAGACCTGCTGAACCTCCTTTCTTATATATGGAACAGAACTATCACAAATGTTATCGGGTTGAAATTTGGAACTGGGCCTGCCACTCTTCGATCAGTGAAGGAGAGGACTTGTTCCTGGAAAGCCGCTAGGCTGAGCTGAACCAGACGATGCCTGTCTTCATGGAATCTTCTATTTGATGACCCGAACCATGGACGGATATTGAGTTTTGAGAAAAGTGTTTCATATTTCATATATTCAATAATCAGGGATGGCGTACACATGTTTGCGTGATTTGTCACCACCGCAAAACCCGTGTTGCAGAAAGGTATGGTTGAGTTGAAAAATAATTATATAAAAAAAAAATATATATATAATATGGGCGTGATATTCCTGCAATTTATCGCCTTAAAACCCCTACTCTACTCTCAAAAAATACCAGTTTAAGGTATTAGCTTATATATTGTTTAATACGCGTGTAAAAATAAAATTAATTGCGTGGAATATTTTCATCAAAACGTAAATATTAGAATTAAGATTAGGACTTGGTAACATTTAGTTGATCATCCAATGACATAAAGATTGCTGTTTCATTATTATTTTAGGTGGTTATTTTTAAATATTTATTTTTTAACAAAACATTTTTTTCATATTCTATTATAATTAAAAATTGAATTTTAGTAATTAATAAATATAAACCTTAAATGTTTTTGAAAGTAAAGGTATGTCAGCAAACGCTTTGTTTAGGAGATGGATTAGATAGAATACTAATATGACCTTTTATCCCTAACTGTATACAAACTATTGGCAATATAAGGATTAATACTATTTGGAATTACCATTGGAAACTCTCAATAACATTTATCAATTTGTAAGAGGCTTTCGCAGAGTACTCATTATTATGCCTTCTATTTATAATAATGGTGAACATGCCGATATGGTGTTTGTATATGGTTTTTACAATGGTAATACTGATGCTGACCGTCTTGAATATGCCAGGCGATTTCCGAATAGAAGATCACTAAATAAGTCTATCTTTAGCTCCAGGTTTGAACGTCTTAGAGAACCTGGTGCATCTACTATAATACAGCGTGCTGATGGTATTTTTGCCCCTTACGAAATGAAGAAAGGAGTGCGACCATATTACAATATTTTGATGACAATCCATCTGGCAGTGTGCGAACAGCTGGAGCAGAATTAAATATTACGCCAACTACAGTATGGAGAACTCTCATTGCAGATGAACTTCTCCCATACCAATTATCAACGGGTACATTATTTATTACCGCAAGATTTTTGGCACAGAAAAGATTTTCAGGTTGATGCTTTACAGGAAAAATTCTCTGGACAGATGAAGAAGTATGTTTACAAGAAGAGGTATCTTCAATAAGAAAAATAATCATCTCTGGTCGCAGGATAATCTCCATGTAATTCGTGAGCATCATTTTCAGCACCAGTTTCAGTGCAATGTCTGGTTGGAGACAACATTTTAACAGATCCGCATTTCTTGCTGGCTCGACTCAATGCGGGCACGTTTCTGGTATTTCTTAATAATGATTACTATGATTTAGTTGAACAAATTCCACTACTGCTGAGAAGGGACATGTGGCCTCAATTAGATGGTTGTCCTCCACACTACGGAAGAGGTCAACGACAATGGCTAAATATTAATTATCTCAATCAATGGATTGGCCGTGCAGGACCAGTGGCTTGGCCTGTGCGCTCTCCAGACCTGACACCACTGGATTTTTTTGTTTGGGGTGACATTAAACAAAAAGTCTATGCAAGTCCGGTCAATGAACTTAATTCCTTATGAAGAAGGATAATTGAATCTTGTGAAGCAATAACACATATCCAGTGCTGTTCTGCCACTTCTGCAGTTGAAGAAAGAAGCCGAGCCTGTCTTAATGCTCAAGGAACTCATTTTGAATAACATTTAATATGAATGTTAATGTTTACATTTGATTAATAAAGTAGTTAGAACAAATAAATAGGTTTCTTTTAATTCATAACAACGAAAATCTTTAGGTTTGAATATCTCCTAAACAAAGCGTTTGCGGACATATCTTCAAAAAAATTTTGTTTTCTTATTTTGAGATCCTTATTTCATATTTTCAGTTTGGCTACTTAACCCTGGAACATCCTGTATATATATATATATATATATATATATATATATATATATATATATATATATATATATATATATATATATATAATATAAATTAAAAACAATTGAATAGTTTTTTATTTTCAGCCCTGATGATGACGCCTGCGTTTCTTAACTATTTCATTAAACTGCATTTCATCTTTATAATTTTACAGCCAACTATATTTCCATCTCTAAGTTACTCATAATATATCATATAGATAATATGACATAGATGATACTATTCAAATTTGGGAATGTTTCGACGATCATGTCGAAATTTGAAAAAAAAAAAAAGCTTAACAATGACGACTGACGAAAAACCAAGTTTAGAGTTTAACTTAGTGGAATATCTTCTTTTTCACCATTTTAATAGCATACTTAAAAAAAAAAAAACCAAAGTAGCGATCATTTCATTCTTAATTATCGACTTAGGATGTCCTCCGGCCCTTAACGAAACTGGGACCGGCGGCGCAAGAAGTAGAGGCGTGGAGGGGGCAGCGGCAGGCACAGACAGGGGAGGGAGCCAGTCAAGCGATGGGGTGCGCCAGCAGTGCTCCCCTGGTCCAGGGTGCCATCGACGGCGCTAAGCAGAAGGCCAAGGACGCCGCGCAAGAGGCCAAGGCCATAAAGGATGAAGCCATCGAGAAGACGAAAGGTATATACATCATTCCAATACCTGGATAAGGTGTTTTTAAGGTAGGATAAGGGTGGAAAGAGAAATACACTTTCAGCTTTAAAGGCTTATCTTAAAAGTTACATTGATGATTATAAAATTATATTTAAGATCTTTTTTATTTGTGATATTTAGTGCAAGTCAATGTTCTACAATAGATTTGTCAGTAAACGAACAATTTCTATACAGATCGACTCTGGAATGAAGAAGTCCCAATACTTCATAGATTTCAATACATACTGTACTCCAATATTTCATAAGTTTCGGGTAAATGTATGTTACAATTGCAATTAATCAAACAATATGGTATTAGTTGGAACTTTAGTTATTCTTGTTACATTGCCATTTTTGCTCGATTGAAGGAAGAGTGCGTCCTTCCTACTTGTACCAGAAGTCATAAAGTGGCCTCATATCAAAGAGGACATCTGCCATATTAAAAAAAATGGAGCAATAGTCAAGTTATGTTTTATAGGCTCAACTCAAACCGTTTCTGATGATTTTATTTAAGAATGTTTAACCTGAATCATGAACAGAAATCATTATAATTAATTTAAATTGAAGCAATATTACAAAACATTTTTTGTAAAGCCAAGTAAGTTTTTTGTAAGTTGATAATATTACACAGTGTATTACAAAAGGAGTATGTAATAAGGAGAGTTATGGTTTCTTTGAATTTTATACTGTTCAAGTTTAAATCCTTAGGTCCAAATATTTCTGATGATAGTCATATAAATTAGGTGTTTTGTCAGTTGAAAGATGAAAGGTAAAAGTATATTTAGTAATCAGTATAGGTGGCTAAATTATCTGTTGATTTCTGGTCCTTTAAAATCTAGGATGGCATCAACATGATTCTTTTATTCATTTATATGGGTGATGTAATGTTATAATGGAAGGCTAGTGGGTAAAAGTCACGCGTTTTAATTCATTAAGTTTCATCCCCCTGCAGTTCCACCATTCCACGATCTGGAAGAGACCTTTGGCTGAGGCCTGATCAGAGTCGGATGGTAGCATTAGCGGATCAAGGATTTAATTTTACGGAAGCTTCAGCCCGAAAGCCTTTTTTTCCGTATATATATATATATATTTATATATCATTAATTAAAAAAAAAAACTAACTACCTATTTGACTTGGTGTTTAAGTGATTCTTGAAGTCCTATTAAATGTAATTACACGTAAAAAAATCCTTTAAGAGATAGTTTTTAATATTTTTTTTCTATAAAACATGGTTATATTTTACCATTTTTTGGGAGGGAGGGGTGCTTCAGCTCGAAAGCCCTTCCCTCCTCGGTAGATCCACCTATGGATGAAAGGATGCCTGTATCGGCAGGAACTTATCATGAATTTCAACAGCGGAGAGAATGCAAGTGATAGGATTCAAGATGTTGCATAGTGGAGTTTTCACTGTCATTGCAATCTCGAAAAAAAAATGTCCTCTATTTGAGAGAATGGAATGAAATATAAGAAGTAAGGTTTGAGGTTTTTAGCAGCCTGGCTTGCTCTACCGTGTAAATATATCTCCAGAAAAGGTCTAAATTAATATTATTTCCTTTGAAATGTCTAGGGTTGAGGAGAACTCGGTGTTGTATGAACCGTTGAATGCTTTGGGTGGAATTTAAGCTGATGAACAAAAAAAAGTCTATTTCATTATTAGATTAAATCTGAATATTGATTTTTTGAAATAATAATTCGAATAAATTAAATGATAATATATTTATTTCGCGAATTAAATATAATTGAAATTTGAAAAAAAAAAGCAACTAATTATTATTTTTTCACCTAGACTTATACCACTACTATAAGTGAAAAAGATCGTTTGTAAAAATTGAGTTTTTTAAAACGATTTATTAGTATAATTTGATATTTTAATCCTCTCTGCAATTATCCAAAGTAGCAGGCTTATTGCAGTTGCAGACTAAAACAAAACAAAACGTCACCTTTAGCACAAAAAGAATAAAATGGAAAATTAATACTCACGACCTTTTGTATTAATGTATCTAATAACTATTGTTGTATAATAGGTGGATACACGATATACATATATTAAATTGGCTTACGACCAATTTTGAAAAATTATGTGTCTCCTAAAAGTAATGTCATATTGGAACTTCAAGACAATTTTTAGGAAGAATTTTACTTCAGATTCGGAACTGTAAATATTTTGACTGTAACATGATATTAAATTTTAATCCCTTAACGTTTAGAAATATTATAAACCACACCACAAAGAAGGTACATGAGATTTTTTCTTAAATATTCAAGAAAACTAATCTAGTGTATCCTACCGAAATCTTTCAAATGAGATAACTTTCCTTCTCCCTAATGTATTCAATGTATAAGCTACATCACAAAATTATGTTAATTTGTACGTTCTATGGTAGTCTATTCAACAGACATAATTGAATAAGCTTCTTAATTAACCACGACTGTTAAACTAACTATTTACTTAGTAAGTGATAAGCTTGCCCCATTATAAAATAACCCTCCAGTCAGGGGTGCCCATCCCCCCCAAGGTCGATGGCGCAAGAACCTACCTCCACCCCCTTCCTACCAAGATATCTTATTGCTCACCTTTTTTAAAAACAGATCAAGCTAAGGTAGAATTAGAAAAATCGTAGATCATATACAATTACACTTGCTGCGGTCAGTTTCACTTCGTAACCCTTGTCCATTAGCCCGAAAATTGATCCATTGCCCCGTCGAACATTGATCCCCTTAAAAATTCAAAAACCCATCAAAATGTGCCCCCTCAAAAATTTCGAAACCCCCTCTGGGCAATCTTGCCTCCAGTTTAATAGTAAATATATTGTACTCACTCAAGACTTTTGGTGCTGAAGAGCAATGGATTGTAGGTCTCATACTTTCCAATAGTATACATTTTTTGTTTGTTAAAAATATCAAAAACTTTCTTTCTATATTATCTGAAGTGCCCAAGGGATCATAGAGCTATTATCTTCCATTTTCCTCTTCAATAGATTTTTAGCTCGTCGATGACTATGATTATAGCAATATTTTAATTTTTAAAACATAAACATGTGATACGTATCCCATGGAAACTAAGGGGCTTTCGTTTAGAATTACAGTTTATCCCAAAAATGGTACATTTTAGAGCTTTAAAACGCAGGACCCGATATCGTTCCTTAGAAACCAGTTTTCGATGTTCACGCCGGGTTCCTTAAAACACAATTCACCCCTTCTGGAACTGTCGATATCTGAAGCGAGTTTTGAAAGTTTCTAATGTTTTAAATTATTTTTATTTGGTTTGTAGGAATTTAAGGGTCGTTATTGGGTTTCTTCACCGATTTTGTTTTCTTTTAATACCCCATTCATCCAAATTTATTTCTTCTGAGTGACGGAATATATATAGTGAAGATACTACTATCGACCCATTAAATATTGAACCCTCACTTATTAACTATTTTACCCCCATCGGTTAAATTATTTAATAGAATAGCCAGAATACTCTTAATTGAGACAGATTGTAATATTTCTCAATGCAAACAAGTCAATATAGCCAGGAGAGCACAAGGTAGGAGAGCAGTTGCCCTCCCCCCTTTTCCAACCTATGATAAGATGAAATAATTACATGAATAAAAAAAAAAATTGAAAGACAGCGACAGGTTGGATGTTAGTATTTCAACATTTCATAATTACGATAAGAGAACAACCTCTACTTGAAGAAAATTGAATTTAAAAACTGCCCCTCTTTTTGGGGGATTTGGCTACGCCCTTATTTAGCGAGATTTTTCTGGCCATATCTTAGACTGGCTTGTCTTTTTTAATAGGAAGGAGTGTAATTGTGCAATAAATAACAAACCTGTATTTGTTTAAAACATGTATGTTTGTTACAACATAAGTGTTTTGTAAGTATATGTTACTGTTTTATTCAGTTTGAATAAGGTTTTGTTTTAATAAAAGACCAACTTGGTTCAGCAATATTGATTGGAACATTTTTAAAAACATTAGAATATAGTAGCCCTTCACAAGTTTCTCCTTTAGAATCTTTTTGAAACGTAAGTTCTTGGAAACAATGCTACTTGTGATGAAGGGCTGTATAATGGCTGTTTTTGTTTGTGCGCCACATCGGACTAAGAATAGCTTGGGACAAACAAATGAATCGATTAAGGTAGCCTGTAATCAGAACAGCATTTAAGGGGACGTTCAACTTCTTAATCATCCTCTATCACTGCCTTGATCTTCACGAAAATTCGCCGAGAATCGATTGTTGTATTTCCATGGAAGGGAGTTTCCATACATTTTCTTCCAGATGGCAGATAGGCGACTCGGTCCCTGCACGTAGTGCATTTGCATTTCCACGATCGCAAGGTCGAAGCTCTGGAGCTTTTTAGGAGGGGTCATTCATTAGAGGTGCCGTGGTCAGTAATTATCCGTGGGAACAGCTGTGTTAGCCGGTTCCTATACAAGTCCTCTTCATTGTTGGTTTTACAGAATTAATTACTCTTTCTTATTATGGAGTGTTGATTATAATAATAAACAAGTTACAAGAACGTGAGTGGAAGTCATCAAACGATTTATCTTGGCAGGATCCGGCCTTGGTTCTAAAGGAACATGCCAGATGGCAACAGAATAATTTTTGAAATGTTGATAACCATTTTCATTATAAATTACTGTTCCAGTTCCAGTTCCAGAGTTTCAGCTCATGGTTTAGAATTGATGACTAAGAATAAGTGTGGTTAGGGAACGATTTCTTTGAAGAAGTGCTGTAGTGCTTCTGCACATCAATATATATTCGTCATTCTAACAAACAGTTTTCATAAATCTTATCAATTCATTTATAGAGACGGTGCTTATTCTCAGTTTGATGACTTTTATTGACTTCCTGAAAAAACAATAATTTAACTTTCACCCATTCTTATCCTTCGTATATCACGACTTTCGGAAGTGTCCATTCGCTCCTTTATTTAGGGATTGTGTAGGCATCTAGACATTACGATATCAATTTTATCAAATTCCATCCATTACT